TCCTAAGAGCTAGAATTGGCCTAATGATAAACACATAATTATTACATATGTTATCCCTAAATTTATATTGTTAGTGCCTTATTTAAATTAATTAATTTTTTTTTTCAGTTTTCAGTTTTTAGGTACATCTTTCACAAGTGCAGCCATCACCGGAGAAAAATAAGCAAACTCATGCTTGAGGTGTTGCTCAACCTAGAAAAGAAGAAGCAATAATCAGCAGATATTGAAAATAAAGCTTGGAGTGCCGCACCAAGCTTTTAAGCAAGCTAATGGGTTGAACAAATGAATAAGAAAATGGGATGTAGCCAATAAAGAAGAGTCCGCAACACTATAGATGGAATTGTATAGACAAGGGCAATTGGAAGATAATAAATAAATGTATGGATATCTGATTGTGGGCCGGCGGCAAGTGGTGAGAATTTGTCTATTCATGGCAAAATATGATGCAAAAAGAGCAGTTCCCATTCCTATAAATACAGCTTTGCTGCAGATGTAACTATATTCTTTCCTCTTATAGTGTTAACTTTATTCTTATTTTCAAACCTAGCTGGGGTGGCCTTTTAAGAACCTGTTTTGTTGTTGGAACTTACTGTAAATTTTGTACTCTTGTGGGTTTTGTAAATAAAAGGTTGCTTGTGAATATAACGATGTTTATTTACATTTCCGCACCGTTTTCAAAGTCTTATTTCTAACTCAAAAGCCTTATGTTCAATTGAGAACGTGGTGTTATAATATTTAGTTTTAACATTGTAGTATTGTGTTGTTGATAGAGCATGGCAATATTACATGCTCATTTTCCGAGCATGACAATATTGATATCCAATCAATTTTAAATCCATAGGGTGTTAGTTGGATTGACTCATGTCTTTGATTTACTTCAAAGCGGTTCTGAGTTCAAGCCTTTATGGTAACCATATGTGTGAGTTTTTCCCATCTGCTAAACTTCCAAGAAATGAATCTTACACAAAAAAATAAAATAAAAGACTTCTGAGGTATAGATGCGCTCCCACAGTTTAGCCTGTTAAGTGACTAATTTCATTATAAAAAAATTCATTTTCAATCAAATAGATGAATACAAATTCGCTAATTTCTTTTCTACAGAAGACATGAAAGGAGGATTCAGACCAAAATTCAGCCTCCAGCCCAAAGTCTAAATCTGAGTCTGCTAAACTCTGCAGGGAACGTGGCCACAGTGCCAGAATCCTTGTAGCATCTAAAATTTGGTGCCCCAACTTTACATTTTTTTGGTTACATTGGAGGGAATCGAATCTGGGCTTGTCCCTAATCTGAACCCGAGTAAGGAATGATCCAAAGCCTCTCAGGCACGGATTTTATAGCGAACCACAGCACCAAATTATGGAGATCCTATTTCCTTGTTTCCACTATGTCCACTATAATGCAAATTCAGTTATTAGGGTAACATGTCATTAAGTAACAACCCGCGGCTTCATGAAGTTTGAAGTATTGGAGCAGATGTGATAGACGAGCATTGAGCACTACATAAAACTGAGAAGAAGGCTACAATAGATGAGGAACGTAATAGACAACCCACATATAAGAGAAAACCGATCGAGTGTCTTTTGAGGAACTTAATTATTGATTGGCCCCCTGAAACTTAATTGTATTCTCATTTTTCTCAATCAAACTCAATTTGTGTCACTTTACCCTCTAAAACTCAATTTGTCTCACTTTACCTCATTTCCATATGTTCCGTCTAGAGTTTTGTCATTTTTAATGTCTATTAATTATTGTTTTTAGATAAAAAATAAATGTTTATTAATTGTTAAAAAGAAAATTAGTACATTTATGCTATATGGAATCTCAGCCATTGGATACTTTTCAATCTAACGATCATAAAAGTGTTGTGCATTGGATGTATTGGTTGAGTTAATTATGGTTCTGTTAGTGAATCTCGGGTGGGCTATGTTTTGAGGGACATTTGGCTTGGTTTGTTGACCTACAAGTGTTTGCTGACCAACGTATTTCAAATCTTCATGCTATACTGTGATGGTTTTAGCTAGATTTGTTCCTCTCTGTTTCCTGTTAGTTTTCTGGCCTGTGTTTTGCCTGGCTTTGTTTGTACTATTCTCTACCCTTTGAATTGAAACTTTGACAAAACAATTTTGTAATTATCAAAAGAAAGAAATAGTCTAATGCAAAATATTCGGTGACATGAAATCTTATAGATATTAAGAATGTGACGTATAGTGTTCAATTAGCGTTTAAAAAAAAATTAAGCATGCATTTCCTTTGTGTATTCAAGCAGAATTAGTTAAGCATTTGTTTTCAGTTCAACAAGCTTCAAAATAATCTCGTTAAAACAATGGACTTAAAGGTATTTTACAAATTTTTTTTATCTAGATAAACTTATTTGAAAGCCTCTTGATGCATGGGGAAGTGCACATTAAAAATCAAATTTAGAATATTTGATCACGTGAAATGACATGAAAATTGATAAGTTGCTTCAGTTACCTTTTCCGTTTCGTAACAGCTGTATGTGTGGTCTTTGTAAATTCAGATGAAACATGTGAACGACTTGTTTGTAGCTAAACAAACTTATTTAATCCCATCATCGGCTTTATCGCCCAAATTTATATATAAGTGCCTCCCCAAATTTCTTTCCTAGTACAAAACGTACATATTGCTCATGTATATAGGTTCTTCCTTTTGTAATGGTTATCATTTTAGAACTTGAGAGCCCCTTTTCAGGTTTTAGTGGAAGGGGGTGGAGAAAGAAAGGGAAAATAAAAATTGAGATACAAGTAAAATTAGTAAAAGAATATTCCATTGTAGAAATGAGTGGCATGGGAGAAATTGATGCAAGAGAGATTGCTCTTGTAATGCAGCGCAAGGTACATTTATTTGCTTGTTACTTGCTTCTTCTTTTCTTAGTTATTGTCAATTTGCTCTTGATTCATTATTAAATTAGCATAAATGCCAAATAAAGACCATGTTTGTGAGACTTTGGAATAGGATTGAAAGGACATGTGCGTGTTGGTGATTCTTTTTTTAAGAAATTCTATGATTGCATTCATAATTCAGGCAAAAAAGCCACTAGCCACAAAAGGCCCAATACAAACGAGCAACAAAAGGCCATTACAATAACGGAGCAGTCTAATATCAAAATTAAAATAATCTGGTGCGTCTCTGATGAGTCGATTTTATATTATATATTTAACCTCATTCTTAGTATATTTTGGTTAATATGTTGGAAGAATTTTGATACTTTGAATTATATTTCTAATATAGGACTTTCGACTTCCTCTGGAGCAAAACATAATCAAATGGACGAATTTTGGAGTAATTCCAGTTGGAGGACGTACGTGAGTCACTTAGCTTGATCGTATCAAAATATTAGACTTTTCCACCAAGCGATGATTCCTGGCGAATAAATGAAGGAGCAGTGCGCTATGCTGGAATAGTGACGTTTTGGGCTTTTATTGCGATTTTGGAGCCCAAGATGACCTCGGATGGGTTCGTGGCCTTCTGGAGAAGTGTTCGGAATATTTTTATCTTTAAAACAAGCTATCTTGGGCCAGATTTGGGGGAGATTTGAGACTAAAACGTGGCTGGGCAGATTATGGGCAGATTCTCCTAATCCAATTTGGACTTTATTTCCTAGTCTTATTTTACTTTAACTTAGTTTCCTTGTGGGGATTGGGTAGCTAGGTTTTAGGAGGTATTTAAGCTCCTTTTCACAGCAATTTAGGAATCTCCTTTTTAGAACTTCTTTTGGCTTTGGGAGCAATTGCTAGGGTTTTGGATTTTCGCTACTTTCAGGTGTTTTCATTCTTACTCATTCGAATGATATTTTCTTGGATTTCAATTATGATTATGTGTAACTAATTCCTTTTGCTAGGGCGAGGCCGTAAGCCTAGCATGAATATGTAGTTTTATTAATTTGCTTATGAATGGTTGCATGTTTGCTTTGAATTATTAATCACTGTGTTTAAAACTATCTATCTATTTTAATGACTGATCACCATTAGGATATGTAGACAAGTAATTTGATGCAATTTCTGTTGGAACATCACCCTGAAATTGAGGAGGGCTTCTTGTGATTAGTAATTGTAAGTTCACTTAAGGCGAACATCACGCTCTTAAGGGTTGCATGGTTTTTCAAAGGGTTTCACAAAACTTAATGAGTCTTGCATGTTTATATTTGATCTGAACATCACAGACGGATTGCATGTTAGATATACGTTTTCGCTTGAACATCACAAGGAAAATATGTATTAGGAAAACCTAACCTTCAAAGCATATATGTGGAAATTCATAAATAATTGATAGAATTGCATAGGATTGCGACGGTGTTGGCTAAACCCTAGTTTTCTCTAAATTGTTAGTCTTTAAAAAGAAATCGTTTTTCTTCTTTGCTATTTTATTTCCCAACTTTCAGATTTCTTTTACTGTTAGTTTAATCCTTTCAAATTCATAAACTTCAAATCTTTGATAAAATCTATTTTAGTTATTAATTAAGAGTTAGTTTAATTACAGATTAGTCAAACAATCTTTGGGGGACAACGACCTTGCATGAGCATTTATACTACAATTACCTTGTATTCTTGCAAGTATTTTCAGTGATTTTAACCCTGTTTGCGCAGGTACTAAAAATCCTATCAGTCTCCACTAACGATCAGGCAGGATCGAAGAAACTCTGGCATAGGCATCCCAACTAAGATTGCAAACTTAGAATAATAAAAAGCTTGACAAAACCAAGCCATAACAATACAAATAAAACTCTCACAAAGAAGAGATGAAAAGCTCTCACAAAGGAGAGATGAAAAACTCTCACAAAAGGAGAGGTGAAAACTACACAGAGAACCCAAAGAGTCTCTGCAACTTATTCCAAACAGAAAGAAATTGCAAAAAAAATGGTGGTGGAGATTCGACGCCGAAATGTAGGTGAAGATCCGACGCTGAGCCACAGCCGCCTATAATGGTTGGATGAAAATCATAACAAAACTAAGACAAATAGGGAAAATCCTTTGTCTCTGAAAATGGGGGAAGAGGTGAAAGGAGGAAGAGAAGAGGGGAGAGGGGGGAAGAACAATGGCTTCCTCCCCCCTCAAAGTGGAAAAAGCTCTAAGAGTTGCGTGTTGGTGATTCTAGAGAGGAAAAAACAGGGGGAACAAGTTTCTCGAGTTTCTCTTCACGAGTTTCAGCCACTTTCCATGACGCAAGGTCGGGGTCGTTACGAGTAGGACAAATATACACCAAGCCTTTGAAGGATGAGGTTCCAGTTCGGCTCCTACTTCACGACTATCTTTCCCGAAAACCATTCTCTCCCTTCTTTCTCCTTCAAACTTCTTTCTACCATAACTTTCATTCTACAACTCCAATTCTTGCGCCGCTTTCGCCTTTAGGATCGTATGAACGAGCTCTACAAGATAAGGTAAACCAGTCTTGGATTTGGTTAAGTTTCGAAAATTTTCTCTTTCTAGTGACTGATTAAGCTTTAATCTCTTGTTTCCAAGTGTGTTTTGGGAGAATGGTGGTCACTAGGCAGATCATTGAAGGTTGAGGATTACTTTGGAGCTGTTAAGGTAAGATTTGTTTGCCATACTTGCTGCTGGAATTCTAGTACAATGTACATTGATTTAAGTGAGATTGTGTAAGTGATTTCGGATGTTATTTGATGACATGCAAATACAGCAGGTGAAGAATCTACCTTGGGCTGAACCTACAGAGAACTCAGAGTAATTTTGGGTTGAAGTGGAAGTTGGGTAAGTTTCTACTTTCAAGTTTGTGGCCTTGGTAGTTGGGTGTGTTGGATGATTATGAGTTTGTTGAGGGGATAATAGTCATTTTAAATTTGGGACTGTTTTGGTGTTTAAAGCTGATTATAGAACTGAATGCCAAAGAATGAGATGGATGTTGATGAAATCTGCATTTATGCAGAAATCTGAGTATGTGTTCTGTTCTGGACAAAATGATCTAGTTCGTATTTATGTTTTAAACTGGGTTTTTTATGGGTGAAAAATAGACATTTCAATGAGTATAAAGGGAAAAAAACTGGGAGTCTGGCACAACAAAAAAAACCCAGCTTTATTTTGTTTTTGCCTTTATACTCATCGAAATGTCATCATTGGAAAGATAGTCAACACCCAGTTTAAAACTTGGTGTTTGGACTGGACACATTTCGATGATTGTCTTTCCAATGAATCTTACACGAAAAAATAAAGGGAAAAAAAATAAATAAATGACGTTTAAGGTATAGATGCCCACCCACAGTTTAGCCTGTTATGTGCGCTGACTAATTTCATTATTAAAAAAAATTCATTTTCAATCAAATAGATGAATACAAATTCACTAATTTCTTTTCTACAGATGACATCAAAGGAGGATTCAGACCAAAATTCAGCCTCCAGCCCGAAGTCAAAATCTGCGTCTGCTAAACTCTGCAGGAAAAATGTGGCCACAGTGCCAGAATCCTTGTATCATCTAAAATTTGGTGCCCCAATTTTACATTTTTTTGTTACATTGGAGGGAATTGAACCAGGGATTGTCCTAATTCGAACCCGAGTAAGGAATAATCCAAAGCCTCTCAGGCTAAGATTTTATAGTAAGGAGATCCTATTTCCTTGTTTCCACTATGTTCACTATAATCATTATAATGCAAATTCTGTTAATAGGGTAACATGTCATTAAGTAACAACCCGCGGCTTCATGAAGTTTTAAGTATTGGAGCAGATGATAGACGAGCATTGAGCACTACATAAAACTGAGAAGAAAGGCTAGAATAGATGAGCAACGTAATAGACAACCCACAAATAAGAGAAAACCGAGTGTCTTTTGATTCATAATTGGAAGAGCTTAATTATTGATCGGCCCCATGAAACTTAATTGTATTCTCATTTTTCTCAATGAAACTCAATTTGTGTCACTTTGGCTCATGAAACTCAATTTGTGCCTTATTTTACCTCATTTTTGTATGTTCCGTCTAGAGTTCTGTCATTTCCAATGTCTATTAATTATTAATTTTTTTTTTTTGAGGACCTCCTATTGAGAGGGGCAATAGTATCTAAACTCACACACACTACATGGATGCTGAGACTCGAACCCAGGACATTGTCTGAGAGAGTAAATACTCCAAACCACTACACTAGTGGGTTCTTTGCATTAATTAATTAATTATTGTTTTTAGATCAAAAATAAATGTTTATTAATTGTTAAAAAGAAAATTAGTACATTTATGCTATATGAAATCTCAGCCATTGAATACTTTTCAATCTAACGATCATAAAGGTGTGCCATAATGTATATCATAAAAGTGTGCCATAATGTGTATAAAAAATGTGCCATAATGTATATAAAAAATGTGTCTCCCTCGATCCTAACCTACATATATATATATATATATATATATATATATATGATTGTTCAATCTCCCTCTCTACCCCTTACCCACATAAAAAAAGTCGTCTTCTTTTTTTTGTCAATGTAAAAAGTCTTATAGTTATTTATATCAATTGACAGATAGGCAATGCGTTTTTGTTTTCCTTTTCCATATGGGACAGATAGGTATGCAATTATATATATCACAAGAATTGCCATGAAAAGTCAGAAGCCAGTTCAATTAATTAGGTTTCCGTTATTTGGTCCTTGGTCAGCATTCTAGTATAGTTTTTGTTTTCAAGTCCAAAGTGTGAACTACTGAATTTTATATATTTTTGGAGGAGATTACTAGAAATTAGGAGGGTACTTGGCCGCCACCTGACGATAGCCAATCATGTGCATGAGTGTTTTGTGGAAAACTCTCAAAATTTGAACGTGGTTAGTTTACTTAACGCCAGTCTTTGTTTAAGTTAAGTTCTTTAAAAAAAATATATTTAAAAAATATAAAATAAAAAAACTTAAATCCCCTCTTCTTTTAGTCTTGGTTTAACTTTAATTAATTTACACTTGCATGCCGTGATCAATATAAATAGCAGAAAGATGGATTAGAAGCCTACAAGAACAAGATTGTGGTGATCGAGGAGTAGTCACTACTACGTTTCACCATTCGCGCGACGAAGACTAAGTTGTCGCGCAAACCATACTGGCGCGACGAAAGAAACTATTCGTCGCGCAATCCACTGAAAATTTGCGCCACCAAAATTTTCGTCGCACAAAATGTATATGCGCGACAAAAACATTTTTCGTCGCGCAAACAGAGTTAAAAAAAGCGGGGGGAATTTTTTTAGCGCGAAACATTTGCGCGACGAGAAATATCGTCGCTGAAGGCAACATTGCGCGACGAACAATTATCCGTCGCGCAAATAGGACAGTCCCCTGATTTAGCGCGACGGAAAGACGTTTCGTCGCGTAAGAGAACAAGAGATATTTTATTTTTTGGCGCCAAAAATGACCTGGGTGGGATATTTTTTTTTGCGCGACGTACTACGTTTCGTCGCGTAAAGTTCACGTTTACGCGACGAATATCCTGTTTTGCGCGACGGAATTTTGTTTTTGCGCGACAATGTTGCGCGACGAAAGTTTTGCGCGACGGAAAGTACCAGCGTCGCGCAAAAGTTAGATGTCGGCAGGTGTTTGCGCGACGAAAAAAAGGGTTTGCGCGACGAATAATTTGGTTTTTTGCGACGGGAGTTTGCGCGACGAATAAGTATGTTCGTCGCGCAAAGTCCTTCTTCTTCATATTAGAATTCTGCCATTGCAGAGGCAGAATGCAAAAACAAAGCATTCTGCCTCTGCCTCTCTCTCAACCTCTCTGCTGCTGCTGGGATTTCAATACATTGATTGGGTAAGTATTTTTCGTCATTAGTTTAAAAGTATTAATTTAAGTTCGTACTAAGGTTTTTTAATTTGTTTTCGTTAGGGATATTTGTAATTAGCGATTGGTGGAGAACGATTGAGAAGGTATTTTATTTGTTTTATATATGTTTAAAATGTTCTTGTGAAGTTATATTTATATTATGTTGTGCGTAACGTAGTACAATCTGTTGTGATGTACGAAGTTAATTGAAATTAACTTCGTGCTTTTATTTTTATGTTTAGTAACACTTAGTTTCCCGTTCGAGATTAGTTGGATTTCGTGCATGGATGCGTAATGCATGACTGCGGTCCAATTAATTCTTGAATTGTCCCATTATTTGGACAGTTTGGTAATGCATAGTGTTGTCACGTAATCTATGGCTACAGGATTAGGTTTCGATTGTGGATATTTCGTTGTCATCTCGGTACGTTCTTCGGGTGGTACATAGGTATTTATACCTATGGCCACCTCAAGAACTGTAGCGAGATGCTGGCGAAATTCATCCACGTCGAAATCTAATCTCATGTAGTCGTAGGTTACGTGGCAGGAGTATGCATTCCCGAATGGGATAGGACCCTTACCGGAGGCATAAGGTGACATTATAACTTCGTATGAAGTTGTTGTGATTGTTGTGTTGTGATTCTGGTTTCAGGAATTATGGACAGAAGGTGGATACAAAACCCGAACAGATGCGCAGACGAATACTTGGATGGAATCGAGGATTTTATTGAGTTTGCACGTAGACACAACCCGGGTGCAACTAGAATCCGTTGTCCTTGTAGGAGGTGCAACAACACGTTATGGGAGACAATTGAAAATGTTGGATTTCATTTAGTAAGGAATGGAATGATTGAGACATATAGCATTTGGAACCTTCACGGGGAACAATTAGAGCATGCTTCGTCTTCAAATGCCACAAGAGTGGACAATGTTCAACCTATTGTGGATGCTAATGATGAAGTCATGGATATTATACAGGATGTTTTTCCATTTGCATCGACCAACATGAATCAAGAAGAGCAAGATGATGTGCCTACACCAATAGACAGTGCGGAGTTTGAACAATATGAGAAATTGTTAAAAAATGCCAACCAAGAGTTATACCCGGGGTGCGAGAGCTTTTCCGTTCTCACGGCCATTGTGGAGCTAATGCACGGAAAAATAAAGTATCGTATGTCGAACCTGTGTTTCGATTACTTTTTGGGGGTTTTCAAGAGAATGCTTCCGACGGACAATTGTTTGCCGAAAGACCATAAACAGGCGCAGAAGGTGTTGAATGGTCTTGGATTGGGTTATGAAAAAATCCATGCTTGCAAAAACAATTGCATGTTATTCTACAAAGAGCATGAATCGTTGGATACATGTCCTATATGCAATGAGTCGAGGTTCAAGATGACATCTCAGAATAGGACGACTAAGATCCCACAAAAAGTCATGCGTTATTTGCCCCTGAAACCTAGGTTGCAGCGATTGTATATGTCGACGCATACTGCCACAGACATGAGATGGCATCAGGAAAAACGGGTAGACGATGATGTGATGCGGCATCCTGCAGATGGGGAGGCATGGAAAGAGTTCGATCGAACGTTCCCAGAGTTTGCTGCTGATCCCCGAAATGTTAGATTGGGACTTGCCACTGACGGATTCAATCCGTATGGGGTTCTAAACCAACACCACAGCACTTGGCCGATTTTCGTATTCCCATATAATTTGCCGCCTTGGAAATGCATGAAAAAAGAATACATGATGATGACTGTTTTGATAACTGAGGATCCTGGGAGGTCAATCGATGTTTACTTAAGGCCGCTGGTTGATGAGCTGAAGGATTTGTGGACAAACGGTGTTCGCACGTACGATAAATCAACTGGGAAGATGTTCACTTTGCGGGCAGCAGTTATGTGGACTGTGAATGATTTCCCAGCATATGCAATGGTTTCTGGGTGGAGCACAAAAGGTTATATGGCATGTCCTGTATGCAAGGAAGATGTAACTTCTGGTTGGCATGCTGGAAAAGTTTGTTACCTTGGTCATCGGAGATGGTTGCCATGGGACCATGAGTGGAGGGAAAAAGATAAAGAGTTCGACGGGAACACTGAGCGTCGCCTTAGACCCAGAGAATGGTCCGGTGATGAGATATTGGACCAGCTGAACCGGTTGGATTTTGCTCCCTTCGGGAAAACAGTTAGTCGTATCAGACCTTCTACACATATGAACTGGACGCACAAACCTATGTTTTTTGAGCTCCCATATTGGTCGAAACTAAAATTGAGGCACAATCTAGATGTGATGCATGTTGAGAAAAATGTATTCGACACATTGGTGGGCACGATTCTAGATATCGAGGGGAAGACAAAGGACACGATCAAAGCTCGTCTTGATTTGGAAAGAATGGGCATACGAAGGGGTTTATGGATGAATAGGGACAATGATAAAGCTAGAAGGGATCTTGCATTCTTTTCTATGAAACCGAATGACAAGAAAGAGTTTCTAAAGTTTGTATCGTCAGTAAAGTTTCCCGATGGGTATGCTTCTAATATCGCACGTTGTGTGAATGTTGACGGGGGTAAATTTACTGGACTTAAAAGCCATGACTGCCATGTGTTTATGCAACGCCTACTTCCTGTTGGTATTCGACACCTATTGCCGGAAGATGTAGTGAAGCCAATCATTTTGTTGTCCAGATTTTTTTCCCAACTGACGGCGAAAACTTTGCGAAAAACGGACATGTTTCAGTTGCGCCATGACATTGTCCAAGTCCTATGCAAGTTTGAGATGATATTTCCTCCAGCTTTCTTCACAAGTATGATGCACGTGATGGTTCACTTGCCAGAAGAGGCATTACTTGCTGGTCCTGTCAACTATCGCTGGATGTATCCAATAGAAAGGTATATAATCCTTATCATTTGTGTATGCATCATTATCACATGCTTGCTAATTTCAATCATATCGTTTTATTTTGGCAGGCTTCTCGGAGAGCTGAAAAAAAGTGTACGCAACAGGGCGAAGCCCGAAGGATCAATCGTAGAGGCTTGGGTTCAATATGAGTCGCTTACTTTCTGCGGAATGTATTTAAAAGATGTGGAGACGGTTTTCAATCGTCCTCAGCGCAATCATGATGGAGGTATGAGAAATGAAAAACTTTCTGTTTTTGCCCAAAGCGCACGACCCTTCGGAGATCCTGGACGCGGAGAGTCGTTTTCTAGAAATGACATGGAGGTAGCGCATTGGTTCGTACTGAACAATTGTGATGAGATCATGGGATACTTATATGAGCATGAAGAGATGATGAAGCGAGAACATCCATCACATTTGGTTGCCCAGAAACACCGTGAATTGTTTCCACAATGGTTTTTGGATTCTGTAAGTTATCAGTGTTTGTTATTTGAGAAATATAAATTTTTTTAATAAATTTTGTCAGACTAACATATGAATGGTTTTGTATAATATTAGGTGAATAAGTTGAAATCATCGAATTCCCCAACTTACAGTGATGAGTTATATAACTTGGCGTTTGGCCCGATTCGCGCTGAATTGTTCTCGGGTTGTAATGTCAACGGTGTCAAATTTTTGGCCGAAGCACGAGATGACAAGTTGTGTACGCAAAACAGCGGTGTCCATGTCCCAGGTGGAGGCGAAAGTACGGACATTGATTTCTATGGCAAACTCACAACTGTCGTGCAATTGCTTTACAAAGATCGATACCAAGTGATCATGTTTAAGTGTCGATGGTTTGACACCAACCCAAATAGGCCGGGAAGTGTTAAAATCGATCATGGCTTACTATCTGTGAACATGAACAGAACTTGGTATGATGACGACCCTTATATTTTGGCAAACATGGCAACACAAATTGTGTATCTAGATGACCCTAAAGCCGGAAGCGGTTGGAACGTTGTTCAAAAGATGGATCACAGGAACGTGTATGCTATACCAGAACTAGACCCAACTGACAACAACGTCAACAATGTAGCTGACCAACGTTTAGAATCTTCAATGGAAAATGATGCGGAAACACTTCGAGATACTAATGTTATACAAGAGCCATTTCAAATACAAGGAGTGTCTTCAATCGAAATACCGATTCAGTCAATTACAATTGACCTCGGTGATCTTCCGCGATATGATGTTGCAGTTGGCCCGAGCAACGACGATGATGTAGTTATAGAGGAGGCGGAGGAGGAGGAGGAGGAAGAGGATTGGGAGACCGAAAGTGATGATAGCAACGATAACGAAAAGTTATTATAGTTCAGATGATGAAGAAAAAAAAAAAAAAAAAAAAAAAAAAAAAAAAAAAAAAAAAAAAAAAAAAAAAAAAAAAAAAAAAAAAAAAAAAAAAAAAAAAAAAAAAAAAAAAAAAAAAAAAAAAAAAAAAAAAAAAAAAAAAAAAAAAAAAAAAAAAAAAAAAAAAAAAAAAAAAAAAAAAAAAAAAAAAAAAAAAAAAAAAAAAAAAAAAAAAAAAAAAAAAAAAAAAAAAAAAAAAAAAAAAAAAAAAAAAAAAAAAAAAAAAAAAAAAAAAAAAAAAAAAAAAAAAAAAAAAAAAAAAAAAAAAAAAAAAAAAAAAAAAAAAAAAAAAAAAAAAAAAAAAAAAAAAAAAAAAAAAAAAAAAAAAAAAAAAAAAAAAAAAAAAAAAAAAAAAAAAAAAAAAAAAAGACGAGAAATATCGTCGCTTAAGACAACCTTGCGCGACGGTACTCTGATTCGTCACGCAAAAAAGGACAGAACCTAGTGGGTCCCTTTATTTGGCGGTAAAAACTTGTGCAACGAAATTCTTCTTCGCAAAAGACAGCTTAGCGCGACGGGAAGATGTTTCGTTGCGTAAGAGAACGAGGGATATTTAATTTTTGGCGCCAAAATTACCTGGTTGGGATTTTTTTTTGCGCGACGTACATACTATTCGTCGCGTAAAGTTCCACGTTTGCGCGACGAATTCTTGGTTTTGCGTGACGGAATGTTGTTTTTGCACGACGAAAGTTTGTGCGACGGAAAATACCTGCGTCGCGCAAAAGGTAGATGTCGGCAGGTGATTGCGCAACGAAAAAAATGGTTTGCACGACGGACTATTTGGTTTTTTGCGATGGAAGTTTGCGCGACGAAATTATGTATTCGTCGCGCAAAGTCCTTCTTCTTCATATTAGAATTCTGCCTCTCTCTCAACCTCTCTGCCGCTGCTGGGACTTCAATACATGATTGGGTAAATATTTTTCGTCATTAGTTTAAAAGTATTAATTTAAGTTCGTACTAAGGTTTTTTATTTGTTTTCGTTAGGGATATTTGTAATTAGCGATTGGTGGAGAACGATTGAGAAGGTATTTTATTCGTTTTATATATTAATAATGTTAATTTGTTATGTTTAAAATTTTCTTGTGAAGTTATATTTATATTATGTTGTTAAATTGTGTGTAACGTAGCACAATCTGTTGTGATGTACGAAGTTAATTGAAATTAACTTCGTACTTTTATTTTTATGTTTAGTAACACTTAGTTTCCCGTTCGAGATTAGTTGGATTTCGTGCATGGATGCGTAATGCATGACTGCGGTCCAATTAATTCTTGAATTGTCCCATTATTTGGACAGTTTGGTAATGCATAGTGTTGTCACGTAATCTATGGCTACAGGATTAGGTTTCGATTGTGGATATTTCGATGTCATCTCGATACGTTCTTCGGGTGGTACGTAGATATTTATACTTATGGCCACCTCAAGAACTGTAGCGAGATGCTGGCGAAATTCATCCACATTGAAATCTAATCTCATGTAGCCGTAGGTTACGTGGCAGGAGTATGCATTCCCGAATGGGATAGGACCCTTACCGGAGGCATAAGGTGACATTATAACTTCGTATGAAGTTGTTGTGATTGTTGTGTTGTGATTCTGGTTTCAGGAATTATGGACAGAAGGTGGATACAGAACCCGAACAGATAAGCAGACGAATACTTGGATGGAATCGAGGATTTTATTGAGTTTGCACGTAGACACAACCCGGGTGCAACTAGAATCCGTTGTCCTTGTAGGAGGTGCAACAACACGTTATGGGAGACAATTGAAAATGTTGGATTTCATTTAGTAAGGAATGGAATGATTGAGACATATAGCATTTGGAACCTTCACGGGGAACAATTAGAGCATGCTTCGTCTTCAAATGCCACAAGAGTGGACAATGTTCAACCTATTGTGGATGCTAATGATCAAGTCATGGATATTATACAGGATGTTTTTCCATTTGCATCAACCAACATGAATCAAGAAGAGCAAGATGATGTGCCTACACCAATAGACAGTGCGGAGTTTGAACAATATGAAAAATTGTTAAAAAATGCCAACCAAGAGTTATACCCGGGGTGCGAGAGCTTTTCCGTTCTCACGGCCATTGTGGAGCTAATGCACGGAAAAATAAAGTATCGTATGTCGAACCTGTGTTTCGATTACTTTTTGGGGGTTTTCAAGAGAATGTTTCCGACGGACAATTGTTTGCCGAAAGACCATAAACAGGCGCAGAAGGTGTTGAATGGTCTTGGATTGGGTTATGAAAAAATTCATGCTTGCAAAAACAATTGCATGTTATTCTACAAAGAGCATGAATCGTTGGATACATGTCCTATATGCAATGAGTCGAGGTTCAAGATGACATCTCAGAATAGGACGACTAAGATCCCACAAAAAGTCATGCGTTATTTGCCCCTGAAACCTAGGTTGCAGCGATTGTATATGTCGACGCATACTGCCACAAACATGAGATGGCATAAGGAAAAATAGGTAGACGATGATGTGATGCGGCATCCTGCAGATGGGGAGGCATGGAAAGAGTTCGATCGAACGTTCCCCGAGTTTGCTGCTAATCCCCGAAATATTAGATTGGGACTTGCCACTGAAGGATTCAATCCGTATGGGGTTCTAAACCAACACCACAGCACTTGGCCGATTTTCGTATTCCCATATAATTTGCCACCTTGGAAATGCATGAAAAAAGAATACATGATGATGACTGTTTTGATAACTGAGGATCCTGGGAGGTCAATCGATGTTTACTTAAGGCCGCTAGTTGATGAGCTGAAGGATTTATGGACAAACGGTGTTCGCACGTACGATAAATCAACTGGGAAGATGTTCACTTTGCGGGCAGCAGTTATGTGGACTGTGAATGATTTCCCAGCATATGCAATGGTTTCTGGGTGGAGCACAAAAGGTTATATGGCATGTCCTGTATGCAAGGAAGATGTAACTTCTGGTTGGCACGCTAGAAAAGTTTGTTAACTTGGTCATCGGAGATGGTTGCCATGGGACCATGAGTGGAGGGAAAAAGATAAAGAGTTTGACGGGAACACAGAGCATCGCCTTAGACCTAGAGAATGGTCCGGTGATGAGATATTGGACCAACTTAACCATTTTGCTCCCTTCGGGAAAACAGTTAGTCGTATCAGACCTTCTACACATATGAACTGGACGCACAAGCCTATGTTTTTTGAGCTCCCATATTGGTCGAAACTCAAATTGAGGCGCAATCTAGATGTGATGCATGTTGAGAAAAATGTATTGACACATTGGTGGGCACGATTCTAGATATCGAGGGGAAGACAAAGGACACGATCAAAGCTCGTCTTGATTTGGAAAGAATGGGCATACGAAGGGGTTTATGGATGAATAGGGACAATGATAAAGCTAGAAGGGATCTTGCATTCTTTTCTATGAAACCGAATGACAAGAAAGAGTTTCTAAAGTTTGTATCGTCTGTAAAGTTTCCCGATTGGTATACTTCTAATATCGCACGTTGTGTGAATGTTGACGGGGGTAAATTTACTGGACTTAAGAGCCATGACTGTCATGTGTTTATGCAACACCTACTTCTTGTTGGTATTCGACACCTATTGCCGGAAGATGTAGTGAAGCCAATCATTTTGTTGTCCAGATTTTTTTCCCAACTGACGGCAAAAACTTTGCAAAAAACGAACATGTTTCAGTTGCGCCATGACATTGTCCAAGTCCTATGCAAGTTTGATATGATATTTCCTCCAGCTTTCTTCACAAGTATGATGCACGTGATGGTTCACTTGCCAGAATAGGCATTGCTTGCTGGTCCTGTCAACTATCGCTGGATATATCCAATAGAAAGGTATATAATCCTTATCGTTTGTGTATGCATCATTATCATATGCTTGCTAATTTGTATCATATCGTTTTATTTTGGCAGGCTTCTCGGAGAGCTGAAAAAAAGTGTACGCAACAGGGCGAAGCCCGAAGGATCAATTGTAGAGGCTTAGGTTCAATATGAGTCCTTACTTTCTGCGGAATGTATTTAAAAGATGTGGAGACGATTTTCGATCGTCCTCAGCGCAATCATGACGGAGGTATGAGAAATGAAAAACTTTATGTTTTTGCCCAAAGAGCACGACCCTTTGGAGATCCTGGACGAGGAGAGTCATTTTCTAGAAATGACGTGGAGGTAGCTCATTGGTTCGTACAGAACAATTGTGATGAGATCATGGGATACTTATATGACCATGAAAAGATGATGAAGCGAGAACATCCATCACATTTGGTTGCCCAGAAACACCGTGAATTGTTTCCACAATGGTTTTTGGATTCTGTAAGTTATCAGTGTTTGTTATTTGAGAAATATAAATTGTAGTTTTTAATTTTGTCAGACTAACATATGCATGGTTTTGTATAATATTAGGTGAATAAGTTGAAATCATCGAATTCCCCAACTTACAGTGATGAGTTCTATAACTTGGTGTTCGGCCCGATTCGCACTGAATTGTTCTCGGGTTGTAATGTCAACGGCGTCAAATTTTTGGGGTTGCACGAGATGACAAGTTGTGTACGCAAAACAGCGGTGTCCATGTCCCAGGTGGAGGCGAAAGTACGGACATTGATTTCTATGGCAAACTCACAACTGTCGTGCAATTGCTTTACAAAGATCAATACCAAGTGATCATGTTTAAGTGTCGATGGTTTGACACTAACCCAAATAGGCTGGCAAGTGTTAAAATCGATCATGGCTTACTATTTGTGAACATGAACAGAACTTGGTATGATGACGACCCTTATATTTTGGCAAACATGGCAACACAAATTGTGTATCTAGATGACCCTAAAGCCGGAAGTGGTTGGAACGTTGTTCAAAAGATGGATCATAGGAACGTGTATGCTATACCAGAACTAGACCCAACTGACAACGACGTCGACAACGTGGCTGACCAACGTTTAGAATCTTCAATGGAAAATGATGCGGAAACACTTCGAGATACAAATGTTATACAAGAGCCATTTCAAATACAAGGAGTGTTTTTAATCGAAATACCGATTCAGTCAATTACAATTGACATCGGTGATCTTCCGCGATACGATGTTGCAGTTGGCCCGAGCAACGACGATGATGTAGTATAGAGGAGGCGGAGGAGGAGGAGGAGTAAGAGGATTGGGAGACCGAAAGTGATGATAGCGATGATAACGAAAGTTATTATAGTTCAAATGATGAATGATGAATTTTTTTTGTAATTTTATTATGTTAGTGGACATATTTTGTGTAATGCAAATGTTTTCATATATGTACTTATTATATCCAAACATTATATATGTGCAGAAATGAAACATTATTAAAATAAATGTAGTTATAAACTGTCGGTAAATAAATATATCCAAGTAATTTTAATAATAAAGTTTAAATTTATTTGACAAAAAACTTTTAAAAAATGAAAACCATATAACTAAAAAAATGAATACAAAGAAAATAAGATTATCCAAAAACTTTATTTCATTTGAACTCACAAAATCAACAATCCTTCAATTCTCAAATCAAAAGAAAATAGAATAAATCATACTTTCATACAATTAATTATATGTAATGATGAATAATTCAGCTTAATAATATGTGAATGAAAATAACCTTGCGCAACGAAGACATCATCGTCGCGCACATTTTGCGCGACGAAAAATATACACGTCGCGCATACTCTAAATTTTGCGCGACAAATAATTCCGTCGTGCAAGTAAATTTTGCGCGACGAATAAAAAGACCTCGTCGCGCAAACATATATATATATTGTTGATATATACACACGTATATATTTGAAATTGACGATCGAAGTAGTTCACTGTATTCACATAGGGTTAAACAGTGTAGTTGTAAAAAATCATCAAAATCAGAGTCAAAATAACCGTTAAATCATGACTTTTCGTTTATAACTGTCGAAAAGTTTTGTCCTGTTACTTGATCTCTGAATGTTTTTTTTTCTCATTTTTGACGAATACGATCTCGAAGTATAAACAAACATATTTGACGGCTGGATTACTGAAACTAGTTTCCTAGAATGCGTATTCCATCAAAACACAATATTCATCAAAAATGAAGAATTTATTTATACATTCATTCAGTATAACATAAGATTATGTGATGTCCTGTACTGTAAATATCTGAAATTGAAGATCGAATTACATCTCTGTATTCATATAGGGTCAAGAACCGCAGCTGTAAAAAAATTTCAAAATCGGAGTTAAAATCACCGTTGAATCGGGACAATTTGTTTAGAACCGTCGAAAAGTTTTGTCCCGTTACTCAATCTCTGAATGTTCATTCATTCTGATTTTTGACGTATACGATCTTGAACTATAAAAAAGAAGATTGCCGGTTGGATCATTGAAACTAGTTCAGGAGTTCGGGTTTAGGGCTTAGGGTATAGGTTTTAGGGTTTAGGGTACAAGGGTATGGGTTTGCGCGACGAAACAACTTGAATTCGTCGCACAAATCCTTCGTGACAAATGGACCTTGCATTCGTCGAGCAATGTGAGAAAGAATTTTAGCCCCTCTCCGTTCCAACACTTGGCGGAATTTTTTTTTGGCAAAAATCTAGATTGCGCGACGAACATAAGTCCCCTTCGTCGCGCAAAACCATGAACGAATTTCAGCCCTTCTCCGCTCCAACACTTAGCGAAATTTTTTTTGGGCAAAAATCTAGATTGCGTGACGAACATAAGTCCCCTTCGTCGCGCAAAACCATGAAGGAATTTCAGCCCATCTTCGCTCCAACACTTGGCGGAATTTTTTTTTGGCAAAAATCTAGATTGCGCGACGAACATAAGTCCCCTTTGTCGCACAATATCATTTCATTTATCTTCCCCGCGCAAAATCAAATCCCAAAATTTGGGCGGCTGGACAAACTTGCGCGACGAAACAAGTTCTTTCGTTGCGCAAAGGTGATATTTTCAGAACCTAGCGCGACGAAACAAGCTCTTTCGTTGCGCAAAATTGCCAACCCTAAACCCCAATCCCAAATTTTGGCAGACATGGCGACATTGCGTGACGGAAACTTATTTTTTTCGTCGCGCAAAAGTTATTTAAATGAATTTTGCACAACGCATTTTTTTATTCGTCAAGCAAAGTCGAATAAGTTTTCTGAAAATCGCGATCTTCTCCTTCTTCCCCAGTTTCTCAAACTCGAACCCTAAAACCTCCCTCTTTCTCCACTATGACCTCAGCCCCTGCTCCGCCCCAATTCATACCTTGCCGCCACAAGCGTCGAACCCTGGAGCTTCTCCGCCATCGCCGTCCATCCTGCCGCCGTGATTTCCTCCGTTTAGGCCGAATCTTCGCCGCCGTTGTTCTCTCTCCACCGGGCACCAAATCCGACAATTGAGGTATGCTTTCTGGACTATTTTTTATGCTTTAGCTAATGGTTGGGTAGGATTTAATTGATTGTGTGCATAGGGTAGGTCCGAGAACAAAAGTGCCTCCAATTGATGTTTTGAACCTAGGGTAGGAACCTTGGCCCTTAATTTTTAGGATTTCCCGGTGATTGTTATCGCTTTGGGCACCCACGCGCTGCCAGCGCGTGTGGTGGCGCGTGGGGTACTGTAGCATAGGGCATTGGGTCCCAGTGCAAACATTTCGTTGTCACGAACGCGTAGGTGTGCTCGGATTGGAATTTGGTTACCGTTTGAGTCTCGAACGGATCGAACCTATTGTGCGATTTCCGGGTTTGATATGTTCGGACCGTTGGATCGAGCTGAAACTCACGTATGTGGTACCATGTATTTATAGGATCGTTTAGGATTCGACGGATCGTAGATCGGAGTCCCTGATACTCCGAAATCGCAAACCCTAGGTCAAACTATGATTTTAATTAATTAGTTCAATTTTTTAATGACATTGTATGTGCTAAATTTGATTAATGAAATTGTGCAGATGTCAGACTTGATTAGACGTCGTAGGGCGGTGACGACTACACCGAGTTCGGAGCCCCCGGCTCAGCCGGTATCAGCTGCCACTGCTCCAGCACTGATGGAGCAGGACCACGTGCTAGCCTCTTTCGTTAGCGCTAGGCGGCGACACCGGCCCGCTACCACCACTGACACCACATCGACTGACGGTACTGGTGCCTCGGAGGCACCTCCAGGTATATATACCCTTTCACTTTCGTTTTTTTGTTTTTAAAATTTTTTTAATTGGGAATTTTATGGTTCAATTTTTTATTTATTTAACAGTATTGTCATATCCCTTTGCAGCCAAGAGGAACACCCGAGGGCCGTGTCAGCAGCTGAAGACGGCGAAGGTCACTCGGGTGACCAACAGTCGTATCAGCATCGGATATGACGAGCGCCATCGGGCTGCACCGTCGGCGGACTTGCATAGCTCCTTGGCCCACGACATTGGCCACGTCGTTTGGACCCATTGCCCGATGCAATAGAAGTCTTGGAAGGTCATGCCTGACGAGATCAAGATGCAAGTTTGCGGCCAGTTGTCAGTATGTTTCCTATCTTTTAATTATTTTTCTTTCAAACTTTATATATTTCTATTACTTAATGTATGTAATGAATTTATTGCAGACGAACTACCACTTAGAGGACCTCAACGAGGAGACCTTGGCGTACGTCAACAGACTCTTCGGTGAGAGGTACAAGCAGTGGAAGAGCGACTTGCACCACCATTTTCAGGCGTTTGATGATCCGCAAGTCGCTCTTCAGGAGGGTTGCCCGAAGGAGCTTGAGGGGCGGGAGGATAGTTGGGCGTGGCTTTGCGCTCATTTTCGGGCACCCGATTATGTGGTATTTTTTTAATAATATTTGTTTAATTATTACATATTCTTATTAATGTTTATTTATTTTTAATATGTCATTATTATTTAATTTATTTATATTTCAACTATACGTTTTATTTTTTGTATAACAGAATAAAGCCCAAGTGAATAAGGGCAATAGGAAGAAGAAGACTCTTCTCCACCATTCCGGCTCCAGGCCCTTCTCATATAGGATGGATGCACGACGTCGGGTAAGAATAATATAATTTATATTTAATTTTTAATACGTCATTATTATTAATTTATTTTGTTCATACTAATATTTTCCTTCTCTTGTTCAATTAAGAGGGGGGTCGAAATTCCCAGAGATGTGTCTTTGGTGACGTTTATGTTCAACCTGGGAATGAGTTGGCCGAGTCCCTTCATGTAAGTATTATTTAATTTTAATTCTTATGTTACGCTTTCAATTTATATGCATTTTTGAATTTATATTTTATGTAATGTTAAACAGACGACGATAGTGGAGAGGAGCCAGTTGGTTCTTCAAGAGTCCGCCTCCCAACTTCCTCCCGAGACTCCGATCAAGTCTGTGGATCCTCCGCATGATGCTGGATTTCAGATTTTGACGCAAACGTTGAATCAGACTCTCGGGAGGAGGCCGGGAATGTATTTAGTGCGTCGACCTCCGAGCCCATCCACCCCGAGCATCCCCAGCACACCACGGCCCCTGCAGACGCCCATACCTCCGAGCCGCATGTGGCAGATAACCAAGTAGATTTTGGAACATTATTTGATTAGTTTTTTATTTTTATAATTACTTTTAAAATTTCTCTTGAATACATTTCTTTTATTTTATATAATAAATGTTTTCTTTGCGATTAATCTTTTTATTGTAATTTCATTTTAATTATTAAAAAAAAACCAAATTTATTTTTTTACAAAATTAAAAAACAAATAATAATAATTTTTTTTAATAATATATATTACTTTTGCGCGATGATTTACGTTTCGTCGCGCAAAATCATTTAAAAAACCTTTTAACAAATATATTTTAATCATGCGCGACGAAGAGTTTCGTTGCGCGAAATGTGTATGCGCGACGAATTATTTCGTAGCGCGAAATTTGTATGCGCGACGAATCGTCTTGTCGCGCGAAATTTGTACGCGTGACGACTCTTTCGTCGTGCAAAGACTAATTGCGCAACGAATACTTTTTCGTCGCGCAAAGTTCATGTATCTCGAGCGACGGAAGCCTCCGTCGCGCGTAATTATGTGCGACTAAAATCATTTGCGTGACGAAGACCCCTACGTCGCGCAAAGACTAAAATGTAGTAGTGAGTGAAGAACTTTTGAGTTCAGCAACTGTAAGATACCTGCCGTTTCCGTTTTCAGCGTAATCTAAACTTGCAGCAGGTTCTTTACTCGATCCATTGATTTTGCTGTATTTTAATTTGTTTCTATTTTCATATATGTTGAGGGTCAACCACAAAGTGATATGTGTTCTCTCTTTTTACTCAAAACAGCTTCTTCGTTTTTTTTTAGTTAATTTTACGTACTGAACCACTAGCTTTTTATCAAAACATAAAAGAAAAAAAAAATTCCCATTGTTTTTATTTTCTCTCTTGGTAACATGATAATGTATTGAAAAAGCCTCCATGAAGAAACTATGTCTACAAATGTTGTCAACGGCAACTTTGGTTGTGGAGGGATTATTAAAGTTAGAGTTGGAAAGGGCCACAAATACTTAAAATTTTGACTGAGAAAGGAAAATTATTATTTTTAAAATAGTTGAGAAAAATCAAAGTGAAAAAAAAACTATGGGAATTTTTTTTGCTTTCTGTTTAGGAAATGCAAAACCAGATGTAAGAGAGATATTGCTTCCTTGAATAAATTTCTTATTTATATCTTGACTTCTAGTTTTTTTTTTCTTTGTTTTTTTTGCCTTTTTGCTGCAAAAGATCATTGAGTGTTCCTAGTTAACAATCCCTCTGGGATTTTGGGATCTAGCAAGGGCCCTATTTAGCTCAAGTAGTTAAGAGCACTTACCCGTTAAATTGCTTTTTATAAACTGAATGTTGTAATTATAGATGGTTTGAATTTCTAACAATGACCAGAAAAGGATAGAAAGCAAAGGGACGAAAAGATGTCGACTGTTTGCGAGAATGTGGAGTACAGTAGTCCAAATCAGAATAGTAAACATGAAGAGATTGCGGAGTACAATGGTCCGAAGCATAATACTAAACATGACGCCCAACATCCTCCCACCTTATACACCTCTAAGTCTCTCAATCTGAGGAAGTATGACTTTCATCTTACCATATGTTGTTTTCGGAAACTAGAGGCAGCTGCAGCCATTTTTTTTCGGGTGTATGTATCCTGTGTGCGTGTGTTTATTTGTGAGATAGTTCAAGAAAGCACTTACCATGATCTAAGTTGGAGGAAAATAGTTAGTAGGATAAATGTCCTCTACCTATATGTTCTAACTTCTTTCTTTTATCCTTATCAGGCCCAAAATTTTCTGCATGACTGGAAGCCAAAAATATCGCTTCAGGTCGCTAAGGTGCGAAAAGAACAAAAATATTGCTGAAAATATGTTCATCCAACATTTTCCTCTCCAAATTTTACTTCTCCCACATGAGGAGTGCACAAGGTTATTTAAGGGAGATTTTGGAGAACCAAAATCATCACCCTGATACAGTTATGAATACAAATCAAAATAGGAACCAGCTCAATTTATCAAACAAATGCTGTAAATTTGTTAATAGAACATCTGTTACAGCTAAATGTTGGGGTTCAAGACTATCGATTCCTTTTTTACTGATTGTAGTTCCATTTTCAGAAGGACAAAGACTACATCAGAAATCGCAAAGAAAACTGTGAATGAAGAAGAATGCCATGGCAAGGTACGAGTGTTGGACCAGCCAGACAAGTGGTGTATCTACAGGGTCCCCAGCAAACTCCGCAAAGTAAATGAAGCAGCATACACTCCTCAATTGCTATCAATAGGTCCTTTCCACCATGGAAAACCAGAACTGAAGGACATGGAAACCCATAAAAAGATATATTATGAGAATTTTCTTGCACGTTGTAAAAAGAGTAAGGATGAACTAGAGCAATTTATCAAGACTCGTCAAGAAAATATTCTTTGTTGTTATGCAGGGACCATTGAGCTTGACGTAGACCCTGCAAACATAATTGTGGTTGATGCCTGCTTCATCATCGAGCTCTTTTTAACGAACTTCTATGAAACTGAAAATCATAAAAATGATTATATATTGAGATCACCATGGCTGAGGAAAGCTGTAGAGCAGGACTTGATACTGTTTGAAAATCAGCTTCCTTATTCTCTTCTTCAAGAACTATATCATGACTTTGCTGTGCCTGTCTCTCGCAGTTTCCAACCCTGCAAAGAAGTACAAGAACAGACTCATAGTACCAATGACCGCCTGTGCTGCTTGCCTTGCTCCTGGCGGATACCTTGCAATGAACATTCCATAGAAATTGACGAAGCCAAACCTGCAGATGACGAAGCCGAACCTGCTGATTATGATCCCCTGCTTGAGCTTACCTTTGAGTTCTTCAAAGATTATAATGAGGGGAAATCCATCAAGAATAGAGTAAAACCGAAACATTTCACCGATTTGGTTAGGCATTTTCTATGTCCTGACAAAGAAATGGATTGTGAACACAATAGTGCTCCTGTCAAAAATATATATGCTGCAAAGAAGCTGAGGGCATCAGGGGTGAAGTTTAGGCCACTTAAAGATGGACCCTTAATCATAAAGAAAGATGAGGCCACTAAATGTAAGTTCAACTTGGCATGTTTTAGAAATATGGACTTGAAGCTTACGCCATTTTGTGTCAAGGATGAGACAGAATGCGTTGTTCGGAACATCATGGCCTTGGAGCAGTTTTTGTACGCAGACAAACCTTATATCTGCAATTACTTTTTGCTTATGGATCAGCTGGTGGACACTGTGGATGATGTGGTTTTGTTGGTTGAGAACAAAGTTATTCTTAACATGCTAGGCAGCAACGAAGCAGTAGCCAAGCTGGTTAATAGACTTTGCGAGCAGATCATGGACGATAAATCCTGCTATTTTGATATCTGTGAACAACTTAATAAGCACTATGAGAATTTTTGGAACCGACATGTGGCAACCCTGAAACGAGTTTACTTCAAGGATCTCTGGACTGGCAGTTCAACTGTACTAGGAGTTGTTGTCCTTGTTTTCTCAGTCATTGGAACCATTAAGTCTCTCAAGTCATAAGCTTTATGCTCGTTCAACTCGTGATTCTTAATAGACAGAATGTTAATTTCAGTCATTACTTCAAGTGATGAACTGAACAAATAAGTTAGTTAGTGTTATAGATTTAACATAAAGTTCGAGTTACGAATTAGTTCTGTTATTGTTGTTAAAGACTGCAGAGCAGCTCTTGTGAATTGATTGTAATGAACATAATTTCCTTTTTAGAATTAAATAAAGAAAGAGTTATGCTCTTGTTTTCATTGCACTCAGAGTTGGAAGACTTGGATCTTGAATTTTCAGCTTCAAAGCCACTTGCTGCTTTGTCTGGTCTTTACAGCAAATAGTTGTTAAGAATGTAATTGCAGATGTAAGTCTTGTGTCTCATCTTCCACAGACAACTGTATAAGCTTCAAGTCCATGTTTCTAAAACATGTTAAGTTGAACTAATAATTACAAATATTACAGACTTGATCATCCCTTTTTATGGCAAAGGTTACATCTTCAATTGGCCTAAACTTCACCCCTGCTGCTGCTGCCTTGAGCTTTTCCCGGGTGATATATATTTTTCAGAGGGCCACCAACTCCATTTGCTTTGCTTCAATTTTTGTACCTTGGATTGTATGTAGTTCAAAATAAATTTCGTTCAAATAGTAGCTTACCCTCTTTTCAATCAACAAAAGATTGGATATACTTGGGATCCCTTTTAACATTAAGAAGAAAACTGCCATGAAAGTTGATCTAACTCGTCCTCTTATAAAATACTCTTGCTTTTTTCTAATGGCAAACCAATAGGAGTTCATTAAATACGGAAATATATGAAGGCTTTGGTACAATTTCAAACTTCAATCAAGGCATTAACGAGCCAGGAAGGAGGATTTACAATCCACCCAGGAGCGTACAATATTTTTACCATTTCAAGATGCTACATCATGAGCAACTTTATTATGCCTATGAGCAATTTCGTTAAAGATGCTCTTTTTTCATACGCTATGAATTCCAACTGGGCATCCATACGCAGACCGCTCCAGATGTTGAGAGTTAAGCTGCATACTAGTTTTGAATCAAGCTGCAGATGTTAATCCTGCATATTAATAGTGAAGAGAATGAAGAAATCAAAGGAGCTGAAGAACTTTCCTTTCTTGGTAATAGCTGTTATCCAACGGCTAGTTTTGTTACTATTTTAGGAAACTCTACAGCTGTAATTCTTAGCTGTTTTAGTCCTTCCTGCTGTAACAATTTCTAGCCTAGGTGTAAGAATCATAGCCTCCAATGACCTTGAATGGCTGGAGATGAGTCCTTGTGTCCTAGTTTTTAAGATTTGTTTTTTGGCAACTTGTGTCATGCATATAGTGTGATTTTGGCTATGATGCAATATAACGAAAAAGACTGAAAACATTCTCATTCTCCCTGTGTGTTTTTTCTCTCCTCTGCATACGTTGCCTACACTGATTTTGGTTTTCTATAAATCAGTCACTAAAACTAGCAAGCTAAATACCAAATTCTAACATGGTATCAGAGCATTTGGTCTGATTTCAGAGAAGGGGCGTGAGCTGTGAGAAAGGGGGCTTTCCTGAAATCTCTATAAGGGATAAAGGTTGCTCTTTTATAGTGTGGTTCACTGAGACTCACATAAAAATGGTGGGTTCAGGTTATGCAGGTGGAGATTTACGAACTCCACAGTTCAATGGTTCAAACTATGATTTTTGGTCAATAAAAATGGAGACTATCCTCATAGCATATGACCTATGGGATGCAGTGGAGATTGGAATACAACCACATCCGATTATTGAGCAGGAAGCAGGCTCTGAAGGCACTGGAGATGAAGAGAGTGAGGCTGAGCAAATCCCAGTGAAAGCACCTACTATCTCCAGAGAAGATAAGATCAAAAATGCCAAGGCTTTGAGTCTTATTCAAGGATCACTAACAGATGAACTCTTTCCTCGCATCAGAAATGAGAAGACTGCAAAAGGTGCTTGGGAAATTCTAAGAAGAGAGTTCAGAGGGGATAAAAAGGTAAGAGTTGTGAAATTACAAGCTATTAGAGCTGATTTTGAATATTTGAGAATGAATGATGTTGAATCTTTAGATGACTACTTGGCTCGATTTTTTGAAACTGTAAACAACCTGAAATCTCTAGGAGAAGATGTAACAGAGAAAAGGATTGTTCAAAAATTGTTGATGAGTCTAAGTAGGAGGTACAAGTCCATAGTGTCAATCATTGAAGAAACCAAAGACCTTGACACTATTAGAGTTGAAGAAATTCTTGCATCTGTCAAAGTCTATGATAAGAGAGAGGATCTACATGATGAAAGGGATAAATTGGCAGGAACTGAGAAAGCTTTTAGCAGTCTCAGAGTTGGAAATAATCAAGCTTCTGGAGCTAACAAAAGTTCTCAGGGAAAGCAAAATAAAAAATGGCAAGGACAGAACAAAAGGGCTCAAATTGGTCTCAAGGTGGAAACTTTAACAACAATAGTGGCTCAAATTGGAGTAATGGCTCTGGAGGGAATTGGAACAACAGTTTCAATTCACAAAACAAGCAAGGAAATAGCAGTCAAGGTGGTGTGAAACCACAGTGCCAAGTCTGTCAAAAGTATCACTTTGGTGTGTGCAGGCACAAAGGCAAACCTAGATGTGGAAAATGCAATAGGTTTGGTCATACTACAAAGGACTGTGACAATGGTAAACAAGTTGCAAACTGTGCAAAGGAGGAAGAGGTAACCACAGGAACAATGTTCTATGCCTGCCATGTAAGTTCAATTGCATCAAGCAAGTCTGTGTGGTTTGTTGACAGTGCTTGCAGCAATCACATGACCTCTCAAGAGTCCTTGTTGATCAATCTTGATAGGTCGGTGACCTGCAAAGTGAAAATGGGCACTGGTGACCTTGTTCAAGCCACAGGAAAAGGGACACTAGTAGTTGAGACAAGAAAAGGGAGAAGATATATAAATGAGGTGTTGTTAGTCCCTGGTTTGGATGAGAATTTGTTAAGTGTAGGACAAATGATGGAGCATGGGTACTACATTCTATTTGGAGGAAACTATGCATTAATATGTGATGACAGCAGCCTTGATAATATTGCTGCCAAAGTAGCAATGGCTGGAAATAGATGCTTTCCATTGTCTATGGAATCTATCTGCTCAATGGGAATGAAAGCAACAGTGCAAGAAGATCCATGGGTTTGGCATAGAAGATTGGGGCATTTGAATTTTGCAAGCATGAAAAAAATGCAGCAAACACAAATGGTGTTAGGCTTACCTGATTTCTCAGAAAAAGAAGGAGTATGTGAAGGCTGTGTGTATGGTAAAAGCTATAGAGAACCATTTGAGAATGAGAAGCCTTGGAGAGCTAAGAATCCACTTGAGTTAATACACACGGATGTATGTGGTCCAATGCAAAATGAGTCCATTGGAGGAAATAGATACTTCATCACATTCATTGATGACTATTCAAGAATGTGTTGGGTATATTTTCTCAGAAACAAGTCAAGTGTGATAAGTGTGTTCAAAACGTTCAAACCATTTGTTGAGCTACAAAGTGGATTCAATTTAAAGAAACTAAGAAGTGACAGAGGTGTAGAATACACTTCACATGAATTCCTTGAGTATTGCAGTGATCTTGGCATGGAGAGGCAACTGACTATTGCCTACACACCTCAGCAAAATGGGATTGCTGAAAGAAGAAACAGAACTATTTGTGAAATGGCAAGATCAATGATGACTGAGAAGAAAATTCCTGTAAAGTTCTAGGTTGAAGCAGTTGGTACTGCTGTGTATCTGCAAAACAAGTGCTAACTACTTCAGTTTCAGACAAAACTCCATTTGAAGCCTTCACAAGAAGGAAACCATGTGTAAAACACCTGAGAGTGTTTGGAAGTATCTGTTACAGTCACATTCCATCAAACCTTAGACAGAAGTTTGATGACAAAGCAAGCAAAGGAATTTTTATGGGTTATGGCAGCTGTGAGAAGGGTTACAGGGTCTATAATCTTCAAACTGAGAAGATTATACTCTCTAGAAGTGTTGTTTTTTATGAGAACAAATCCTGGAATTGGGAAAGCAAGCAAGATAAAACTGTTTCTGTGCCTTTCATCTTTGAAAATGGAAATTCTGAGATAGCTTAAACAGAAGAAGCCTTTCATGAAATTCACAGCATTGATTCACCAAATCTGAATCAATTAATCTCAGATGATGAACATGTCTTTGGAAGAAATGGCAGTGGCACCAGTCAAGGGTCAACTCCAAGCAATACACCAGTAAAGCTGAGAAGTTTGGAGGACATTTATGCAAGATGTCACATGACCATTATTGAACCTGAAACTTATTATGAAGCTGTAGAAGACAAAGCATGGAAGGAAGCAATGGATGCTGAGATTGAAACTATTGAAAAGAATGGAACTTGGGAGCTAGTGGAAAGGCCTACAGATAAACCAGTCATAGGAGTCAAATGGGTGTTCAAAACCAAGTTGAATCTGGATGGAACAGTTCAAAAACACAAGGCTAGGCTTGTAGCTAAAGGGTATGCTCAAAAACCTGGTATTGATTATAATGAAACCTTTGCCCCGGTGGCAAGGTTAGATAAAATTAGAACTTTGATTGCACTTGCAGCACAAAAGGGTTGGAAGTTGTTCCAATTAGATGTTAAGTCAGCCTTCTTGAATGGAGTACTTGAGGAGGAGGTTTATACTGAGCAACCAGAGGGGTTTGAAGTGAAAGCAGCAAGTCATAAGGTCTATAAATTGAAGAAGGCACTCTATGGTTTGAAGCAGGCTCCCAGAGCCTGGTATAGTGAAATTGACACCTATCTAGCTAGCTGCAATTTTAAAAGAAGCACTAGTGAGGCCACCGTATATACCAAAACTGATGAAGAAGGAAAATTGATCATTGTCTCTATATATGTTGATGATATAGTTTATACTAGAAACAGTAATGCATTGCTCAATGAGTTTAAAAGGGACATGATGCAAAAGTATGAGATGACTGATTTAGGACTCTTACATCATTTCTTGGGAATGGGAGTTCTACAAACTGATAAAGGGGTGTTTATTCATCAAACCAAGTATGCAAAGTCCTTGTTTGTGAAGTTTGGTCTCGAGGATTGTAAGTCAATAACAATTCCTCTACCCACTGGTGAGAAACTAAAGAAAATTGATGGAAGTCAGTTGGTTGATGAAGGTTTGTTTAGAAAAATTGTTGGCAGCCTGTTGTATCTGACTGCAACCAGGCCTGATATAATGTTTGCAGCCAGTTTGTTATCAAGATTCATGCATAGCCCTACAAAGAAACACATGGGAATTGCAAAAAGGGTTCTCAGATATGTTCAAGGTACTCTCAGTTATGGCATTGAATTTACAAGGGACAAGAATGCTGTTCTGATTGGTTTTTGTGACTCTGATTGGGCTGGCAGCGAAGATGATAGTAGAAGCACATCTGGATATGCATTCAGTTTTGGTAGTGGAATTTTCTCATGGGCTTCGGTCAAGCAAAACACAGTTGCATTGTCAACTGCAGAAGCTGAATACGTCTCAGCAGCTGAGGCAACAACTCAAGCTATCTGGCTAAGACTTGTGTTGGATGATTTTGGTGAAATGCGACCTGATGCAACACCATTGTTTTGTGACAACATGTCAGCAATATCAATGGTCAAAAATCCTGTTTTCCATCAGAAAACAAGGCACATAAACCGAAGGTATCATTTCATAAGGGAAGCTTTACAAGAAGGGGTGATTGATATAAAATTCTGCTGAGGTGAAGAACAGTTGGCAGATATTTTTACAAAAGCTCTGCCTAAAGATCGATTCAATTATTTGAGGTTGAAGCTTGGAGTTAAACCAGTAAGCAGCTTAGGAGAGGTTGTTGAGAGTTAAGCTGCATACTAGTTTTGAATCAAGCTGCAGATGTTAATCCTGCAGATTAATAGTGAAGAGAATGAAGAAATCAAAGGAGCTAAAGAACTTTCCTTTCTTGGTAATAGCTGTTATCCAACGGCTAGTTTTCTTACTATTTTAGGAAACTCTACAGCTGTAATTCTTAGTTGTTTTAGTCCTTCCTGCTGTAACAATTTCTAGCCTAGGTGTAAGAATCATAACCTCCAATGACCTTGAATGGCTGGAGATGAGTCCTTGTGTCCTCGTTTTTAGGATCTGTTTTTTGGCAGCTTGTGTCATGCATATAGTGTGATTTTGGCTCTGATGCAATATAACGAAAAAGACTGAAAACATTCTCATTCTCCCTGTGTGTTTTTTCTCTCCTCTGCATACGTTGCCTACATTGGTTTTGGTTTTCTGTAAATCAGTCACTAAAACCAGCAAGCTAAATACCAAATTCTAACACCAGACGTCTATGAGAAAGTTACAATGGACTCGACCTCAATCTTCAGCCAGCCCTCTCCAAACTGTCACGGCCTCTGCAATGAAACTTATATGCAGTATTGCACGCAACCTGACAATAGGGCGGTGTTAAAGATTGGGGAAAAAAGAAGAAGTGTGAAATGGATCCTGCGGTTGTTTATTTTGCCGTGTCAAAGAAACTAGTGAAGCATGCCCGAATTAGGCATGATAGGGCAATTTCAATGATCTTATTTGCAATTACTCTTTGAAAGTGTTGTATAATATTTCAATGAGTTGATTATACTTTTCATATCGAATTATATACATGTGCGGGCATAGTATTAAATTAAACGGTCTAGCGAGTTTGTTAAACTTGTTTAGTACAAGAATTAGGGTTGTGAGTAGTTTTCTATGTATCATCTTGTTTTCATTTTATTGTGAAAGAAGATAGAATACTGGAACTTAGGTGACCAATGAGGTGTTAGTTGGATTGATTCAAATTTTTGGTGAGCTCCCAAGTAGTCCTAAGTTCAAGTCCCAATGGTACCCGTATCACCATGTGTGTGAGTTTTTCCCCTCTCCTTCCTAACTTTGGCACACAAAAAAAAATGAGGTGACCATAGAAAATCAATACTTTTTTGAAAAAACAATGTATCAGTTTCTCATTATTTAGCATGTAAATAATATTCTAGCTAGATGTGTCTCTTACATAAATTATAACTTGATTATCTCTCGCATAAATTATAACCTCATCTATCTCTCATATAAATTACTATAACTTAATCTATCTCGCAGATAAAGATAACAAAAATGCTGGTGGTGATCCCAAAACACGAGCGAATTGGTTCAGCGCCGAGGACGCAGAGAATATCTAGTTGCAGGTGCTGACCCTTCAATAGATGGTGACGACAGTACATACTCAGAAGAGGACGAGGAAGCAGATGGCGACAGTACATACTCGGAAGATGACGACGTAGATGGCAAGGAAGCTGACGCGTCACTTTCAGTATGTTCATCATCAGGAGCTGATCTTGATGCTGGATCTGGTGCAGCCCTTTTAGATCTGACAGTATGTCTCATCGAGGGATTCACCCTGCTACTTTCACCCCCTGCCGCAGACGCAGATGTCTGTGGGGGGGCGGACGTGGATGGTGGCATAGGGGCTGACGTGGAGATCATGGCCCCAGTGGTTGTTGTCAGTGAAGCCATGCCCATGGCAGAGGGTTCCAAGAGTATCTTAATCTCCTTATTAAGATTAGAACGTAATGACAGACAGTCGTCCAATTCTTGACCTGAACTTGACACAAACATCAATTTAGTACTATCCACAATATTCGTTATTAATTGTTGACGAGTGTTTTGTCTAATCTCAGTAATGCTAGGATTAGGAGTGTCAATGTCAACAGAAGAGCTCAGGATGACATTCATCTTAAATTTCTGATTGGGTTCACGTCTGTGAGTCTCTGGAGGAAAGTGTACACCCGCTGCTGCAGCAGATGATGGCTGCGCTGCCGAAGTCGAAGCTGTGGCAGTGGCTGCCTCCCCCAACGGTTCGAACTCAAAGAGCTCAATGCGTGAATTGGATGCAAGCCCTTCAATGCTCTCAATTATAAGCGAATCTTCATCGAGATATTGGCGGTTGAAGAATAGGACTTGCTGGATTGCACTTATCCGTAGTAAATTTTCAATCTGGTTCTTTATGGATGCCACATTCCCAAACTTGTTCACTTCAATAACTTCGTCATTATGCCCTTTATGCACCACAACCAACTTGTAGCACTCCCTGAAAATCATTAAGAACTGTTTGAGAAAGGTTGTCTTATTTATTTGTATAGAAAACATATATAGAATTAAACATTTATAAGACAAATGAAAAATAATAAAATACTATTACTTAAAATTTGTTAGGATACATACCCGACTGTCTCCAGCCTTCCTCCCGTAAGTTGATTGTCGCGAACCTCGTTACCATCACTGGCTGGTACCCCCTGTCCCTGACCATGATCGTCGCCAACCACGTTACCATCATTGGTTGCTACTCCTTGACCGTGATTGGGATCATCGCCAACCACGTTATCATCATTGACTTCTACCTGACCCTCAACAACCGTTCTACCACCGTTTAGATCATCTATGAATAATAGATCCACATCGTCAAGTTTTTTGTAGAATGATGGTGATTCTTGTCCAGGTAAATGTGGTTGTTCATCCATTGTACGTAAAATCACAAACTATGACTGTGATGTAAGAAAGAAAAAGGAGCAAAAATTGAAAAGATATGATCGAGAAGCTTGATGTGCGCATGCACTATCTTAAACCTGGAAGACAATGGGGGCAGAGAGGACTGTATATATAATAGCTCTGTGATAAGGTTCTTCTTTTTCCTTTTTGTTTTGGGATAATAGGTCCTTACTTTCCCTTTTTGATATCCCAGTTTGTTTTGGGATAGTAGGTCCTGACTTGCCCTTTTGGATATCCAGATTGGCGGCTTAGGATTGTATAGCTCCTCACTTATCCTTTTGAATATCCAGTTTGTTCTGGGATTTGATATCCCAGTTTGTTTTGGGATAGTAGCTCCTGACTTGCCCTTTTGGATATCCAGTTTGGCGGCTTGGGATAGTATAGCTCCTCACTTACTCTTTTGGATATCCAGTATGGTTGTGCACGTACCCAAAAAAAGATTTGCTCCAAAAGCGATTCATAGAAGCCCAGATTTGTGCTAATAGTTTTTTGTTTTGGCTGTTCTTAAAACAAAATAAACAAAAAAAGATGACAGTTTTCTATTTGAAATTTTGAACCCAGCAAAGGTCTTTTCAGCATGTGTTCCAAATCCACACCAAATCCAACCCACCGCACCGCCATATGCGATGATATATTTGTCCTTGCTTAATACAATCCGCAAAATTATTTTGTTTTGTTTTCTTTCCTTTTTCTTTTTCTATCTGATCATATATATATATATATATATATATATATATTCTTTAAATGCAAATAGATAATAAAAACTCTACTCTACGTAGATGATATTGATTAGTGAAGGAATTAAACACGTCATTACATTTAAACACAAATTAAGCATCTCAACAAGTAGATAATATATATTTCTTAAATGCAGAATCTGATGCATCCATCTGTAGTATAGTGTAAACTAATGGACTAAGCGACCACAACTGGAGCAGCAGAGCCCAACATTAATTCTGATTACTCATCATAACCTCAATGCCTTAACTCCCTTAATCGTTTGAGCATAAGTTGTAAGCCTCTTGACACGGGGTGCCAGAGGCACATTATGAACAATGCAGTCTTCCACAATCCTTCTGACTAGTTCCAATCCTTGAACTGGACCCATAACAGCAACCAGGTCATCCTATTTATTTACAAGCAAGTTAAAAATCATTAGAAGTCATCTTTCTCTTCCCACTCCATTTGGGCTTGTGGGAAGACCGGATAAAATAAATTTACAAATACAACCATCAAAAGTAGAAAGAAACACTAACAGATGGGCAGAGATAAATGTCACAGCCTGTCAGTTTTTCAAGTGCCTGCATCCCAATTACATTATGAAAAAAAAATAAAATTTGAAATGACAAGCAGAAAAAAGCGTGATCTAGAACACTTTTATTTACCTGTACCGGGAGAGTCATGAGTACTTTCTTCCTAGAAACATACTTATCCTGCACATACATACATACACAATACAATATATTAAAAAAAAAAAAACACATATATAATTGAGCTTTTGCGTGGAAGAGAGAGCTCTTTGTCAGACTCTTCATGGGATAGAGAGCATAACTCTGGAAGGCCCATATTCCTCATATTATTGTCACATTAGTAGTTGTATCACTACACCCTAATCAATTCTAAACCTTTCTAAAGTCAAACAACTCTAAATGCCATGCTATAGTACTCCTTAAATTTAAAGTTCCTGCATCATAACTAAAGAAGAATGCTTAAAAGAACAAAAATAATTATACGAAACAAAAATGGAAGGAAATTACTTAAGAAATACCTACCATCTTGATCCCAAATTTTTTGCAAAGCCCGCCTATATGATACCCAGTGTAGATGAGGTGACATGGAATTCCATTCAATACTTTTACTGCCTGGATCAAAATGTTGCGCACTTAAATCAAAAGTTTAATACATAGATGAGAAGGATAGGTAAATTGGACATAAAATTTTGATTGAAAACCGTCCAGCAAATATGATTGGCATTCTTGACATTGAAATGAATTGAACTTGAATAATAACTGAGAGGTTACAGATAAGAAAGAATAACAAAAGATTTGACATTGGTATACCTGAAGTGCAGGAACAGCTGCGGACAAAAGTCGAAGAAGATATCTAGACTTGAGAATAGCATATGGGTCCTTGGCCCTGGTTGTTGTGAATGTGATGAAATACCGATCCTAACCATGATTTAAAAAAAACAACTTAACATGTACATAACTAAAAGAACTCAAAACCAACATTTATTATAACATACCACATCCAATGCACATGAAATGTCATACTCTTCTAAAGCAGATTGCAACACCGGCCAAGCTTCTTGCAAATCTGTTGCTGTGAAAAACAATGCAAAGACTCATAAGTAAGAAAGCTTATTCGTTCTATTTCATAATTATCATAGTAATAATTATAACTGGAATGAAGAAGAAAAGGAAATTTCGCATAATCATATATAACTCAAACGAAATAAGAAGAGGAAAATTTATTTTCAGTAAATTCATGAGAAGGCAAACAAAAAGGAAAAATAAGAATAAAGAAAGAAAGATACTGATGCGTCTAAGAAAGGGCATGCGGAGAATGCTGTAATCAACTGGGCTATCTTTGTCAGATGTAGGGGTAGACTTGTCGATAACCATGCGGTGGACGCTTGGATCCTCCATGCCATTGACGTGGTTACGCATTGTAATTAAGCTCTCTGTTGCTAATGTTGGTTTGGGTACTTGTTGAAACCCTTGGCATAAACAGAGAGAGAATGTGTTGGGGACCTGTGAAAACCTTAGGCACAGATAGAGAGAGAGAATGAGGCACCGACACAGATAGAGAGAAAGAGAGTGAGTTTCTTGCCTAGAAAATTGGACGCTCGCTGTTGTTTTGGGTAATTGTCGAAACCCTAGCTAAGCAGAGACACAGGCACAGAAGAAACATCAGACAATGGAGAGGTTATTGCCCAGGAAATTGGGCTTTGCTTGTCCCGTAAAAAAATACTGTTGGGCTTGGACGAAAAAGCCCTAAACCCTAAAACTCCATGAATATTATTTGAGTGCAAAAAACATAACAACATTTATACCCACCATAAAACATAACAACATTTATCGCCCACATAACATAACAACATTTATCAAAAAACATAACAAACATTTATCGCCCATATAAGCCCTAAACCCTACTACACCACTGTGGTAGTCGACTCAAGAACCTCAACAGATAAAACTTGCAGGTTTGATTTCCTCCATATTTATTCAGTTAATTTGCAAACTTGACTTCTGTTTCTACTTACACCTTGGTCAGTGAACGACATTGCTTGCAAAAGTATTTTAATTTCGATACTCCTAGCTGTTTTCTTTTTCTTTTCAATTTGAAAGCAAAACTATTTTAAAAAGGTACTGTTCTTGGGCCTGGAAATAGGAAATGCAAAAACAGATGAAAGAGAGATATTGCTTCCTTGAATAAATTTCTTATCTAATTCTTGACTTACTCTTTTTTCTTTCCTTGTTTTTTGCCTTTTTGCTGCTAAAGATCATCGAGTGTTCCTAGTTAACAATCCCTCTGGGATTTTGGGATATATTAAAGTATTTTTCGGAGATCTTGCCCTATATAGCTCAAGTAGTTAAGAGCACTTACCTGTTAAATTGCTTTTTATAAACTGAATGTTGTAATTATAGATGGTTTGAATTTCTAAAAATGACCAGAAAAGGATAGAAAGCAAAGGGATGAAAAGATGTCGACGGTTGGCGAGAATGTGGAGTACAGTAGTCCAAAGCAGAATGGTAAACATGAAGAGATTGCGGAGTACAATGGTCCAAAGCATAATACTAAACATGACGCCCAACATCCTCCCACCTTATACACCTCTAAGTCTCTCAATCTCAGCAAGTATGCCTTTCATCTTACCATATGTTGTTTTCGGAAATTAGAGACAGCTGCAGCCTTTTTTTTTTCGGGTGTATGTATCCTGTGTGCATGTTTACTTGTGAGATAGTTCAAGAAAGCACTTACCACGATCTAAATTGGAGGAAAATAGTCAGTAGGATACATGTCCTCTACCTTCTAACTTCTTTCTTTTATCCTTATCAGGCCCAAAATTTTCTGCATGACTGGAAGCCAAAAATATCGTTTGAGGTCTCTAAGGTGCGAAAAGAACAAACATTTGATGACATCACAAATTATCACCATATTGAAATATGTTCATCCAACATTTTCCTCTCCAAATTTTACTTCTCCCACATGAGGAGTGCACCAGGTTATTTAAGGGAGATTTTGGAGAACCAAAAACATCACCCTGATACAGTTATGAATACGAAACAAAATAGGAACCAGCTCAGTTTATCAAACAAATGCTGTAAATTTGTTAATAGAACATACAAGCAGCAGTTTTAAAATGAGTTCTGCTAATAGAACATTTTTTACAGCTAAATGTTGAGGTTCAAGACTATCGATTCCTTTCTTACTGATTGTAGTTCCATTTTCAGAAGGACAAAGACTACGTCAGAAATCACCAAGAAAACTGTGAATGAAGAAGAATGCCGTGGCAAGGTACGAGTGTTGGACCAGCCAGGCAAGTGGTGTATCTACAGGGTCCCCAGCAAACTCCGCAAAGTAAATGAAGCAGCATACACTCCTCAATTACTATCAATAGGCCCTTTCCACCATGGAAAACCAGAACTGAAGGACATGGAAACCCATAAGAAGATATATTATGAGAATTTTCTTGCACGTTGTAAGAAGAGTAAGGATGAACTAGAGCAATTTATCAAGACTCGTCAAGAAAATATTCTTTGTTGTTATGCAGGGACCATTGAGCTTGACATAGACCCTGCAAACATAATTGTGGTTGATGCCTGCTTCATCATCGAGCTCTTTTTAACAAACTTCTACGAAACTGAAAATCATAAAAATTATTATATATTGAGATCACCATGGCTGAGGAAAGCTGTAGAACAGGACTTGATACTGTTTGAAAATCAGCTTCCTTATTCTCTTCTTCAAGAACTATATCATGACTTTGCTGTGCCTGTCTCTCGCAGTTTCCAACCCTGCAAAGAAGTACAAGAACAGACTCATCGTACCAATGACCTCCAGTGCTGCTTGCCTTGCTCCTGGCGGATATCTTGCAATGAACATTCCATAGAGATTGACGAAGCCAAACCTGCTGATTATGATCCCCTGCTTGAGCTTACCTTTGAGTTCTTCAAAGATTATAATGAGGGGAAATCCGTCAAGAATAGAGTAAAACCGAAACATTTCACCGATTTGGTTAGGCATTTTCTATGTCCTGACGAAGAAATGGATTGTGAACAAAATAGTGCTCCTGTCAAAAATATATATGCTGCAAAGAAGCTGAGGGCATCAGGGGTGAAGTTTAGGCCACTTAAAGATGGACCCTTAATCATAAAGAAAGATGAGGCCACTAAATGTAAGTTCAACTTGGCATGTTTTAGAAATATGGACTTGAAGCTTATGCCATTTTGTGTCAAGGATGAGACAGAATGCGTTGTTCGGAACATCATGGCCTTGGAGCAGTTTTCGTACCCAGACAAACCTTATATCTGCAATTACTTTTTGCTTATGGATCAGCTGGTGGACACTGGATGATGTGGATTTGCTGGTTGAGAACAAAGTTATTCTTAACATGCAGCAGTGGCCAAGCTGGTTAATAGACTTTGCGAGCAGATCATGGGCGATAAATCCTGCTATTTTGACATCTGTGAACAGCTTAATAAGCACTATGAGAATTTTTGGAACCGTCATGTGGCAACCCTGAAACGAGTTTACTTCAAGGATCTCTGGACGGGCAGTTCAACTGTACTTGGAGTCGTTGTCCTTGTTTTCTCAGTCATTGGAACCATTAAGTCTCTCATATCGTAATCTTTAAGCTCGTTCAACTCGTGATTCTTAATAAACAGAATGTTAATTTCAGTCATTACTTCAAGTGATGAACTGAACAAATAAGTTAGCTAGTGTTATGGCTTTAACATAAAGTTTGAGTTACTAATTAGTTCTGTTATTGTTGTTAAAGACTGCAGAGCAGTTCTTGTGAATTGATTGTAATGAACATAATTTCCATTTACAATTAAATAATAAAGAAAGAGTTATGCTCTTGTTTTCATTGCACTCAGAGTTGAAGACTTGGATCTTGAAACTTCAGCTTCAAAGCCACTTGCTGCTATCTTTGTCTGGTCTTTACAGCAAATAGATGTTAAGAATGTAATTGCAGATGTAAGCCTTGTATTAATTTCGTTCAAATAGTAGCTGACCCTTTTTTCAATCAACAAGAGATTGGATATAATTGGGATCTCTTTTTAACAGTAAGAAGAAAATTGCCATGAAACTAAGTTGATCTAACTCGACCTCTTATAAAATTCTCTTGCTTTTTTCTAATGGCAAACAGATAGGAGTTCATTAAATACGGAAATATATGAAGCCTTTGGTACAATTTCAAGCTTTAATCGAGGCATTAACCAGCCAGTAAGGAGGATTTACAATCCACCCAGGGGCTTACAATATTTTTACCATTTCAAGATGCTACATCATGAGCAACTTTCAACCGCCTACGAGCAATTACGTTAAAGATGCTCTTTTCCCACGGGGCATCCATATGCAGACCACTCCAGACGTCTATGAGAACGTTACAATGGACTCAACCTCAATCTTCAGCCAGCCCTCTCCAAACTGTCACAGCCTCTGCAATGAAACTTATACAGTATTGCACACATCCTGACAGTAGTAAAGCTCAAATATCATCTCCACACACACAAACACCAGATCGCTATTGCCTCTGATTGCTCACACCATGCAGCATTGCACGTTAACTTCAGCAATCGTCAAACTCAGACAGCTCCAGCTCAACTCACTCAGCAGAAACCCCTTGAACTGGATTCTCTAAATGTTATACTGCCTTATAGCGTCTTTACCATGCACACAAACAAGTCTTCAGAGCAAGTCCACCCCAAAAGGCTAAGGCAAGGCAAAGGCAAGGCAAGGGCTGCCACTATTCACGTGAATAGTGTCAGCCTTGCTTTTTTTGGTTCCACCTCAAATGGCAAGGGCAAGGACAATTACTATTTATTTTAATTATTTTAATATTTTTTTTATACTTAAACCATTAATTTTGGCATGGTAAGTGAAAAATATGACTAGGTATTTATATATAAAAAAATTCTGAAAATTTTGGTTTTTTTTTCAAAATTTTTTTGTTGCTAACGTCATCAATGACGTTAGCAAACCCAGGCAAGAGCCCAAGCAAGATTTGCCTTTGGGGCTGCCCAGGCTTGTGGCCCCCATCAACTGCCTAATCTTGCCTTTGTGTGCTAGAGCTAAAAGCTGGGCCTAGGCCCCTTGCTACCTAGGCAAATTAGCAGCACTGGAGGTACTTTCAGGGTCAATAACAGTAAGACTACCATTAATAGACTTAAATTCTTTTAGATGATGGTAGCCACAAGTTGCTGTTACTCTGCATGGTGATGGCACTGGCTCTAGAAGGGATGACCTAAGCATAAATGTTATGTAAAACTACGATTACATTGCAGATACGTAGAGGTTTTTCTTTTTCTTTTTGAGGTATTAGGATTGTGCAAGCATGTATACAATGCAGTATGCTCAATCTCGACTTCATATCCTCTATTCCCAATTTCTCTATACCCCATCTATCTCCTATTTCAAATCTTGACATCTGTCTCTCTACTTTGTTGAGACTATTTGTCCCACATCAAAAAGTTAAGGAACTTAGTCTGAGTTTATAAGGAGTTGAACTACTTTCCTCATTGCCAATTAATTTTGGAGTGAAACCTCAACTTCCTTTACAATTAACAGCACTTAACTTTGTTAAGCCTGAATTAAATTTAAAAAGAAATAAAAACACAAATAACAAAGAACCCAGTCAACATCCATGGTCCCCATCCCCAATTCCTCTGACAGCTAAGGCTTTAATTGGGTATTAATTGGATGGACATGTGTCAAGTTATGACGTGGGAGACAGAGAAATTGGCGTCAGCGGAACCATGCAAATTTCTCTTCACCTAACTTTCTACTGTGAGTCTCAGTGTTCAATAATACAATGACAAGCCTACTTATGTAAACTTAATATTAGGTAAAACCATAAGAACCCAATACATGACCCAAGATCTTGAACTTCATGATTTTCACAATAACATTAGGCGGAAATTCAATTAGACTTAAATTACATACATACCTTGAATGATTAGTCTTATACCATATCAAGATATTTGCCTTGAGCGATCCGTAGGCGAGCCGTCAGTGTGGAGGAAATAGATTTCTCTCCCTAGCCTTTTACACGTTTAGAAAAACCCTAATACGTGTCTTCATCAGTATACACATAAGATGGGTATGTGCACTATTATAGGCAGAGAGAGGACCCGTTTCCTAGTGAAGCCCATAATCAATTACCACCCATCACAGTAATAAAATAGGAAACTACTTCTCTTTATTTGACCAATATAATTATTCTGAATAATATTTATTAAACCAATTAAACAATTTATTTACCACATAGGTCACTTCATGTGGGCCACACAGAATATTTATAAAATATTCTTACAACTTACACCACTGTGGTAGTCGACTCAAGAACCTCAACAGATAAAACTTGCAGGTTTGATTTCCTCCATATTTATTCAGTTAATTTGCAAACTTGACTTTTGTTCCTGCTTACACCATTGCTTGCAAAAGTATTTTAATTTCTATTTTGAAGTCAGTCTAATAGCGGGTTGTATTTCATTTTCTGACTCCTAGCTGTTTTTTCCGTGTGTATTCCATTTTCTTATAGATATTAAGAACATGACGTATAGTGTTCAATTAGCGTTTTTAAAAATAAAAAAAAATTTAAGCATGCATTTTCTTTGTATTCACGCAAAATTAGTTAAGGATTTGTTTACAGTTTGACAAACTTCATTGAAATTTGTCGCCAAACTAATCTCTTTAAAACAATGGACTTGAAGGTATTTTACAAAATTTCTTTATCTAACTAATGTTATTTGAAAGCCTCTTGATGCACGGGGAAGTGAACGTTAAAAATCAAATTTAGAATATTCGATCACGTGAAATGACATGAAAATTGATAAGTTGCTTCAGTTACCTTTTCAGTTTCATAACAGCTGTATGTGTGGTCTTTGTAAATTCAGATGTAACATGTGAATGACTTGTCTGTAGCTAAACAAACTTATTTAGAATATTCGATCACGTGAAATGACATGAAAATTGATAAGTTGCTTCAGTTACCTTTTCAGTTTCGTAACAGCTATATGTGTGGTCTTTGTAAATTCAGATGAAACATGTGAACGACTTGTCTGTAGCTAAACAAACTTATTTAACCCCATGATCGGCTTTATCGCCCAAATTTATATATGAGTGCCTCCCCAAATTTCTTTCCTAGTACAAAACGTAAATATTGCTCATGTATATAGGTTCTTCCTTTTGTAATGGTTATCATTTTAGAACTCGAGAGCCCGTTTTTAGGTTTTAGTGGAAGGAGATGGAGAAAAAAAGGGAAAATAAAAATTGAGATACAAGTAAATTAGTAAAAGAATATTCCATTGTAGAAATGAGTGGCATGGGAGAAATCGATGCAAGAGAGATTGCTCTTGTAATGCAGCGCAAGGTACATTTATTTGCTTGTTACTTGCTTCTTTTTTTCTCAGTTATGTCAATTTGCTCTTGATTCATTATTAGATTTAGCATAAATGCCAAATAAAGATCATGTTTGTGAGACCTTGGAAATTTTATGGTGTTTTAAAACTATTTGTAGAATTTTGGAGAAAATATTTGGATGTGATTAAACGAGCTCTACACGATAAGGTTAACCATGCTTGGATTTTGTTAAGTTTCGAAAATTTCCTCTTTCTGAGTTAGTGACTGATTACGTTTTTAATCTCTTGTTTCCAGTGTGGCTTGGGAGAATGGTCATACTTGTTCGCCATACTCGGTGCTGGAATTGTAGTACAGTGTACAATCTACCTACTTTGGGATGTTATTTGAGACATGCAAATACAGTAGGTGAAGAATCTACCTACTTGGGCTGAACCTACAGAGAACTCAGAGTAATTTTGGGTTGAAGTGGAAGTTGGGTAAGTTTCTACTTTCAAGTTTGTGGCCTTGGTAGTTGCGTGTGTTGGATAATTATGAGTTGGGTAAGTCTCTTGTTTCCAAGTGTGGTTTTGGGAGAATGGTGGTCACTACTAGGCAGCTCATTGAAGGTGAGGATTACTTTGGAGCTGTTAAGGTAAGATTTGTTTGCCATACTTGCTGTTGGAATTCTAGTACAATGTACATTGATTTAAGTGAGATTGTGTAAGTGATTTCGGATGTTATTTGATGACATGCAAATACAGTAGGTGAAGAATCTACCTTGGGCTGAACCTACAGAGAACTCAGAGTAATTTTGGTTGAAGTGGAAGTTGGGTAAGTTTCTACTTTCAAGTTTGTGGCCTTAGTAGTTGGGTGTGTTGGATAATTATGAGTTTGTTGAGGGGATAATAGTCATTTTATCTTAAATTTGGGACTGTTTTGGTGTTTAAAGCTGATTAGAAACTAAATGCCAAAGAATGAGATGGATGTTGAGAAATCTGCATTTATGCAGAAATCTGAGTATGTGTTCTGTTCTGGACAAAATGATCTAGTTCGTATTTGTGTTTTAAACTGGGTTTTTGATGGGTGAAAAATAGACAAAATGATCTATTTCAATTCAAATATGATTTCATTCAAATTGGAGTTAAATTGGATTTTGGCAAATTTTCAAAGTTGGAATTATTCTGCAGAAAATAGAAAACTCTGCAGCCTATTCTGTTTTGGATTTAGTCTTTGTCTTGCTTCCTTAACTCGGAATTCAATGAAATTTTGATATGTTGAAGTTTTATATGTCTACTTTTGATCTGGAAATTTTTACGTCATTTTGAATCAAAATGGATTTTTAGTGATTTTCCAAAGTCAAGTTGTTCCTGCCTGATTTATTTAACAAAACTGAAGTTTCTGTTTTTAATTGAAGTCTTTGATTTCTTTTATTAGTCCAGAGCAGAACCACATGATCAGAGACTATCCTAAGAGCTAGAATTGGCCTAATGATAAACACATAATTATTACATATGTTATCCCTAAATTTATATTGTTAGTGCCTTATTTAAATTAATTTTATTTTTTTTTTTCAGTTTTCAGTTTTTAGGTACATCTTTCACAAGTGCAGCCATCACCGGAGAAAAATAAGCAAACTCATGCTTGAGGTGTTGCTCAACCTAGAAAAGAAGAAGCAATAATCAGCAGATATTGAAAATAAAGCAAGTGGTGGAATTGTCTATTCATGGCAAAATATGATGCAAAAAGAGCAGTTCCCATTCCTATAAATACAGCTTTGCTGCAGATGTAACTATATTCTTTCCTCTTATAGTGTTAACTTTATTCTTATTTTCAAACCTAGCTGGGGTGGCCTTTTAAGAACCTGTTTCGTTGTTGGAACTTACTATAAATTTTGTACTCTTGTGGGTTTTGTAAATAAAGGTTGCTTGTGAATATAACGATGTTTATTTACATTTCCGCACCGTTTTCAAAGTCTTATTTCTAACTCAAAAGCCTTATGTTCAATTGAGAACGTGGTGTTATAATATTAGTTTTTAACATTGTAGTAATGTGTTGTTGATAGAGCATGGCAATATTACATGCTCATTTTCCGAGCATGACAATATTGATATCCAATCAATTTTAAATCCATAGGGTGTTAGTTGGATTGACTCATGTCTTTGATTTACTTCAAAGCGGTTCTGAGTTCAAGCCTTTATGGTAACCATGTGTGAGTTTTTCCCATCTGCTAAACTTCCAAGAAATGAATCTTACACAAAAAAATAAAATAAAAGACTTCTGAGGTATAGATGCGCTCCCACAGTTTAGCCTGTTAAGTGACTAATTTATATAAAAAAATTCATTTTCAATCAAATAGATGAATACAAATTCGCCAATTTCTTTTCTACAGAAGACATGAAAGGAGGATTCAGACCAAAATTCAGCCTCAGCCCAAAGTCTAAATCTGAGTCTGCTAAACTCTGCAGGGAACGGGCCACAGTGCCAGAATCCTTGTAGCATCTAAAATTTGGTGCCCCAACTTTACATTTTTTTGGTTACATTGGAGGGAATCGAATCTGGGCTTGTCCATACTAAACCCGAGTAAGGAATGATCCAAAGCCTCTCAGGCACGGATTTTATAGCGAACCACAGCACCAAATTATGGGAGATCCTATTTCCTTGTTTCCACTATGTTCACTATAATGCAAATTCAGTTATAGGGTAACATGTCATTAAGTAACAACCCGCGGCTTCATGAAGTTGAAGTATTGGAGCAGATTGATGGACGAGCATTGAGCACTACATAAAACTGAGAAGAAGGCTAGAATAGATGAGGAACGTAATAGACAACCCACATATAAGAGAAAACCGATCGAGTGTCTTTTGAGGAACTTAATTATGGATGGCCCCCTGAAACTTAATTGTATTCTCATTTTCTCAATCAAACTCAATTTGTGTCACTTTACCCTCTAAAAACTCAATTTGTCTCACTTTACCTCATTTCCAATGTTCCGTCTAGAGTTTTGTCATTTTAATGTCTATTAATTATTGTTTTTAGATAAAAATAAATGTGATTAATTGTTAAAAGAAAAATAGTACATTTATGCTATATGCAATCTCAGCCATTGGATACTTTTCAATCTAACGATCATAAAAGTGTGCCATAATGTGCATTGGATTTATTGGTTGAGTTAATTATGGTCTTTATGAATCTCGGGTGGGCTATGTTTTTGAGGGATATTTGGCTTGGTTGTTGACCTAAAAGTGTGTGCGGACCAACGTATTCCAAATCTTCATGCTATACTGTGATGGTTTTAGCTAGATTTGTTTCCTCTTTGTTTCCTGTTAGTTTATGGCCTGTGTTTTTGCCTGGCTTTGTTTGTACTATTCTCTATCCTTTTGGGGGGGATTTGCAATGACTTGAACTTTGACAAAAAAAAAAAATATATATAAAAAATAAAAAAAACCGACGCATGAATTTTGTAATTATCAATTGTAAATTTCTTCTTTAAGAAATAGTCTAATGCAAATATTCTATGACATGAAATCTTATAGATATTAAGAGAACGTGACGTAAGTGTTCAATTATCGTGAACATTAAGCATGCATTTCCTTTGTGTATTCAAGCAGAATTAGTTAAGCATTTGTTTTCAGTTCGACAAGCTTCAAAATAATCTCGTTAAAACAATGGACTTAAAGGTATTTTACAAAATTTTTTTATCTAGATACACTTATTTGAAGCCTCTTTGATGCCCGGGGAGTGCACGTTAAAAATCACAATTAGAAATATTGCGTCACGTGAAATGACATGAGAATTGATAAGTTTGCTTCAGTTACCTCGTCATTTCGTACAGCTGTATGTGTGGTCTTTGTAAATTCCGATGAAACATGTGAACAACTTGTCTGAGCTAACAAACTTATTTAATCCCATCATCGGCTTTATCGCCCAAATTTATATATAAGTCCCTCCCCAAATTTCTTTCCTAGTACAAAACGTAACTATTTGCTCATGTATATAGTTTCCTTCTGTAAGGTGTATCATTTGAACCTGAGAGCCCCTTTTTAGGTTTTAGTGGAAGGGGTGAGAAAGAAAGGGAAAATAAAAATGAGATTACAAGTAAAATTAGTCAACGATATTCCATTGTAGAAATGATGGCATGGGAGGAAATTGATGCAAGAGGAGATTGCTCTTGTAATGCAGCGCAAGGAATTTATTTGCTTGTTACTTGCTTTCTTTCTTTTTAGTTAATTGTTAATTTGCCTTGATTCATTATAAATTAGCCATAAATGCAAATAAAGACCATGTTTTGTGAGACTTTGGAATAGGTGAAAGGACATTGCGTGTTGGTGTATTCTGTTTTTGAGAAATTCTATGATTGCATTCATAATCAGCCAAAAAAGCCACTATCCACAAAGGCCAATACACAACGGCAACAAAAGGCCATTACAATAACGGAGCGGTCTAATATCAAAATAAAACAATCTGGTGCGTCGCACTAACGATTAGGCAGGAGCGAAGAAACTCTGGCATAGGCATCCAACTAAGATTGCAAACTTAGAATAATAAAAAGCTTGACAAAACCAAGCCATAACAATACAAATAAAACTCTCACAAAGAGAGATGAAAAGCTCTCACAAAGGAGAGATGAAAAACTCTCACAAAAGGAGAGGTGAAAACTACACAGAGAACCCAAAGAGTCTCGGCAACTTATTCCAAACAGAAAGAAATTGCAAAAAAATGGTGTGGAGATCCGACGCCGAAATGTAGTGAAGATCCGACGCTGAGCCACGCCGCCTATAATGTTGGATGAAAATCTAACAAAACTAAGACAAATAGGGAAAACCCTTTGTCTCTAAAATGGGGGAAGAGTGAAAGGAGGAAGAGAAGGGAGAGGGGTGGAAGAACATGGCTTCCCTCCCCCCCCCCAAGTGGGAAAAAGCTCTAAGAGTTGCGTGTTGGTGATTCTAAGAGAAAAAACAGGGGAACAAGTTTCTTCGAGTTTCTCTTCACGAGTTTCAGCCACTTTCCCTGACGCAGGGTCGGGTCGTTACGAGTAGACAAATATACACAAAGCCCTTTGAAGGATGAGGTTCCAGTTCGGCTCCTACTTCACGACTATCTTTCCCGAAAACCCATTCTCTCCCTTCTTTCCCTTCAAACTTCTTTCTACCATAACTTCATTCTACAACTCCAATTCTTGCGCCGCTTTCGCCTTTAGGATCGTATGAACGAGCTCTACAAGATAAGGTAAACCATCTTGGATTTGGTTAAGTTTCGAAAATTTCTCTTTCTGAGTGTGACTGATTAAGCTTTAATCTCTTGTTTCCAAGTGTGTTTTGGGAGAAATGGTGGTCACACTAGGCAGCTCATTGAAGGTTGAGGATTACTTTGGAGCTGTTAGGTAAGATTTGTTTGCCATACTTGCTGCTGGAATTCTAGTACAATGTACATTGATTTAAGTGAGATTGTGTAAGTGATTTCGGATGTTATTTGATGACATGCAAATACAGCAGTGAAGAATCTACCTTGGGCTGAACCTACAGAGAACTCAGAGTAATTTTGGGTTGAAGTGGAAGTTGGGTAAGTTTCTACTTTCAAGTTTGTGGCCTTGGTAGTTGGGTGTGTTGGATGATTATGAGTTTGTTGAGGGGATAATAGTCATTTTATCTTAAATTTGGGACTGTTTTGGTGTTTAAAGCTGATTTAGAACTGAAGGCCAAAGAATGAGATGGATGTTGATGAAATCTGCATTTATGCAGAAATCTAGTATGTGTTCTGTTCTGGACAAATGATCTGTTCGTATTTATGTTTTAAACTGTTTTTTTTTATGGTGAAAAAAGATACATTTCAATGAGGTAAAAGGGAAAAAAACTGGGAGTCTGGCACAACAAAAAAAACCCAGCTTTATTTTGTTTTTGGCCTTTTCCTCATCGAAATGTCATCATTGAAAGATAGTCAACACCCGTTTAAAACTTGGTGTTTTGGGACTGGACACATGTCGATGACTGTCTTTCCAATGATCTTACACGAAAAATCAGGGGAAAAATGAAATAATGACGTGTTGAGGTATAGATGCGCCCCCCACAAGTTTAGCCTGTTATGTCGATTACTAATTTCCTTATTAAAAACTTCATTTTTCAATCAAATAGATGCAAAATTCACTAATTCTTTCTACAGAATGACATGAAAGGAGGAAATTCAGCCTCCAATCTGACACTCAGGGGAAAAAGGAAAAAAGTGGCCACAGTGCCGAATCCTGTAGCATCTAAAAGTTGGTGCCCCCAATTTTTACATTTGTTATTGTTACATTGGGGGAATCGAACCAGGCCTTGTCCCTAATTCGAACCCAAGAAGGCCATAATCCAAAGCTCTCAGCTAAGATTTTATTAGGACTTAGGAGATCTATTTCCTGTGTTCCACTATGGTCACTATCTGCAAAATTCTTTGTATAGGGTAATATGTCATTAAGTAACCAACCCGCGGCTTCATGAAGTTTTAATATGGAGCAGATGATAGACGAGCATGAGCACGACATAAAACTGAGAAGAAAGGGTAAGATAGATTATCAACGTACTATACAACCCACATAGAAGAGAAAACTGAGTGTCTTTTGTGGACTTAATTATTGATCGGGCCGCCAGAAACTTAATTGTAATTCTCATTTCTTCTCAATGAACTCAAGTTGTTGTCACTTTGGCTCATGAAACTCAATTTGTGCCTTATTTACCTCTGTTTTTGTATTTTCTGTCTAGAGTTCTGTCAGTTTCAATGTCTATATTAAAAAAAAAAAAAAAAAAAAAAAAAAAAAAAAAAAAAAAAAAAAAAAAAAAAAAAAAAAAAAAAAAAAAAAAAAAAAAAAAAAAAAAAAAAAAAAAAAAAAAAAAAAAAAAAAAAAAAAAAAAAAAAAAAAAAAAAAAAAAAAAAAAAAAAAAAAAAAAAAAAAAAAAAAAAAAAAAAAAAAAAAAAAAAAAAAAAAAAAAAAAAAAAAAAAAAAAAAAAAAAAAAAAAAAAAAAAAAAAAAAAAAAAAAAAAAAAAAAAAAAAAAAAAAAAAAAAAAAAAAAAAAAAAAAAAAAAAAAAAAAAAAAAAAAAAAAAAAAAAAAAAAAAAAAAAAAAAAAAAAAAAAAAAAAAAAAAAAAAAAAAAAAAAAAAAAAAAAAAAAAAAAAATTAGAAAATGCACGCCCCAATGATTGCATCTTGTATAGGAAGGAGTATGAGGATTCAACTATTGTCCTACTTGTGGTATCTCAAGGTGGAAGGAAGGCAAAGATTCAATCTTGAAAGAGGGTGTGCCAGCGAAGGTGGTGTGGTATTTTCCTCCAATTCCAAGGTTTAAAAGGATGTTTCGATCACATGAGACAGCTAAGAGTTTGACTTGGCATGCTGCTAGAAAATCAATTGACGGTCAGATGTCTCATCCGGCGGATTCCCCGTCTTGGAAACTTCTTGATGATAAATGGCCCGAGTTTGGTAATGAGCCGAGAAACTTGAGATTGGCTCTTTCATCTGATGGATTCAATCCCCACAGTTCTCTAAGTAGCAGATATAGTTGCTGGCCAGTTATCTTAGTTACATATAATCTCCCTCCATGGCTGTGCATGAAACGAAAGTTCATGATGTTGACCTTATTGATTTCCGGTCCTAAACAACCCGGAAATGATATAGACGTCTACTTGGAGCCTTTGATTGATGATTTAAAATCTTTGTGGGATGGGATTGGAGGAGTGTATGATGCACATAATGGAGAATACTTTACACTCAGAGCTGCATTAATGTGGACAATTAATGATTTCCCCGCCTATGGAAACTTATCTGGTTGTGTTGTTAAAGGATATAAAGCTTGTCCAATATGCGGCGATGATACACCTAGTCACAGGTTGAAAAATGGCCACAAAATTTGTTACATTGGGCATAGAAAATGGTTACCGATCAATCATCCATATAGGAGGCAACGTGCAGCTTTTAATGGGAAACCTGAATATGGCACGCCTCCTGAGCCATTAACCGGAGAAGAAGTGCTGCATATGGTTGAAGATGGTGACAGAGTTTGTTGGAAGAAGAAATCAATATTCTTTGATCTCGAGTATTGGAAATACCTTCCTGTGAGGCATGTCCTAGATGTTATGCACATTGAGAAGAATGTTTGCGATAGTATCATTGGTACATTGCTGGAGATCCCTGGAAAAAATAAAGATGGGATTGCTGCTCGATTAGATTTATTGAACATGGGGGTCAAAACTGATTTGCAACCCGAGTATGGAGAAAGACGTACTCGTTTGCCTCCCGGGCCTTGGAATTTGTCAAGAGCAGAGAAGAGAGAGGTTTGCAATTCTTTCTATGGTATGAAGGTCCCTGAAGGTTATTCTTCAAATATAAAAAATCTTGTCTCTTTACAAGATTCAAGACTTCTTGGCCTTAAATCACATGATTGTCATACCTTAATGCAACAATTGCTCCCTGTGGCAATTCGTTCTGTTTTGGAGAAGCCTGCAAGGTATGCAATAACTCGTTTGTGCTTCTTCTTCAATGCTATATGTGCAAAGACTGTTGATGTTTCCAAGCTAGATAAGTTGGAAGAAGATGTAGTAGTTACTTTGTGTTTGCTTGAGAAGTACTTTCCCCCTTCATTCTTTGATATCATGGTTCATCTAGTAGTACATCTTGTCAGAGAAGTTCGTCTGTGTGGGCCAGTATATTTTAGATGGATGTATCCGTTTGAAAGATATATGAAAGTGCTAAAGGGGTATGTTCAGAATCGTACTCGTCCCGAAGGTTGCATTGCTGAGCGGTATATAGCTGAAGAAGCTGTAGAGTTTTGTACCGAGCATTTATCTGATGTTAGTACAGTTGGAGTGCCTTCAAGCCAAAAGATGGGAGTTTCAAAGCCATTATCAGGTTGCACAGTGAGCGTAGTTGATCGGGACCTGTTGAACCAAGCACATCTATATGTCTTGGAGAATACGGAGGAAGTCCTACCTTATATCGAGTACGTATGAGTTTTATTCTTTAAGTTTCCATTTTAAATTATTTCTTATGTTTATCTTATATGTTTGGGACCGTAATACTTGAATTTTGTGTGTCATGTAGGCAACATATGATCCACATCCAGACCGCTTATCCAAAATTTAGAAAGAGAACAAAGTGGCTGCAGGATAAGCACAATAGCACTTTCATTCAATGGTACGCTTCAAGGTATATGTTATTGAAAAACATATTGGACTTTTAATTTTCTCTCTTTCTATGTTAGATTTAAATTAAGTTATGATTATTTGCGTTCAAAGTGAATTAATGAGGGACCAATCAGGCGTATCAAAATTTAAAGGTGGCTAGCAGTGGTCAAACATGGCAGTGCCAATATAGGAGCTATCTCATTAAAGGTATTAAATTCAACTCAAGGCACAAGATGATGTTGCGGACAACTCAAAAATAGGGAGTTTATTTACTTGTCACAATACTATGCCAGTTGCTATTGCCAATGATAAAACCAATTCTCTCAAATATGGGTTTCTATGGTGTCATTCAAGAAATTTGGGACCTTGACTACCAAAAGTTTACAATCCCAGTCTTTAGGTGTGATTGGATAGATAGTACTTCTGGTCTTGTAGTGACTGAACTTTGGATTGCGCCTTGTAATTGAGTAAAATTGGACATAGGAATGACAATTTGTTTTGGCTTCTAAGTCAAACAAGTATTTTTTGTTGACGACCCGATGCATCGTGGTTGGTCGGTAGTGTTATCAATGCCTAATAGAGAATATAATGATGTTATTGGTGATGATGTCTTAGGTGATGTGAGAATTGAGTGTGAGCCATTTACTAGGGGGATGCCAAATGTTGACACATTTGATGAAGTGGTGGGTGAGTTTGGGAGTCAAAATATTCGAGATGGGTGTGAAGATATATGGGTTGAATGATGCTTTATGTAATTGGCAGTGTATGACATTAATTTTGTAATATATTGTAATGTGATTTCTTCACTTTCATTATACAGGTTTTGGCCACAAAACAATCAGTACAAAAATACTGGTTCAAGATTACAAACACGACGGTCTTGATAAAAATGTGAAAAACAAACGTCTGTTCTAATAAAAACGACGTTTTGGAGCATTCAACGACCGCAATATATTTACCGACGTCTTAAAGCAACGTAACAAAGAAGAACCACGACGCTATTGTGAAACAGTTATTAAGGATATCACGTCGGAGAAGCATAAAGAGCCGCCATGTAATTCAAAATAACACGACTCCAATCCCATAATACCGACGTCTAAAAGACGAGATATCTAACCTGAACGTTACAAAAGACGACGTCGTCTTAACTTTACCACGTCGCATGTTATTCATAAACGAAGTGGAAAAGGATGAATTCACGACGGTATTTTAAATCCATTGGTAAATTTGTCGACGTTAAGATATATTTTGGACGTCGTTCCTTTACAAAAACAACGTTATATGAATGTATCCACGTCTCTTTTCTTATGATAATGTCGTTAAAATTTCTTTACACGGCAAATTTCGGATTAACAACGCCGTCTAATAGGAATTAGACGACGGGTAATTTTGTTAATGATGACGTATAATTATGAAACACGGCTGTCTTTTGCATGATAACGACGTTGTATATTGACGACAACGTCGTCTTTATAAATTAATGTGTCGTAAGTAATGACCCCAACATATTTTCCACGTCGTTTATTTTAAGATCGTGTCGTTAAAACTATTTTACACGGCGGTGGACTGAGAAACGTTGCCGTCTCAGATCCATTAGACGACGATTATATTTTAAGAGATGACGTATAAATTCTGTAATACGGCTCTCATTTATTTGGAACCGACGTTGTTTATTAGTACAACGTCGTCAGTTTAAATACATGCGTCGTAAGTAATGACCCTAACATCTATTTCCACGTCATCATTAATAGAAAAATCGAAGTGGAAAATTCATTTCACGACGGTTGTTGAAAATGTACTGACGTAGTAGGAGTCAATAACGTCGTCGATTATGTATTTAAAGACGTCATATTTTTATTTGTCGTGAAAGGTATATTTAACGGCGGTGAGTTTTAGTTTCGTCGTTGTATGTATATCTTGCGGCCATGTTCTGTTAATATATGTCATATGTTTCCTTTTTAACGACGTTTTTTGTTAGAATTGGTCGTCTATTCTCATCCTCGACTGTTTTTTTATCTCTTTTTCCATTACAAAGACGTCGGTTATTATTTGTTAATGACGTTGTTTGTTTTAACAACGACGGTGATTTAGCGTCGTGGTTTGACACCCAAATAGATGTCGGTCGATTTCACGACGGTTTGAAAACCGAATACACGACGGTGAATTCCCGTCGTCTTTTTCCTTTTTGGTAGTAGTGTTAGTTGGTCCTATGAGTACTACTTCAATAAGCACAACCCCACACAAATTGGACCCATTTTCTTGGTAAATACCCTCAAGCCAAAAACAGAAGGAAATAAAAACACTTGGCACCACTAGAACTACAAATTTCGCAAATTAGACTACTTTTGCAGAATGACTTTAGTTTTCTATGCTCTTTCTTCTTCTTTTCCCCTTGTGTTTTGGGAGAAGGTACAACAGAGGATCTATTTGTTTTGCATGAATTTTGTACCTATAGTTCAAAAACAAATTGCGTTACCTAGTAGCTCACCCTTTTTTAATCGCAGGAGATCGGATATATAAACTTAGAACCACTTTTAACACTAATAAGAAAATTACAAAACTAAGAGCTAGTTGATGCAACTCACCTTATTAAATACTCTTGATTTTTTCTAATGGCAACAGGATAGGAGTACATTGAAAGATAAAGACGGAAATATATGAAGGCTTTGGTATAACGTCAAGTTCCAAGGCATTAACCAGGAGCTTAAAAGAATACTCAGTAAAAACTAAAGTATACATGTTGGCTAAGACAAAAATTCTTTTAGATGATGGAAGCCACAAGTTGCTTACATGGTCATGCACTGGGTCTAGAAGGGATGACCTAAGCATAAATGTTATGTCCAACTACGATTACATTGCACACATGTGGAGGTTTTTCTTTTTCTTTTTCTTTTTGCCCAACAAAATTGTCAATATGAAACCAAAGCGAGGATGACCCTCGGTCTGTTGTAGAAAGGTTCCTCGGTTGTGAGGATGACCTTCGGTAGTAAAAGGGTTCCTTGGTGTTAGGATGATCCGTGGCTTTGAAAATAATCCAATGTGGGAATTTAAGGCCTTATATGGCCTGTGCGTTTTCCATTAAATGGCCTATTTGGTGTTTTAAATATATATATGTTTGAAGCCATCTTAAGGTTGATACTTAGGCCTTTCATGTCGCCTATCAAGTGGCCTTTCAAAAATTTATTTCAGTTGGAACATTGAGTTCCATTGGCATCCATCATGGTGGGATTTAAGAAAATGAGCTTGGATTGAGTGATTAAGGTGGTCAGATCTATGGACCACTAAAGAAGAGACCTAGACCTCTGGGCGTGCAGCACGTGGGAGCAAAAGGTCAAGCGTTTACATTGACATACTTAGTATGTGAATTATTGTTAAGAATTGTGGCCTCACACACCTTGCCTCTCAAGTCTCCTTCCAAGTGGTGAAATTTAAAGATGAAAAGAATCGTAGCCAGGATTTATTGTATCCCAAGTCAAGAGAAGAGTTCACAATCCTAATTAACCAACCATTTGGGTTGGTGGTGGTTGGGAAGTTCTCGATAAATGTTGGAAGAATTTTCAAGGAAGATTTAGTTCTAGCCATTTAATGTCAAACCCATCAACTGAAGAAAGTTCTATAAATAGGTCGTCATAAGAAGAAAAGAGTACATCCGACTCAACAAATAAAACCTATTCTTTTTATCCTACACCTTTCAATTCCTAGTCTAAGATTTTATCTTCCAAGCACTTTAGATTATCCAAGTTCTTCATTTTCCTACTGTAAGCTTATTTCTTGCAATTTAATTTAAGTTTTCTTTAAATTCAAGTTTAATTCAAGTCTTTATCGTTTTAATCTATTTTATCGTATTTACATTTCTGTCATTTCGTTTCTTGCATTTACATTCATTGCACTTATCACCAAAATCTTAAAAATAGTCATACAATGCTCAATCATCCTTGGTCACGAGAAAGTGAAAGAACCTAGGGGCTGTTTGTTACTTGGTTTGGCCTGGCTTGGACTAAATTTAGTACCATATTTGTTTCATCTAATCCTAGTCTTAGATGGACTTGTTAATACCATGCCCACCAAAACACCTCCTTAGGAGGGGACTACTAAACCCATATGGAAAGGGAGGATTAACTATTCTCATGCTCACCAATGTATAAGATGCATATATTATATTGTAATAATAATAACATATATATATATATATATACCCATATTTATATATTATATTATACTTACATACACATATACTATAATGTTCATATATACACATATATGAACATATATATAATATAAGTATATATGTATATAGGGATCCCTCAAATAAAGGTGCCCTTTAGGCACCCTACATATATATATTTTTGGAAAAAAATATATATATATATTCCTAGTCCAAGCATACACCAAACTCAGGATAAGTGTTATCCAATTTAGACCAAGCCAAGTCAAGACAGTACAGTTCCTAAGTATAATCCATGCCAAGACAGTTATGTGTAACAAACGAGCCCCTAGGTCATTGAACAATAATATGCTTTCCATTTAGCTCTAATTAGCTCGATATGTAGTATTTCAATTTCGGAAGTCCGTGTTAAAGTAATATTTTTATTGTATATTTCATTTTCTCACTCTTGTTTTCTTCTTAGTGATATACCCATTCTTAGCACTAATATTATAGATAAACCCTCTATCATTGAATTTCTATAAACAAACCCAAAAAAAACCCCAAAAATGATAGCTGGCCTTATTGAATTTAATATTGATTATTAAATTACTTTAATGCCATATGAGTGTTTTGGGTATTTTTATGAGATTTTGGGGTTGGGCTTGTTTTAAGAAATTTATGGTAGTTTTGTAATTTATAAGAAGTTAAAGCCTCTTTGTTATGTTGTAAATGAGTTTTGGGTGTGTTTATAAAGTTCATTTCATATGGGGTATTTTTATAATTGGGCTCCCATATTTGGTATATTAGTGAATCTCCCTAATATATATGTGTGTCTAGTAGGATACTTATCATTCTCTAGAAGCTTACCCGGTACAATATGGTGTCATAATCCGAATAATCAATTTTTAAGTTCCTCCGTGATTCCAAAAATTTGTCAAGTTTAAAAATTACTTACTCTTTGTTTGAATGGAGGAAAATAACTCATGAAAATAAACTCAAACAAAACACATGATTGAATAATTGTGATTGATCTATCTATTTTTTAGGTCTTCATTTATAATCATCCTTACAAAAAATTAGACAAATCAGAAACCGTTTCGATATCCAATTGTGTCATACAAAATCAATGAACACCGTGCTTCAAGAAAGTAATAAAATTTCAATAACTCAATTGAATGGTCAAATGATATCGGATTCAAGTGATTTTTTGTAGAGATGATCTTTGAATGAGTATCTACAAAATAGACGGTTTGGATTAGTGAAATACAATATCTAATTAGGTAACGTGAATTACACCAAAAAATCAAGGATCACGGGATCCTTGAATTATGGCTCACGCCAACAAATAACTCAAGAAGCGAAGAGGAGGAATTGATATTTCTCCATCTCTATCTCTCTCTAAATTAGCCAAACTAAACAAGTTAATCAAACCCGTTAAAAAAAACCGTCAGGAAAAAGAACAAAGACTAGGGAGGATGGTGGAGTGCTAACCCACAATTACAAAAATTAGGAATTCCGGCGAGGATGGGTGAGTCAAATTAAAACTTTCATACCCAATCATAAATGGTTATTTCGAAGAGAGATTTATAGTTTTATTATTATTATTATTATTAAATAACTTGCGGGTCCAACTACTTGCTATATCACTAATTAACATATTTTTTTAGAGTGTACGAAAGTGGGACGACAAAAAATTTGTGTAATAAAGTTTGAAAGTCGGTGAACTTTAGAGTAATAAAGTGAAATACAAGTACTCGAACGATTTTGAGATAATCCAATAAAGCACTTACTAATACTATGATTTAAGTTGGATGACAGTTCAATAGTTAATAGGATATATGTCATCCGCTTATATGTTCTAAACTTTTTCTCTTATAATAATCCGGCACAATGTTTTCAGCAGGGCAGCTTCCGGAAGGACTGCAAGCCAAGAATATTGCTCGACGCTAAGGTACACAAGAATATAAATTTGATGAAATTACAAATTATGACCATATCAAACATTCTTCATGCCTGCTGCTGCATATAGTATAAGCATAATGATTTTGGCACTCCAACTTCTCAAACTTTTCTACCGTAACACGAGGAGTGCGTGAGGTTATTTGAGGGTGTGATTTTGGAGTGCCAAAGCATCGCTCTAATACAACTATGAATAAGAAACAAAATAGAAAAATGATAACCATTTAAAAAGTTACTATCAGAGTTGAAAATGCTAATTCTGTAGTCATTCTGGAAACCGGAAGAGTCCATAGGATAGGAGCTATCAGTCCAATCCGGCATACCAAACGGGGCCTAAATGTTGTACTCATAGGATAAGAGTCCTTTCATACTGATTGTAGTTCCATTTTCAGAAGGACGAAGAGTACGTCACAAATCACTGAGAAAACAGAGAATGGAGAAGAATGCCAGGCACAAGTCTTGGACACGCCAGACAAGTGGTGTATCTATAAGGTTCCCAGCAAACTCCGCAAAGTAAATGAAGCAGCATACACTCCTCAATTACTATCAATAGGCCCTTTCCACCATGGCAAACCAGAACTGAACAGCATGGAGATCCATAAAAGGATATATTATAAGAAGTTTCTTGAACGTTGTAAGAAGATTGAGGATGAACGTTGTAAGAAGAGTGAGGATAAATTAAAGAAATTTAGTGAGGATGAATTAAAGAAATTTATCGACGCTAAAAAAAAAGAAGTTCTTAGTTGTTACGCAGGGACCATTAAGCTTTCCATAATCTCTGCAGACATAATTGCGGTTGATGCCTGCTTCATCATCGAGCTCCTTTTAAGGAACTACGAAACAAAAAATCATGAAAATGATTACATATTGAGTTCACCATGGCTGAGGAAAGCTGTAGAGCAGGACTTGATACTGATTGAAAATCAGCTTCCTTATTTTCTTCTTCAAGAACTATATCAGAAATTTGCTGTGCCTTGCTGCTGCCGGATTCCTTCCAATGATCATTCCATACAGATTGACAAAGCCACACCTGCTGATCATGAACCTACCCTGCTTAAGCTTAGCTTTGAGTTCTTCAAAGATTATAATGAGGGGAAGTTGGAATCCGTCGAGAATGGAGTGCCTCAACTGAAACATTTCACCGATTTGGTTAGGCATTTTCTATGTCCTAAGCCTAACAAAAAAAAGGAATTGCGTTGTAAACATGGTGTCAAAAATATATATGCTGCACAGAAGCTGAGGGCATCAGGGGTGAAGTTTACGCCACTTAAAGAGGGACCCTTGATCATAGAGACAGATGAGACAGATAAGGCCATAGAGACAGATAAGCCTGAGGACACTAAATATAAGCTCACCTTAGCATGTTTTAGTAATCTGGACTTGAAGCTTACGCCATTTAAGTTCAAGGATGAGACAGAATGGGTTGTTCGGAACATCATGGCCTTGGAGCAGTTTTTGTATCCAAACCATCCTTATATCTGCAATTACTTTTTGCTTATGGATCAGCTGGTGGACACTGTGGATGATGTGGATTTGCTGGTTGAGAACAAAGTTATTACTAACATGCTAGGCAGCAACAAAGCAGTGGCGAAGCTGGTTAATAAACTTTGCCAGCAGATCAACGACGATAAATTCTGCTATTCTGATATCGGTCGACAGCTTAAAGATCACCATGACAATATTGGAACCGTCATGTGGCAACCCTGAAACGAGTTTACTTCAAGGATCTCTGGACGGGCAGTTCAACTGTACTTGGAGTTTTCGTCCTGCTTTTCTCAGTCAGTGGAACCACTAAGTATCTCATGTCGTAAGCTTTAAGCTCGTTCAACTCGTGATTCTTAATAGACAGAATGTTAATTTCAGTCATTACTTCAAGTGATGAACTGAACAAATAAATTAACCAGTGTTATAGATTTAATATAAGTTTGAGTTACTAATTAGTTCTGTTATTGTTGTTAAAGACTGCAGAGCATTTCTTGTGAATTGATTGTAATGAACATAATTTCCATTTAGAATTAAATAAAGAAAGAGTTATGCTCTTGTTTACATTGCACTCAGAGTTGAAGACATGGATCTTGAATCTTCGGCTTCAAAGCCCCATGCGCTGCCATCTTTGTCTGGTCTTTACAGCATATGGATGTTAAGAATGTAATTGCAGATGAAAGCCTTGTGTGGATACAAAAACAAAACTGTATAAGCTTCAAGTCCATGTTTTTAAAACATGTTAAGTTGAACTAATAATTACTATAATTACAGACCTGATCATCCCTTTTTATCACAAAGGTTACATCTTCAATTGGCCTAAACTTCACCCCTGCTGCCTTGAGCTTTTTCCGGGTGATATATTTTTTTTGAGGGCCACTAATACCATTTGCTTTGCTTCAATCTTTGTGCCTTGGATTGTATATAGTTCAAAATAAATTTCGTTCAAATAGCAGCTTACCCTTTTTTCAATCAACAAGAGATTGGATATACTTGGGAACTCTTTCAACGTTAAAAAGAAAACTGCCATGAAAGTTGATCTAACTCGACCTCTTATAAAATACTCTTGCTTTTTCTAATGGCGAACCAATACAAGTTCATTAAATATGGAAATATATGAAGGCTTTGGTACAATTTCAAGCTTCAATCAAGGCAACAACCAGCCAGGAAGGTGGATTTACAATCCACCCAGGAGCTTACAATATTTTTACCATTTCAAGATGCTACATCATGAGCAACTTTATTATGCCTATGAGCAATTTCGTTAAAGATGCTCTTTTTTCATACATTATGAATTCCAACTGGGCATCGATACGCAGACCACTCCAGATGTCTGAGAAAGTTACAATGGACTCGACCTCAATCTTCAGCCAGCCCTCTCCAAACTGTCACAGCCTCTGGCAATGAAATTTATATGCAGTATTGCACGCAGCCTGACAATAGCAAAGCTCAAATATCATCTCCACACACACACACCCGATTGCTGTTGCCTCTCGCTCACACCATGCAGCATTGCACGTTAACATCAGCAATCCTCGAACTCAGGCAGCTCCAGCTCAACTCACTCAGCAGAAGCCCCTTGAACTGGATTCTAAATGTTATACTGCCTTATAGCGTCTTTACCATGCATACAAACAACTCTTCACAGTAACAGTAAGACTACCGTTAACAGACTTATTAAAATAAAATAAATACTAAAAAGAGAAAGAAAGACTACCGTTAACAGACTTATTAAAATAAAATAAATACTAAAAAGAGAAAGAAAGACTACCGTTCAACAGTACCTTACTTCATATCTTCCATAATCGCCAGATCAAACACCAGCTCAAAATAATTACACACTTTCCCGCTTAAGTGACATATTTCTATCTATACCAATCCATGACATTGGATGTCAACAGGAAACAAACACAAATCCTTAAAATATGGAAATGTGAATATTAAAATTTCAAACGGCTTTGCAAACTTGTGGTATACACATTAAAATGTAATGAATAATACTACTCTTACCATATTTGTATACCACATCTTTATACCATCTTATGTGGCAGCTGAGGTGGATGGCCACATCAATTAAAATTATATAATATTGCTTTTCTTTTATGATTTATTCCAGTAGAGTAATGCTACGTTTACCACATTTTTATCCCACATTTCTATGTCATGTGATGTGGCATGTTCATATCATATGTCACATCAATTAAATCAATGAAGTGTATTTTAATAAAAAAGTTTAATTGAATTTTTTTTAAAGTATTAATAAATCATAAAAGAAAAGAAAATGTTAAGTAATTTTAATTGATATGTGGTTGTCCACCTCATCTACCACATAAGGTGATATGGGAATGTGATACACAAATGTGGTAAGAGTAGCATTATTCATTCCAGTATTAATTTTTCTAGTTGCCTTAATTAAAATATACTTCATTGATTTAATTGATGTGACATATTATATGGATATGTCACATCATGTGATATAGGAATATGGATAAATATATGGTTAGTGCATTACACAAATGTAATTAAGTGAAAGTTACCGTCATAAAGGCTTTGTGGCCTTGTCGTTTTTTTTAGGGCAACTAAGGTAGCGTTTGGTAGTGCTTAAATTTTAAAAAAAGCTGCTTCAAAAAAAAAAATTGCAAAACTATGGTGTTTGGTAAAAATCGAGATTCAGCTTTTTTTAAAATTGCGGTCAATGACTGCTGTTTTTCCAAAGCAGGCATAACCCAGCTTTTAAAAGCTGCTTTAAAAAAAATTTAACCAGTGGTTTTAATAATATTTTACTTTCCCGTAATGCCCTCACTTATTTTTCAAATAGACAATCCTTGTCCCTTCAATACAAATCCAGCGGCAAACTCCTCTTCTCCATTCTGCAAACTCCCATTAACGCACCCAAGCTCCAACCACAACCACAACCTCCAACCATGGGCTGTAGACGAAGACGATGACAGACAAGTACTGATGGACTACGACTACAATACAAGTCACGAGCCATAGCGAAGCCAGGCCAGATAGGCTTTTTTATGTCGAGAGAACAATCCTAACCCAAAGCTTGGAAAACTTTTAATAATCCCAACGGGAGATTGCTCGACCATACCATTAGGGGGTGAAAACGCCGCAGCCACGGCCTGCGCCGGGGGAGCATAGCATAGGGAGGAAAGGGAGCTGGGGATCGGGGACCGAGGGGAGTCTAGGAGAGATGGGGAGACCCAGCAGATGCCGATCGGGGTGGGGATAAGCTCTGTGGACGATGATGACGACTGTGCAAGGAGGACGACTTCTCTGGGTAGAGGGAGAAAAATAGAACAAGGAGAAGGAGTAAATGAGAAAAATTTTGAAAAAAAAAAGTGCAGAGAGAAACGAGAAGCATAAGCAAGTGACAGGGGGAAGGAGAAGAAGAAGGTGAAAAAGGAGCAACAAAAAGAGATGCAGATCCTAAATGTTGTACATTTGTTAATAAAACATACTTACGACTTGGGCTAATAGAACATTTGTCACAGCTAAATGTTGTTCTAGTGCTGCCACTGAAATTAGGATCAACGCTGTCAATTCCTTTCATACTAATTGTAATTCCACTCTCTGAAGGACAAAGCACTACAAAAAAAATGTCTTTTCACTACTACAAAAAGTGACAAAGACGATCAGAAAAAAATGACGGTCTAAGTGAAAACTGTCGTTGTTTTTTAAAAGACGATGGTTCTATAAAACCGCCGTGTAATAACACCTTAGACACCTAAAAAATGGAGATTCAAATGGTTGTTCATAAACAACGACGTACCTAATTAAAAAACCGACGTCTATTTGAAACAAGATTTCCGCAGTGTAAAATCAAAGCAAATAAAGAACGGCAAAAGTTATGAATCGACCGACGTAGAAAGTAAAGACGACGATTTCAAAAAAAGCCGCCGTTTTTAAGCAGAAAATAACACGACCAAGTTTTCGTATAAGGCGCCATATAATTACAAATAAATCCACGGCGGTAAAATACAAAATATCGCCGTATTAAATTAATGTACAACGACGGAAAATAAAAATATATCGACGTCTTTCTCGTATAGTTCTACGACGGTATCTTTAAATCTCACCACGTTTGTTTTTCATTTAACGACGTATTATAAAATTTAACGTCGTATTTATTCCCTTTATATGTCATACCTTATATTTAAACCGTCGTCTTAATACGAATTTTTTTTTATCAATTTATTTCTTTGATTTTGTTATCATACGTCATACTATATGTAAAGATGACGCTTTTTATAATAAAAAACGTCGTCTATTATATGTAAAGATGACGATTTTTATAAAAAACCGTCATCTATTATGTGTAAAGATGATGATTTTATAAAACCGTCATCTATTATATGTAAAGACGACAATTTTTATTAAAAACCGTCGTCTATTATATGTAAAGATGACGATTTTTATAAAAACCGTCTCCTATTATGTGTAAAGATGACGATTTTTTTTAAAACCGTCGTCTATTATATGTAAAGATGACGCTTTTTATAAAAACCGTAAAAACCGTCGTCTATTATATGTAAAGATGACGCTTTTTTATAAAAACTGTCGTCTATTATATGTAAAGATGACGATTCTTTTTTTTTAAAGTGTCGTCTATTATATATAAAGATGACGCTTTTTATAAAAAATGGTCGTCTATTATATGTAAAGATGATGGTTTGTTATAATAACCATTAAATCATGATTTTTCATTTATAATCGTCGAAATTTTTTGTCCCGTTACTTTATCTCTAAATGTTTATTTTTTTCGATTTGTGGTGTAGATGATCTCGAAGTATAAACAAACAAGTTTGACGGTTGGATCGTTGAAACTAGTTTCTTAGAATGCGTATGCCATCAAAACAATATATTCACTAACAATTAAGAGTTTATTTATACTTTCATTAAATATGACATAAGATTTTGTGGTATCCACTAGTATAAATATTTTAAATTGAAGATCAAATTCAGTCATTGTATTCATATAGGGTCAAGGAGTGTAGCGGTAAAAAATCATCAAAATCGGAGTTAAAATAACCGTTAAATCATGATTTTTCATTTATAACCGTCGAAATTTTTTGTCCTGTTACTTGATCTCTGAATGTTTATTTTTTCCGATTTTTGGCATGATCTCGAAGTATAAACAAACATGTTTGACGGTTGGATCATTGAAACTAGTTTCTTAGAATGCGTATGCCATCAAAACAATATATTCACTAACAATTAAGAGTTTATTTATACTTTCATTAAATATGACATAAGATTTTGTGGTATCCACTAGTGTAAATATTTTAAATTGAAGATCAAATTCAATCATTGTATTCATATTGGGTCAAGGAGTGTAGCAGTAAAAAATCGTCAAAATCGGAGTTAAAATAACCGTTAAATCATGATTTTTCATTTATAACCGACGAAATTTTTTGTCTCGTTACTTGATCTATAAATGTTTATTTTTTCCGATTTTTGGCATATATGATCTCAAAGTATAAACAAACACGTTTGACGGTTGGATCATTGAAACTAGTTTCTTAGAATGCGTATGCCATCAAAACAATATATTCACTAACAATTAAGAGTTTATTTATACTTTTGTTAAATATGACATAAGATTTTGTGGTATCCACTAGTGTAAATATTTTAAATTGAAGATCAAATTCAATCATTGTATTCATATTGGGTCAAGGAGTGTAGCGGTAAAAAATCATCAAAATCGGAGTTAAAATAACCATTAAATCATGATTTTTCATTTATAACCGTCGAAATTTTTTGTCCCGTTACTTTATCTCTGAATGTTTATTTTTTTCGATTTTTGGTGTAGATGATCTCGAAGTATAAACAAACAAGTTTGACGGTTGGATCGTTGAAACTAGTTTCTTAAAATGCGTATGCCATAAAAAAAAATATTCACTAACAATTAAGAGTTTATTTATACTTTCGTTAAATATAACATAAGATTTTGTGGTATCCACTAGTGTAAATATTTTAAATTGAAGATCAAATTCAGTCATTGTATTCATATAGGGTCAAGGAAAAAACGTCTATTGTATGTAAAGATGACGCTTTTTATAAAAACGACGTCTATTGTACATAAATATGACGCTTTTTATAAAAACCGTCGTCTATTGTACGTAAATATGACGCTTTTTATAAAAAAACCGTCGTCTATTGTATGTAAAGATGACACTTTTTTATAAAAAAACGTCGTCTATTATATGTAAAGATGACGCTTTTTATAATAAAAAACCGTCGTCTATTATATGTAAAGATGACAAATTTTTTTTAAAAAAAAGCGTCGTCTAACACGCTAAAAAATGGCCGCTTAAGTGAATTCGCGCTCGATAAATTTTCAAATTTCCACCCGTCTTTGAAAATCTTATCTCTCATTAACAAGCGTCGTCTTTTAAAACACGCTAAAAAAGTCTACTTAAGTGAATTCGCGCTTGTCAAATTTTCAGATTTTCCCCCGTCTCTGAAAACCTTATCTCTCTCTCCTTGAAACCCTCATGCACTCTCTAAAACACCCTCATGAAACTCTCTACAAAATCATCAAAAGATCGATATCAATGAAGGAGTTGAGAGATTGAGGTCTTAGCAAATCCATAAGATGTAGAGGGATGTTCTGTATTTGAGAATCAAAGCTGGTTGAAAGGTTTGATTTGAAAGTCACCTAATCTCTTAATACCCTTCTATATCTTGCTAGTGAATTCTGGATTAGTCTCTTTGCGTTTTGGTATGTTCTTTGTATCCCTAATTTCAGATTTTGTCTCTCTTGATTTGTCTGATTTGTTTACATATTTTTATTTATTTCTGGTTTCTTTTTAGATTTTCTGATTTGGTTATCAGGAGATGAGGAGGAAGCTTGCAGATTTATAACTTTTTCTTTTGCAGGTTTTCTATTGAGTCGTATGTTTTTTTGTTGTTGAAAATTTGCAGGTTCTCGATGGTCTTTTTTATGCTCATTTTACAAGTTTTTCTATGGAAATATGGACCAATGGTAAAATTTCTCTTCCACCTAATTTTTTATGTTTATAATCTTAGCTTCTTTTTTTTTCTCTCTCTTTGTCATTTTGATTTATTTACAGGGATGATGGAGGAGACTTCAGTTGTGCATCATTTGTATGTTTGGATGAGGAATGCTTGGATTAGGAGTACGTAGGTCTTGTTAGGAATTATGTTTGTTGTAGAATAAAGATTGGTTAACTATGTAATAACTATTGAATCTTCAAGTTTTATGAAAGAAACTATTTTTGATAAAGCATTATGGTTGGTTTTCTAGTTAAAATCGTTGTATAGCATCATAGGAAATCAAAAAGCATTATTGTACGTAAAGATGACGCTTTTTTATAAAAACCGTCGTCTATTGTATGTAAAGAGTACGCTTTTTATAAAAACCGTCGTCTATTGTATGTAAAGATGACGCTTTTTATAAAACCGTCGTCTATTATACGTAAAGATGACGCTTTTTATAAAAAAACTGTCGTCTATTGTATGTAAAAATGACGCTTTTTATAAAAAAACCGTCGTCTATTGTACGTAAAGATGACGCTTTTTATAAAAAAAAACCGTCGTCTATTGTACGTAAAGATGACGCTTTTTATATAAAAAAATTGTCGTCTATTGTATGTAAAGATACGCTTTTTATAAAAAAAAGGTCGTCTATTGTATGTAAAGATGACGTCTTTATAAACAATCCACGACGCTTTTCATAAAAAATCGTCATCTTTACATACAATACACGACGGTTTTATTAAAAACAGTCGTCTTTCCTCCTATAATTAACAATCTTTACCTCTAAACAACGACGATTTTCTTTAAAAACCGTCGTCTTTACTGATAAACAACGACGGTGAAAAGCCGTCGTAGTTTGAAACCCAAATAGACGGCAGTCGATTTCACGACCGGGCAAAAACCTTTTACACGACAGTGGTTTCCCGTCGTCTATTTCGATTTTTGTAGTAGTGATTTTATGACACAGATTTAATGATGCATCGAAAATATACGTCATTAAATGTGATAAACTATGATGTGTTTTTAAAATGCATCATCGATGTGAGTTTATGAAGAGTACGTCACAAATCACTGAGAAAACAGAGAATGAAGAAGAATGCCAGGTAAAAGTCTTGGACAAGCCAGACAAGTGGTGTATCTGTAGGGTTCCCAGCAAACTCCGCAAAGTAAATGAAGCAGCATACTCCTCAATTACTTTCAGCAGGCCCTTTCCACCGTGGAAAACCATAACTGAACGACATGGAAACCCATAAAAACATATATTATGAGAATTTTCTTGCACGTTGTAAGAAGAGTAAGGATGAACTAAAGCAATTTATCAAGACCCATCGAGAAAATATTCTTCGTTGTTATGCAGGGACCATTGAGCTTGACATTGACCCTGCGGACATAATTGTGGTTGATGCCTGCTTCATCATCGAGCTCTTTTTAACGAACTTCTGCGAAACAGAAATCATAAAAATGATTATATATTGAGATCACCATGGCTGAGGAGCAGGACTTGATACTGTTTGAAAATCAGCTTCCTTATTTTCTTCTTCAAGAGCTATATCAAGAACTATATCAAAAAAAACAAGACCTCCCCTGCTCCTGGCCGACACCTTCCAATGATCATTCCATAGAGACTGACAAAGCCAAAGGTCCTCATGATGCCCTGATTGAGCTTACCTGTGAGTTCTTCAAAGATTATAAGAAGGGGAAACCCGTCGAGAATATAGGAACACCGAAACATTTCACCAATTTGGTTAGGCATTTTCAATGTCCTGACAAAGCAAAGGATGGTAAACATAATAGCACACCTGTCCAAAATATATACGCTGCAAAGAAGCTGAGGGCATCAGGCGTGAAGTTTAGGCCACTTAAAGATGGACCCTTTATCATAAAGATAGATGAGGCCACTAAATGTAAGTTCAACTTAGCATGTGTTAGAAATATGGACTTGAAGCTTACACCATTTGGGGTCAAGGAGGATGAGACAGAATGCGTTGTTCAGAACATCATGGCCTTGGAGCAGTTTTTGTACCCAGACAAGCCTTATATCTGCAATTACTTTTTGCTTATGGATCAGCTGGTGGACACTCTGGATGAGGTGGATTTGCTGGTTGAGAACAAAGTTATTATTAACATGCTAGGCAGCAACAAAGCATTGGCGAAGCTGGTTGATAGACTTTGCGAGCAGATCATGGACGATCCATCCTGCTATTTTGGTATCAGTGATCAGCTTAATAAGCACTATGAAAATTTTTGGAACCGTCATGTGGCAACCCTGAAACGAGTTTACTTCAAGGATCTCTGGACGGGCAGTTCAACTGTACTTGGAGTTTTCGTTCTGCTTTTCTCTGTCAGTGGAACCACTAAGTATCTCATGTCGTAAGCTTTAAGCTCGTTCAACTCGTGATTCTTAATAGACAGAATGTTAATTTCAGTCATTACTTCAAGTGATGAACTGAACAAATAAATTAGCCAGTGTTATAGATTTAATATAAGTTTGAGTTACTAATTAGTTCTGTTATTGTTGGTAAAGACTGCAGAGCAGTTCTTCTAGGCTTCTTTCTAGTTTATTGTTGCACAGCCCTTCTCATATAGGAGCTGTTGCCTCTTTGTATTATTGTTCTGAACAATTAATGAAAGCCCTGGTTTATCTCTTCCTTGTTTTCTCTTTAATTGGTGTTTGAGATTATTGTATGTTGGTTTCACTGGTGAGTTAATCTATGGTGGGTTGTGTTTCGATTGTTGTTTTCTATATATCTACTTAAAGTCCTTTACATTAAATTTTGATGAGGTAGCATGGTGCGGAAGAGAAGTCAAACATATCATGGCAAACAAAATCCAAACAAAAAACCTCGGATCCTTTGAGCACACGTGAGATTCGTACTCCCTTCCCTATTAAAAAACAAGTTGGCTCATTAAATTATATATGGTTTTCCTAACAGAGTCACATTGATGCCCGTCTTTCATGATGAAACACAAAATTAATTTGTTAAGGTTACTTATATATTAAATGACAGCTGCCTTTAAGCATTTAGTTAATTTCTTTGGTTTAAGGACCTGTTGCACTCTGACCTTTAAAAATAAATAAAAGGGGACATGTTGCACCAAACCCCACAAATTTTCTGGTTAGTTTACTTAACACCAGGTCTTAGTTTAAGTTTGGGTAATTGTATTAGGGGTGTGTGCATATACACCTAATAAATTTATTTATTTATTTTTAATCAATTTCCAACCTAGAACATATGGTGCAAATGTATCACCTCCATCCAAATCTGTTAAAAATTATGTTAACCCAAGGGCAATTTCATCAGTTCATTATAATTAAAACTAATGGAATGAAATCAAAAAAAAAAAAAAAAAAAAAAAAAAAAAAAAAAAAAATTAAATCTAAATAATTAAATAAATAATTCACATCATCCCTTACCTTTCCCTTCTCCTTCCCACTCAAGGCGGCCCTTACCTCCTTCTCTGCACCCCCGCACCGCACAGCCCCTCATCCTCCCTCACTACCTCTAGCTTTAGCTTGAAACCCATGGTCTTATCATTACACTCCCACCAGCTTCTCTCCATGTTACTCTCTCCTCCATGAAAACCCATCCCTCCACAACACACTCTTTTCGAACAAGAACATATTGCTCTCACTTTCACTCTCACTTTCACAGTAAAAACAAAGTTGCTTTGCAGACCCCTTCATTGTAAACATGCCAGAGAATACTATTTTGTGGTATGCTCATTGCGAATTACGCATTATGCGCTGGTTTTTTGTCCCTGTAATTAATATTATAATAATGGGGTGCAGGGGTTTCACCATGAATTTGGTCTGCCATCGATGGGAAGGCTTACGGCAAGAAGGGTGTCTGAGTTTGCGGGGGTGGGGTGGGGGAGGAGGGAAGCCTTGAGTAATTTAATTTTTCCAAACTATTATTTTGGTTTTTAACTTTTTAATTAACGGGATAAAACTTTAATGGGTGTAAAAAAAAATATTTCTGGGTGTGTTTAAAATTATTTAACGGAATGTGGATGAATTGGATGGAGGTGGCACTTTCTCAATAAAAGTGAAGTTTGGGTGGTTAAATGTTAAAAAAACATTATTAAGTGGTAAATGCACACACCCTTAATAGTTCAGTGGTGTTTAAACCTTCCCTCTTCTAGATAGTGGTCAGCGGAAGCAAGACTTTGTTTGACTTGGATCAATGTAAAGGTCCCCTGTTCGATCTGGTTAGCTGAACGACGCAAGTCTCTCTCTTCATCTAACTTTCTACCCGGTGTCAAATAAGAAGCCTGCACCGTTGTGGTCGACTCAAGAACCACATCAGACAACTGGGAGATGAAACTTGCAGGTTCATTTTCTCACTCTTGGTTTTCTTCTTCTTTTTTCCAGTTTGAAAACAAATATTCATCACAAAGCTAAAATCATGATATAGATATGGATTTTGGATCATTATTATTCATGTCAAGATAAAATCATGATATTAGATAAGAGATTCGACCAAATTCAAGATGTCAACTTGGTCTTACTTAAATCTTGAATTTCTAACAATGGCCAGAAATAGAAAAAAGCAAGGGACGAAAAAGATGGTGGTTGACGAGAATGCGGACGACAAGAGTCCAAAGCATAACCCTAACCATGATGCCGAACATACGCCCCCCTTAAAGTGTCTTAGTCTCGGCGGCAGGTAAGACTTTCATTTTACCATATGCTGTTTTGGGAAGAAGAGAAAGGGGCAGCCTTTTTTCTTTTTTCTTTTTTTTTCCAAGGCGTGCATCATATGTATATATGTGTGTGTGTGTGTGTGTGTGTGTGTGTGTGTTTATAGATAACTTACCATTCTCGAGAAGCTTACCCGGTACAATATGGTGCCATGTCACTAATTAACAAACTTTTTGATAGCAGATACGGTGCGTATGAAAGTTGTAGAAAATTTAACGTTATGTACAAAAATGGGACGGAAATAAAAAATTTGTGTAATAAAGTCTGAAAGTCAGTTAACTTCAGGATAATAAAGTGAAATACGAGTACTCAACCGATTTTGAGATAATTCAATAAAGCACTAACTAATACTATGATTTAAGTTGGATGACAATTCAATATTTACTAGGATATATGTCATCCACTTATATGTTGTAAACTTTTTCTCTTGTACTGTCAGGCACAATGTTTTCGGCAGGGCAGCTTTCAGGAGGACTGCAAGCCAAGAATATTGCTCGACGCTAAGGTACACAAGAATATAAATTTGATAAAATTACAAGTTATGACCATATAGTATAAGCATAATGATTTTGGCACTCCCAACTTCTCAAACTTTTCCAGCAAAAAGGAAAAAAGAAAAAACTTCTCAAAATTTTCTACCCTGACACATAAGGAGTGTGTGAGGTTATTTAAGGGTGATTTTAGAGTGCCAAAGCATATGAAATAAACAATAATCTATCAGAATTGAAATACTTATGACTTATGCTAATAGAACATTTGTTACAGCTAAATGTTGTTTTAGTGCTGCCACAGAAATTAGGTTCAACGCTGTCAATTCCTTTCATACATTGTAGTTCCATTTTCAGAAGGACAAAAACTACGTCACAAATTACTGAGAAAACAGAAAATGAAGAAGAATGCCAGGTACGAGTCTTGGACAAGCCAGACAAGTGGTGTATCTATAGGGTTCCCAGTAAACTCCGCAAAGTAAATGAAGCAGCGTACACTCCTCAATTACTATCAATTGGCCCTTTCCACCATGGCAAACCTGAACTCAAGGACATGGAGACCCATAAAAAGATATACTATGAGAATTTTCTTGCACGTTTTAAGAAGAGTGACGATGAACTAAAGCAATTCATCAAGACTCACCAAGAAAATATTATTCGTTGTTACGCAGGGACCATTGAGCTTAACAAAGACTTCGAAAAGATAATTGCCGTTGATGCGTGCTTCATCATTGAGCTATTTTTAATGAACTTCAACAATCCAGAAAATCATGAAAATGATTATATATTGAGATCACCATGGCTGAGGAAAGCTGTAGAGCAGGACTTGATACTGTTTGAAAATCAGCTTCCTTATTCTCTTCTTCAAGAACCATATCAGAACTTTGCTGTGCCTCCCTCTTCCAATTTCCAACCTTGGAAAGAAGTACAAGAACAGGCTGAGAGACAGAGCAGTACCAATCATGACTTTCCACACTGCTCGCCTTGCTGCCGGCATTGCTTGCCTTGCTGCTGGTGGATTCCTTCCAAGGATCATTCTATAGAGATTGTACAAGTCGAACCTGATAATGATGATCCCCTGCTTAAGCTTACCTATGAGTTCTTCAAAGATTATAGTAGGGGAAAATCCGTCAAGAATGGAGTAAGACCGAAACATTTCACTGATTTGGTTAGGCATTTTCTACGTCCTGACAAAGAAATGGTTTTTAAACATAGTAGTACTCCAATAAAAATATATATGCTCCAAGGAAGCTGAAGGCATCAGGGGTGAAATTTAGGCCACTTAAAGATGGCCACTTTATCATAGAAAAAGACGAGGCCACTAAATGTAAGCTCAACTTAGCGTGTTTTAGAAATATGGACTTGAAGCTTACACAATTTTGTGTCAAGGATGAGACAGAATGCGTTATTTGAAACATCATGGCCTTGGAGCAGTTTTTATACCCAAACAAGCCTTATATCTGCAATTACTTTTTGCTTATGGATCAACTTGTGGACATTGTGGAAGATGTGGATTTGCTGGTTGAGAACAAAGTTATTCTTAACATGCTAGGCTGCAATGAAGCAGTGGCGAAAATGGTTAATAGACTTTGCGAGCAGATCATGGACGATAAATCCTGCTATTTTGATATCTGTGAGCAGCTTAATAAGCACCATGAGAATTTTTGGAACCTTCATGTCGCAACTCTGAAATGAGTTTACTTCAAGGATCTGTGGACAGGCAGTTCAACTGTAGTTGGAGTTTTCGTCCTGCTTTTCTCAATCATTGGAACCATTAAGTCTCTCATGTCGTAAGTTTTAAGCTCGTTCAACTCGTGATTCTTTTAGACAGAATGTTAAATTAAGTCATTACTTCAAGTGATGAACTGAACAAATAAGTTAGCTAGTGTTATAGATTTAACATAAAGTTCGAGTTACGAATTAGTTCTGTTATTGTTGTTAAAGACCGCAGAGCAGTTCTTGTGAATTTATTGTAATGAACATAATTTTCATTTAGAATTAAATAAAGAAAGAGTTATGCTCTTGTTTTCATTGCACTCAGAGTTGAAGACTTGGATATTGAATCTTCAGCTTCAAAGCCACTTGCTGCTTTGTCTGGTCTTTACAACAAATAGATGTTAAGAATGTAATTGCAATAATTACAGACCTGATCATCCCTTTTTATGACAAAGGTTACATCTTCAATAATTACAATAATTACAGACTTGAGCTTTTTCCGGGTGATATATATTTTTTTTGAGGGGCACTAATACCATTTGCTTTGCTTCAATCTTTGTACCTTGGATTGTATATAGTTCAAAATAAATTTCGTTCAAATATATTTTTAAAATCAACAAGAGATTGGATATACTTGGGAACTCTTTCAACATTAAGAAGAAAACTGCCATGAAAGTTGATCTAACTCGACCTCTTATAAAATACTCTTGCTTTTTTCTAATGGCAAACCAATAGGAGTTCATTAAATACGGAAATATATGAAGGCTTTGGTACAATTTCAAGCTTCAATCAAGGCATTAACCAGCTAGGAAGGAGGGTTTACAATCCACCCAGAAGCTTACAATATTTTTACCATTTCAAGATGCTACATCATGAGCAACTTTATTATGCCTATGAGCAATTTCGTTAAATATGCTCTTTTTTCATACGCTATGAATTCCAACTGGGCATCCATACGCAGACCACTCCAGACGTCTGAGAAAGTTACAATGGACTCGACCTCAATCTTCAGCCAGCCCTCTCCAAACTCTCACAGCCACTGGCAATGAAACTTATATGCAATATTGCACGCAGCCTGACAATAGTAAAGCTCAAATATCATCTCCACACACACACAAACCCGATCGCTGTTTCCTACACCATGCAGCATTGCACGTTAACATCAGCAATCCTCGAACTCAGGCAGCTCCAGCTCAACTCACTCAGCAGAAACCAGAAACCCCTTGAACTGGATTCTAAATGTTATACTGCCTTATAGCGTTTTTACCATGCACACAAACAACTCTTCAGTAACAGTAAGACTACCATTAACAGACTTATTAGAATAAAATAAATACTAAAAAGAGAAAGAAAGACTACCATTCAACAGTACCTTACTTCATATCTTCCATAATCGCCAGATAACACACCAGCTCACAATAATTGCACACTTTCCCGCTTAAGTGACATATTTCTATCTATCCCAATCCATGACATTGGATGTCAACAGGAAACAAACACAAATCCTTAAAATATGGAAATGTGAATATTAAAATTTGAAAACTGATATCCCAATAATAAAATAATGATTAAAATTATAAAAGCCCCCAATCCACCTCATTATCAGTTGTTATAAGTAACTATGGAAACATAAATACAATTACAGCCTCACAAGGAAGGTTTCCGGCCTACAAGGTTTAAGTTGGTATGCCTAATTTTAATTTGGAGCAATATGAACTTCTAATCTTCAAGTTATATCAAACTGACCTATATTTAGTTTTCAACTTAAGCAATGTAAACTCCAAGTGCAGCAATTTTGTCATCTACCTTGTTCACATAGTACAAGTATAGCAACTTAAAAGAATACTCAGTAAAAACAAAAGTATATATATTGGCTAAGACAAAAATTCTTTTAGATGATGGTAGCCACGAGTTGCTCACATGGTCATGGCACTGGTTCTAAAAGAGATGACCTAAGCATAAATGTTATGTCAAACTACGATTACATTGCAGACTCTTTTCTTTTTCTTTTTGCCCAACAAAATTGTCAATATGAAACCAAAGTGAGGATGAACCTCGGTTGTAGAAGGGTTCCTTGGTTGTAAGAATCATCCTCGGTTGTAAAAATGTTCCTCGGCTCATGAAGCCAAGTTAGGATGATCCGTGGCTTTGAAAATAATCCAATGTGGGAATTTAAGGCCTTATATGGCCGGTGCGTTTTCCATTAAACGGCCTATTTGGTGTTTTAAATATATATATGTTTGAAGCCATCTTAAGGTTGATACTTAGGCCTTTCATGTCGCCTTTCAAGAGGCCTTTCAAAAATTTATTTCAGTTGGAACATTGAGTTCCATTGGCATCCACCATGGTGGGATTTAAGAAAATGAGCTTGGATTGAGTGATTAAGGTGGTCAGATCTATGATTCACTCATCTATAGCCGATATCTGAAAAGATACTATCAAACGGCTTGGTGCGTAAGTGATCTATCAATTTTTAAACTAAAAGCACAAAGAATTTCAATTCATATGCTCTTTCACTGACGTCAGACTAAAAGAATCAAGGACCATGTATATTCCATCAAACATAGTGAGTATTCATGGTGGGTTTCTGTCGTGGAAGTTGAAAAACATGACGTTAGTTGGGTTATTGGTGACTTATGAAGACCATTGATTGTAGGCATAAAGGCTTTATGGCCTCGTCGTTATTTTAGGACCACTAAATGGCCTACCATTTGATCGTAGGCCTTTATTATAATTAGCAAATCTATCTTAATATATTTATATTATATTGTATGTCTTTATGATATTAACATGTTATGATATAAAGAAGTGACCTAGACCTCTGGGCGTGCAGCACGTGGGAGCAAAAGGTCAAGCGTTTACATTGACATACTTAGTATGTGAATTATTGTTAAGAATTTGTGGCCTCACACACCTTGCCTCTCAAGTCTCCTTGCAAGTGGTGGAATTTAAGGATGAAAAGACTTGTAGCCGGACTTATCGTATCCCAAGTCAAGAGAAGAGTTTCACAATCCTAATTCCATTTTATTAACCAACTATATGGGTTGGTGGTGGTTGGGAAGTTCTCATTAAATACCTAGAGTCAAGGGCGGAACCATAAATTTTTTAATGGGAGGGCTAGCAAAAGTTATTATCTTAAAATTTAATGATTATTTTTTTTGGTACTTACAAGTTCTATAGTCTTTCTAGAAATAAAAATAAACATTAATCATATAAATAACGCTAGTTCATAGCTTCATAAACTAATTTTCAATAATTCATAACTCTGTAGACTAATTTTCAATAAGCTTTAACATAAGCCAAATAGGGTTTAACACCATAGTGGCTTTATACTTGTTTATGTTCCTCTTATCAATAAAATACTATCGCTCTTTATCAAAAACAAAAAACAAATACATATTAAATGCAACTGAAAAACACATATAATCAAAATGAAAATATGTTCAATAACATAATTTTGGCAGAGTCTCCCCTTTAAAATCTATCACCACAAGACTTTCTACCAAAATTTTGGCAGAGTCTCCCCTGTAAAATGCACAAACCCAACAAAATTCAACCTGCATAATATACATAATAAAAATCCCAACCAGCAGCATTCTTTCAACATTACAGCAATACATACTAAATGGCCTCTGGCCTCAAGTAACAACCTAACATGGGTAGTAACAGAGCGTCTAACAGAATTAGTTTACAACAACAGTTGAGTAGAAGGAAATTACTCAAATCCTAACTACGGAAGTTCACAGTTCGAGCCTCGTACACTGCTTGCACGCTTTCTGGAGCAACTACTGTCTGGGGGGACTGCAAAACAGAAAATATGTGAGTGTACAAAAACAAAGTTTGCAATTAAAACAACATAATAACCCCACTGTGTAAAAATAATGCCCAAGCATGTAGATTCACAATTCATAATTAAATACTCAAAAACATTATTCTCAGAAAACCCATTGAACCCAAAAACCTCAAAACCCAAACTCCATTCCCAAAATTATACTGCTCTTACCAGCCCACTACATATACTCTAATTGCTTTATACTCACACCTATATATATATAATTATAGATATATCAAGTACTTCTCTCAGTACTTATGTACCGGGGAAACAATCCAACTGGAGGATGGTTTGGCTAGCCAGTAGGATTTCCAGGTGCTATCCTACGTCTAGGGATGAGCAGTCCAACCGGGGGGCGAAACTCCATAGCTCATGCACCGGAACATTCAACGCCATGTGTAGCTCCAATACTAAGTCCTACGCGCACAGACTACATCATTACACACCAGAAATTCCAATGCCATGTGTGATGATCCCAAGCAATATACATAATCTTCCCATACGCCGGAAATTTCAACGCCGCGTATGGGAAGTGTCTCACACGCCAGAAAGTCCAAAGCCACGTGTGAGACTAATAACAACATGTTCTTCCCACACGCCAGAAATTCCAACACCACGTGTGAGAAGCCTAGTAACTGGGGAAGGTACTTACATAGTGTAATCATACAACTTCTCTCAACAACCCCTCATACTCAAGTCCTTCCACAATCTCACCTCAACAACCCAAGTACCCCACATATAGACAATATATATATATATATAGAATTTCCCCAAAATCCATACAAACATACTCTCAATACTCAAATATGTCAAACCCACAATATATTGCCAAAGCGCTATACGAACATCAAATTCCACATTTGAATATCAATATATCCAATATACCATTTAAAACATTATGCATAAATCTTTCATTAATAAAACCATGCGTATGATTGAAAACAAAGTCTACTCACAAATAGTCCCAAGCTGCCCGACCCCGAGAGGGTCCTGCCTGCTGTGTACGATCGATCGGAGCACTTATTTCGAGATATGAACCCTTAATTAATAGAAGATCACTTCGAAACGGAAATCACAAATTAAATACTTAAATCTCCAAGTTCCCGGTGTGTGTACGTAGAATGAGATATCCTAATGTCCGGTTACAGGTTTAGGAATCGCTCACAATTGCACAGTTATCGCTAACCCACAAATTTTGAATTATTCAATTGGAACATCCAGGGCTCCAATTCACGATCCGAGAATTCCTATATGATTCTAAGAGTGCCTAGATCAACATATTTTAATTTGAAAACGATCCAACAGTCAGAACCTATCAAACCCGGATAACGCACAATATGCGAAATCTATTCAATAGTCAAACGACGTCTGAATTGACATCCGCAAAATCCTAAGCACTCATGACAACCTGATGATCTCATCAGGACAAAATTCAGCTTCACCACCCACGCCCCGCCACATGAGCCGGCAGCGCGTGGGTGTGTAGAGTAAATTCCGGCGACGGAAAAACTCCACACCACGGCTCACCCTTCCTACCCTAGATACTTCTCGAGGCAAAGATCACTTCATTCAACTACGGGGAGGTCCAATTCGGACGGCAACCGGCCGGAATTTCACTTTGAAATCCATCCAAAACCTGGGTTTCAAAATCAGGATTCTAGACAACAAATTGATCCAAACCTATGCAACAGACAGCTAGAGCATGTAAAAGAGGAAGAAACCCCACATGTCTCACCGGAATTGGACGGCGGAGAAGGCGGCGCAACGATGGGAAAAGTTCAATTTGAACCAGTCGATACTGCCGACGATTCTCGAGTTTTCCGGAGGGGAAACTGGGTGGTTCAGGTTTGGGGCTTCGAGAGCAGTTGATTGGGACCGGTCTCACATCCTACCGTGGCAGGTGCAGTGAGATTCGAAGAGAGAGAGAGAGAGAGAGAGAGAGAGAGAGAGAGAGAGAGAGGTAGAAAGTGAAAAATCAGATTTTTACTCTAACTTTTTTCGAAATAATTACAAGTTTTGCCACTAGAAGTATTTTGATCGCCATTTCTTTGTTACAACTCCGATTCAAGCCTACCGCATGTCTACGGATTCGTCTCAGCACAACCTACCCAAAAATAGCAGTCACTGCCCCCAAACTCTTTCCGAAAGAGAAAATGACCAAAATACCCTTACCCCAAGGGTAATTCCGTAATTTCACTTAAATCAATTAAAATAGGAATTAAACTTGGAGTCGGGGTGTTACATTGTTAGCATGGAGGACGTCTCTTATGGTGGTCAGGTCCTTCCAATGAGCAGAAGCCTGGTGGATTCCTCTAATTGTGAACCAGGGTTGATCACAAGCCAGTGAGCGCAGCCAGATTTCCACCTCCCTTTGCTTGCAGTCTCTGAAGAAGACAAAGCACTCTTTAGTGCTGACAAGCCTCTTCGAGTTGGTGGTCAGATCTATGATTTACTCATCTATAGCCGATATCTGAAAAGATATTATTTAACGGCTTGGTGAGTGATCCATCAAGTTTTGAACTAAAAGCACAAAGAATGTCAATTCATTTACTCTTTCATTGACGTCAAGCTAATAGATTCGAGGGGGCAATGTTTGAGCCTAAATATATTCCATCAAACATAGTGAGTATTCATGGTGGGTTTCTGTCGTGGAAGTAGAAAAACACGAGGCTATTAGTTGGGTTATTGGTGACTTAACTGAAGATCATTGGACATATAGTCCTTAAAAAAAGCCATGAAGAAAAGGAAAAGGCCAAGATGGCCTATTTGGCATTGTATTGTATATTGCATGCTAACTAAAAGCCATATGGATATATGTTATTATAATAATATTATTGTTATATATATTATAAAGTGTGGCCTAGCAAGTTCTAAGGAGCCCTCTAAAATATTAATTTTTTAAAGAATAGTGTAGAGTTAAATTTTGCCATTTCCAGCTATGCATGGCTATATTTTAGGGTCATTTATATTTTATTATTTTGAGGAAAACTATGGTACAACACTCATATATTTCACAACTATGTATTGTTTAATTTAATTAAACTACGATTTAGAGGCAATATTTTTTAATTTATATTTTTTAAAACAAAATGAATTTAAAACATTTAAAAAGTTTTTAAATAATTAATTAATTAATAACGTTTAATGAATGGTTCTGACCTCCAATGATCATAAACCAATTATATATATATATATATAAACAAAATGAATTTAAAAACATTTAAAAAGGTTATTTAATATAAAAATAAAAACCAAACGGCTAGTTGACGTCATTAATGATGCCAACGGGCCTTTAATATATATTGGCTGTTGGATCTGTAGTTGCACAAAATGTTTCGTGCTCTTGCCCACGCGTGATACTTTTTCCTCTTGAAAAGCACATATGTTGAGCCCACAAAAAAATTTGGCATAGGCCAAAGCTGGACTTCATTTGGCCTAGTTGGAGGGCCAAATCCAAAATTTTTTCTAGCCCATGACTAGAGATGGGTTTTGATTCAATTTGGAAACAAATTCCAATAGCTACAAAATCTAATGGCTGTGATTTCTCTTTTCAAAGTGGACGACCAAGATTCATTCTTTACAAACCTAACTGATAGCTTGATCCGAAGGCCCAAAAATGGTCCAAGCCAACCCAAAATGATCTAATGGTCCTAAATATTAGCAAAAAACACCTAAACCTTCAACAACAAAAATCTGATTTTTCTATATATAACCACAACCTTTGTTCACATAAATCATATCTTCCCCAAATTTAAATTTTTTTAGATCCATTTGTTTGAAAAAATAAAATAAACTTACACACACGCAAAATTAATTTTATAAAATTAAAATAGAAAAAAAAACACAAACAAATTAACAGAAACAAATCGAACTCATTGGAGTAAAAAGCATATTTATACTCCCCAAATGTGTGAAGGGATGTAAAAGTGGAGTGGCTTTTCACCCCCGAAAGTACCACCCACAACTGGTGATGCTCTTAGTTACTTTGAATTGCACATTCTACAAGCTTGAGAATAATAGTGATCAACCACAAGAACCAAAAGTGACTTTTTCGTATTATTTATGATAAAAATAGAATGTGTTGGTGGATTTCAAGTTACAAATCGGTCTGGTTCAGTTTTTGGACCTATTTTGTCAAAATGGGTTTTTTCGACTCGGTTCTTTGAATTTGCGGTTCCAATGCCCACCTCTAATTTCAGCTCGCTGTATTTAATTATTTCATCTAAATAATTAAATAAGGGACCGAATGTCAATAGTTTGTTAATATGTTGTTGTCGCCATTAATCTGTTTTGCTCATTCAAGGTGTGCTTTATCTTAAATTTCTGTCCGATTGTACTAAATGAGAGACTAATGAGGTAGGTGGGTTCGGTGGAGGAATTGGTAGATATTTGCAACAGGGTACAATCAAATTTAAATGGTTGTCTGCTGGTTGTTGGGAGCACCAAATAGGGGGTTTGGTGGAGGGATTGGTAGATGAATTGATCAACAGTGAAGACGGGCTGCACATTGCAAGGGAAGCTTCCACAAGTAGATAGAGAGAAGCTCTCACGGAGGAGAGAGCTTTTCTGGATCTCCAGCAGAACAACCAAGTGTTTGTTTAGCGGAACAAAGTCTCTTGCCTGCTTCGAAATTTTAGTTGACACTCAAATGGAACTCACAGTAGAGAAACTTGCAGGTTCCATTCATTTTGCTAAACTCTCTTTCTCTTTCAGCTATATGATCAGAAGAGTACCGCTCACATTTACTTAGCTCAAACTATTTCAATTTTGGTTATGAAGTCGGTCCGGCCGAAACTGTTTATTTAATTTGCTGCTCTTCTTTTCTTCTTCATGTTTGAAAAACAAAAGAGCTTGCTAGTTTCTTTGGCCTAAACTTAGGGAATGAGAGAAGATCAACAAAAAAACATGAAAAACGTGAACAATTACTATCTGTCAGATGCAAACAAAATCTTCGAAATTAATTAGGATGCTTTATGGATAAAACTGAGCTCAAGGTCTTATAAAATTAGAGCATCTACAATTATGCTCCCTATTTTTCAGTTAAAATTTAGCTTAAAACACACAAAAACTATGTTAGGAGCTCTCTATAAAATTTGAACTCCAATCATACTGTTGTCTAGTTTAGGAAGTCATAAAAACTATTATTATTTTTTAATTCAATATAATTGGTCCATCTTTTAAAAATAATAATAAAAAAACATAGTTAGCATTAATTAAAAATTTAAAATATACATAAAACAAAACAACATTAAATTATAGGGAGTCACTAGGAGTCTTTTTTCTCTCCTCGGATTTAGGAACTCCTAGAGGTAGATAGGGAGCATGGTTGGAGTTGTATTTTTCCAATTTCCCCCTAAAAAATTTCTAATGAGATGGTTTAGGGAACTCATTGTGAATGCTCTTAGATATTGGCTCTAACATAAATGTTGATTGCACAGAAACACAAATATTTTGATATGTCCGTAAAAGGTTCAAGATACACAATGCAAATTTTTAGTAAAATAATGGAAATTTTGAATGAATATTTCTTGATAGGAAAGGTTCAAGATACACAATGCAAATTTGTAGTAAAAGCATGGAAACTTTGAATGAATATTTTTTGATAAAAAAGCAACAGAATTTTATTAGATAAATAAAAAGAAACAGTAGAAAGGACACAAACTGTAAAGGATGTAAAGGGAACCATCCCAATAACAATATGGCATTCATGAAAATAATTTTTCTAAAACCTCTTTCAACCGCCATAATTTCCCCGAATCTTGTTCAATGACTTTCAAAGACAAAAACTAGCTATTAATCGGTATGATTCTCTTAAAGAGACTAAAAACACTCAACAAACTCAACTAATTTCTAGAACCATGAGGAAAAAAAAAACACAAAAAACTCATAGAGTTTATAGACTTTATTGAACAAACTAAAATAACGTCGATAAAAGGAAAACCAACCGCCATTAATCTTCCTTAGAGGAATGAATTAATATTTAAGATACAATTATTTGTTCAACTATCTACGTGTTGTCAACAGAAAACTAATGAAATTAACTTGATTGCGTTGTGGGGTTGCGTGACCTCAATTAAATGATTCACGTACGCTGCATTCATTGTATGTATACAACTATTTACACTTCATACACTGCAAATTGAACTAGTACACTGATAAAGTAGAGAAACATGACAAAAACATATAGCATCCACAATCACGCTCTCTATTTTTTAGTTAAATTTTAGTTAAAAATATATAAAAGTTATTTTAGGAGCTCTCTATAAAATTTAAACTTCAATCATGCTCTCTACGTTAGGGAGTCATAAATGTCATAACTCTTTTTTAATTGGTTCATCTCCATTAAAAAAATAATATAAAAATAATTAGCATTAATTAAAGGTTTGAAATACTCATTAAATAAAGCAGCATTAAATTATAGGGAGCCACTAGGAATCATTTCTCTCTCTTTAGATTTAGGAGCTCTTAGAGGTCTCCCTATTTTAAGAGGTGGATAGGGAGTATGGTTGGAGTTGTATTTTTTTAAATCTTCCTTAAATTTGTCTAATGAGGTGGTTTAGGAAACCCATTGTGGATGTTCTTAAGGAACTACGTAACTAATAATAATAACATTAATTTAGAGAATTAAGCAATTATAATAACATTAGTGAAGCAATGTTATTAATTTGTAAAACTAGGCAGAGGGATATTGGCCATTTGAAATCTGTCCTACCAAAGCTATATGTGGTTACGCTGCACTTGCAGGAAATGACAAATCAATGGAAGAAACGAAAGAGCTACGGAACGAAAAAGGGACAACAGAGAAGACTGAGGAGTGCAGTTCAAAGCCTAACCGTAAATTTGTCCCACGCCCTATGCCCTCAAAGAGGAGTCAGATCAAGCATCAGATCATGTCTGACCTCGTCAGGTATACTTTTTACACAAACAAATAGGGTTTTCATTTAACCTATCTTTCAAGACTTATAGTTTAAAGTGCTGCTAAACAAATTTTAAAATTAATTTAGTACACTTTATGATTTAAGTACACTTAGATATTTTAATTAAAATATAAAATTAACTACGTACACCATATTTGTGCAAATTTCTCACGGAAAAATATTCACGGATGAATATTTTCTCTCGACCGTTCCCCTGCTAGATTCCTTGCAAGACAAATGGCGATCAACGGAGAACCACCGGTGTGGTGGTGGCTAAGGGCCTTCTAATGCCTAAGTCAATAAAATGGCCTTGGAAAATTTAGATAATGTAGTGTAGGAGCCGAGTAGGTAAGAGAGGTGGCAACAGCCTAGGCTGGTCATCCACGAGTGTGAGAGGGAGAGGGGAATTCAACTATATATATATATATATATATATAGAGAGAGAGAGAGAGAGAGAGAGAGAGAGTGTGTGTGTGTGTGTGTGTGTGTGTGTGTGTGTATGTGTGTGTGTACGCGCGTGCGTGGGAGCCGAGTAGGTAAGAGAGGTGGCAACAACCTAGGCGTGTGAGAGGGACAGGGGAATTCGATTAGAGAGAGAGAGAGAGAGAGAGAGAGAGAGAGAGAGAGAGAGAGTGTTCATTTCTTGAATAATTTGATTGAGGGAATTGATGGAATTTATTCCATCAACTTAAATAAGTAACTTCCTTATTAAATATATTATTAAACCTGATTTATTGGTTTAAATAATATATTTCTAGGGTTATCTTCCTTTCCACGTGGCTCCTTCTGATTGGGCGTTGGATTATTTGCTCCCACACACCATATTTAATTACCTAAAATACCCATGGTACACCCTAATACACTCTATCACACAATACCCTCCTAAAAGAGGATATTTTGACTAAAATTGGGGATGAAGGAAAATGTGGTAATGTGTTTAGAGAGCATACATACAGACTTCCATGAGGGAATTAGGAGGTGGAGAAGATGACCCCATATCTATGCAGAGAATAAGAGCTACTTAAGCAAGCACTTGCTATACTCTGCTTCTTTCTTTCGACTATTTGACAGCAATGATTCTCTTGTTGCCTATTGAGTATGCAGACTTGTGATGTAGTCTTCAGACTATATCACCTTTTTTGCTGTTAATTTGACTCGGTGTGCCTTAACACCATTTGGGCTTCAGGCCGCCTTGTTAAATATAATTTTTTTTTTCAAGCCAACAGTTTGGCTTATAAATCTTTTCTTGCTTTCATGTGGTGAATGTTAAATTTCAAAGACACGGGTTAGCAGCCCGCTACTAGTAACGCCGATATTGTCCATAACTTAACCACCTATAAAGCTCAGTAGGTGTGAAGTTTTATTACAAAAGCCTCGGTGATATTAGTAGTGGAACCATTCATTATATATTTTATTTTATTTAGTTAAGTTTCTGATGTGGGATTTATATTTTTCAACACGCTCCCTCATGTGAGACCACCACATAATGGGTCACATGTGGAGCCAAGTCTGAGACGATCTTGGAAAACTCATGGGCAATCGAGCGGTCAAACTTTCCATATTGGTCAACCTGGCCCGCAAGGCCCACGAGCTCCTATTTCCAATCCAAAAGTTTCTATAGGTCATCCCGAAGGTTTGGTCTCAATAAGTAGTTGGATCTAAGCCAATCCCACGATTGGACGGTGATCGGTTCGCCTCACCCTATAATCATTGACTCAAAATATCCGGGACTCCGATTCTCGATCCGCAAGTTTCCACAAGATCCTAGAGGTACAAGGAACAACATAATTCAAATTGGAACCGATCGAATGGTCCAAACCTATTGAAGCCGGATATCGCATTATAGGTGCAATATCTATTCAATAGTAAACCAGTAACTAACTTCAAATTCGAGTATACCGTCATGCTCGAGACGACGTGGGGAAGATTTTAGAGCACATTGGCCTCCACAAGGTGGCCCACGCGCCGCCACTCGTCGATGGCAACGATGGGTGGCTCACCCAATACCTATACCCACAGTTCAAGCACAACTAGGGGTGCATTTTTTGTTCTTGGACCCCTACCAAAAATTGGCTGGAGGTGCCCGAAACACGGCCAAAACTGCCAGCCTCTAACGATGTCTAAATCAAACTCTCAAATCTCAAAATCAACCAAAACCACATACACAATCAACAAAAGCACAAGGAGATGATTGAAACCCATACCTGGATCGACGTCAACAATCGCCGAAGTCGACGAAAAAGGCTACTAAAACCACGGTAATTGTGGCCTTTTGGAACTCAAAACGGCATCGTGCCGGACTTGGGTGTCTCGATCTTAGCCTAAACATGGTAGCTGGAAGTAGCCGGTCATTTTCGAACCTGTCTCGTTAGAGTAGGTGGCTAGACGGCGGCGTGGCGTTGCTGAGAAGGTGAAAAGCTGGGTATTTAAGGTTTCTGAACAATTTCAAAAATTCCCAACGTGTCTTTTCCGTTCTTAGACCTTTACGCATTTGTTACAACTCGAAATTGAGCGTGCCGCCTATCCATGCACTCATATCGACGAGCTCTAAGCAACGATGCTACTCAATTCTCCAAAATGCTTCCAGAACGAAGGGTGACTAAAGTACCTCTACCCCCAAGGGTAAAAATGTAATTTTGCAATTAAATAATTAAATAAACTACTTAATTGACTCACGATGTTACATAAACTATTGCTCTTAATATAGAACCCACATTAAAAAAAAATTAGTAGAAATGATAGTAATTTGTTGATAAGAAAACAACCAAAAGTACATAAAGGTCGAACGATGCCTTGGTTAGGTAAGTTTCTCTACATAAAGACTAGAATAGAGAAGCCCCACATCCCCCCATTAAGTTACCCGAAAAAGTTAATAGTTACAATCCTCAAACAAGGCATCAGAAATAAAGTTTGGGGGTTCTTTAAACCAAGTTAGAGAAGCCCCAATATGTAATGCGAAACGAGCCATACGACGAGTCATGTTATTTGTTGTGCGATGGATATGGGTAAAACCTTCCCCAATGATATGTGACAAAAGCCTCTTTTTATCTTCCATAATTGGGCCAATCAATAGAATAATTCTTGAGAGCCATCATGATCTGGAAAGCATCACTCTCAAGAACAATATATGTAAGACCCCTTTCCTTCACAAAAATAGGTCCAACTCTAGCTGCAGTGGACAGAATCAGACCCAAATTCCACTTTGGAATCTGAGCTAAACCCTGTGCGTGTCCAACACCTGGCAGGTGCTGGGAACACTTGACCAAATTACCCTTCTAACTTTGACTCAAACTTCTTTTAAGGTTTGACTTCTGCCGAAAATTCGGCAGAGTCTCCCCTGTAATTCGCTCTTTTCCCAATATTTTCACCTGTACAATAAGCAATTTAAATATCCACAACCGTTCAGCATGCACACATGCAACCAAACATCATATCCATATGACATCAAGCCTCTTTAAATCAAATAAATCGTTATGCGAAATGAAATTGATCCCAACTTTTAAAACATAATCAATACGTTAATAGATTTCAAAATAACTTAACTGAACAGCTTTTCAATCACTTGGTCTCGCGGCTGCACCTAGTAACTCTAGGTTGCCTACGTACCCTTAACAAGGGATCAAGCCACACGTAGTTCTTTCTCTTTGTTTTATTGACAAGTAATGTAATCAACTTTTATGTGTACCACCTGTATTGCAAAATCAAATATGAAAAGAAATGAAAAAAGAAAATAAAACAATGAGAGGAGAATAAATTTCAAATTGGAAAAGAAACACAAGGAGAACAAAACAAGAATATAAAATCAAGTAACGACATAGCAAAATAAAACTTCACTTAACAAAATAATCGTGAATTATACATAATTCTTGAAACTTAGAAACTCTTAATCCTTGTCTCTTAAGTAAGAAAAACATATCTTAAAACCTTTGTCCATAAATGCCAAGATAAAATCCTCAATTTTATCTTAAAACATGTCAAAACTTAAATACTCTCCACTTAGGCGTACCCCCATTTGTGATCCGTCAATTCCACCAATTTTCCGTTAATTCCATGATTTTCTATGAACTTCCCACATTATACCGTCAATTCCAAGTATCCTGTCAGTTACATCCTCGCATGCCTCGGAAACACAGAGTCAACTCGAGCCGCATTCCTCGCAACACTCATGGGACACTTAGTCAACCTGAGCCGTATTCCTCGGAGAACTCGGACGACATGTAATCAACCCGAGAACGCATATCCTCGCACCACATGGTTTAGGCGTCCACGAAACTCGTGGAGCATTACCGTAAATGAAAAAACTATATCGAAGGCAATTAGGGGATACTCCTGTGATGGGTTTGAAACTCGTATTCTGAAACTTATCATAAACTTTCCCCATATTCCACAACTCTGTATCTCAAATCTTTTCTCAACTCTTCACAACTAATCACAATATAATATATCCTTAGCAAGGTCTTAAATATCGAGGGTTTCGGAAATATCGGTGATTCAAAAACACGGAAATATCGATGGAAATATCCGGAAAATATCGATATTGATAAAAATTGGATAAAAACCACGGAAATTGTGATAAATACATGGAAATTTTTAATGAAACTTTGTAAAAAGTTTATTTAGTCAATAATCTATTATTTTAACACAAAAGATTGGAAGGAAATACTAAATATCCTAAGCCCAACTAGCCAACAAGCCCAACAAGCCATACTAATAATATCCCAAGCCCAACAAACCATACTAAAATACTAATATCCTAACCCTATCTATCTAATCTCATCCATCAACGTCAGTCACTTTATTCATTACTTTATTAATTTCTTTTTTTTCTTTTTCTCACTTCACTCTCTCTTTCTTTCTCTCATTCTTTCCATTTCCACCTCTTTGTGACTTTATTCCTTTCTTTCTTTTCTTTTTCTCACTTCACTCTCTCTTTCTTTCTCTTATTCTTTCCGTTTCCACCTCTTTTCCTCGCAGTTTTTTTTGTTCTGACACTTGGGGCAGTCATCATCACAAGAGAGATGTGAGAGCCCACCATGAAAAAACTGTGGTTTTGGAGCTCTAAGCTCTCTTTCCTCCCATTTCTTTCTCTCCTCTCATTTCTTCTTCGTTTTCTTTTTCTCTCTTATTCTTTCTCTTTTCTTTTTTCTTCCTCTCTTCCTCTGATTTTCTAGTACTCTGATTTTTTTTTTCTCCGATTCTATGTTTCTATCTCTCCCTCTATATCTCTTTCTTTGCAAATCTGGGTTCTTGAATATCTTGGGTTATGTTCTTGAATCTGATTTTTTTATTGTTTGGATATGGAATCTGATTTTTCATGCAAATTTAAAGCTCAGTTGAGGTTCAGATATATTTTGCTGGATATTTTTTTATTTATTATCCTTTAAGGTTCATAACTTCATATCTGGTTTTCCTTGTATGGACTCATCGATTAGTTCCATTGATGTTTCTAAAAATATCAGTTAGAAGTTGGAAGCTGGGATGCGACGATCAAGCGAATTATTTCATTTTTGAAAGTTCATATCGAAATATTATCAATAATATCACGATATGTTGACCGTTTGCAGCTGCCATTTGAACGAAAATATCAGTACCGAAATTATCGCAAAATTATCGAGGAAATTATCGATAAATTGACGATAAATAAATGGAAACCTACTAAAATATCGCTGCCCCTAAAAAACGATAATTTCGCCAAAATATCGGCAAAATTATTGATATTTTATTCTCTGGTCCTTAGAGAGTAAAAACAATTACATAGTAACTCATATGCATTAAATCATCCAATAACACTCGGTCAAGTACTTTTTTTAATAATAATCACAATAACATTAATAAATTAATAAATAGCAAAATAACCTTCGAATCTCAAAATAACACTCAGGAAAACCATAAAATACTATAACATAAACTCATGATCCAAACGTAATCAAAATAGTTCACAGACAGTCAAGCCTCATTTACACGGTCATTCTAGCATTTCTCGAAGGGTGAAACTACCTCGGAAGTCTCATGGTCAACCGATGGTCAAACTTTCTATATTGGGTCGATCGGGCTCGTGAGGCGCACGACCTCCGATTTCCAATCTGAAAGTTCCTATGGGTTCAACAAGGTTTAATATACCTGTTCTGCAAGTTTGGTCCGAATCGAACGGTTGGATCACTCACGATCGCATGATCGGACAATTATCATTTATTTATTTTGAATTATTGAATCGGAGTATATGGGACTCCGATTCTCGATCCGCAAATTCCAATACGATCCTAAAAGAGTATAGATCCACATATTTAAAAATGCAGTCGATCCAACGGTCCGAAAATATCGAACCCGGATACGCCTAATATGCGATATCCGATCGACAGTTAAAAGATAACCAATTTCAAATCCAAGCATGCCATCATGCTCGGGACAACATGGGGATCATTTTAGAACCAAGAGGGACACTCAGACAGTGCCCACCAGCCGCCACATGTGTCGCCAGCGTGTGGGTGTCTAGGAAAATTCCGGTGACCGGAAAATTTTCCAAACACCCTACAATACCTATACCAATATGTTCAAACTATCAAGGGAAGTGATTTTTGTTCTTAGACCATGGCCAAAAACTAACTGGAACTAGCCGAAACCGTCAGCATAATATGGGTATATTGAACAATTTGTAAAACTTCAAAATCGACCTATAATACCTACATAAATGGATAGAGCACAAAGAGTAGATGAAGTTTCATACCTTACTCAAGGGAAACGGTGGCCGGAGTTGCCGGAAACGGCGTCGGAAAATTCGAAAATCACCAACACTTCCAGTCGTTCCAGCCGCAAATCATTGGGTTTTTTTAGCTGGAAAACGGATGGGTCAGGTAGAGGGCATCGATACGAAACTTTTGCAACAAATTTCACTCGAATGGACCACCGGATGGCGACGAAATCGCCAATTGAAAGTGAGTGTGTGCGGTGGAGAGAGATAGAGAGAGAGAATAAGAAATAAGGGCCGGTACAGTAGCGGGGGTACTGTAGCTACACTACAAACTACAAAATTCCAGTTATGTCCCTTTCGTTTCTAGACCTTTTCTCATTCGTTACAACTCGGAATTGGGCATGCTTCATGTCTACGAACTCGTATCGTTGAGCTCTACGCAATGGTACCACCCAAATCCCCAAATTCTTTCCGGAACAAAAAGTCAACTTTAAACCCATTAAAATATCCTCAGGGTAAAATTGTCTTTGACTTGAATATTTTATTAATTAAATATTAATTTAGGATTGGGTTATTACAACAATGGATTCTGCCTGTATAGTAGAAAAAACATTGTCGACCTTCAAGGCACAGCCAGCTATGAAAAAATCGCTGCAATCTGGCACAACTACTTTGACCACTCCCTTGGTACTATCTGCCCTCCATGCTCCGTCAACATTGGCTTTGAGCAAGCCTTGCGGCGGCCATTGCCAACGTGGAGGGGCGATTGACTTGGTGCTTGTGGTTTTCTTCTCCGAACTTTCTTGGGCTTTTTAAAAATCCTTAAGCTGAATCGTTGTGCTAATTTCCTCCGGTCTTGTGCATCGGTTGTGCCATAGGAGGTTGTTATGTGTGTCCCACATATAATTTCTTATGTATTAGTAAACGTGGGGAAATAAAAAATTGGAATAATTGCACACTATTATGTGCTTAAACTGTTTATGTGTATATACGTTTTTAGGTGCAAACGTGGTGTCGTTGGAATGACAAGACCACAATTTGTTGGAACAATACCTTCTTTTTTTTTCATTTTTACTTAACAAGCTTACCAAGGCCCTAAAGTTTACTGCTCAATAAAGTAGTCAACCTTTTAAGTGTACGGATAAAATAATCTAATCAAAACAAAACACTATTTTTCCAACCCAAAAAAAACAAAAACAAAAACAAATTGAACGAATGGCGAGTATTGTTAGATATATTGTGTCAATGGTGTCGGCTTTTAGCAGCAATTAATCTAAAGTCACTTCTTCTGCTATACCATAAAAATATGTATATATCCTAAAGTCACTTCTTCTGCTACATAAAAAAAAATAAATAAATAAATAAATTGTGTATATATTGTTACAGCTAGTGTTCTTTCAATAGGACCTTGGCGAGCATGCCGGTCGAAACTACGTCCACTACCGGGGCAAGGAGTGAACAAAAATCCGATGAGCCCCAGCTGCCTGACAAGTGGTGCATCTACAGGGTTCCCAAGAAACTCCGCAAAACAAACGATGCAGCATACACTCCTCAACTACTTTCAATAGGCCCTTTGCACTATGGAAAATCAGAACTCAAGGACATGGAGACCTATAAGAAAATGTATTATGAGAATTTTTGTAAACGATGTACGAATAGGAAGGACGAACTGAAAGGCTTCATCGGAGATAGAAAAAAGAACATTCTTCACTGTTATGCAGGGACCACTGAGCTTGGCTACAACATTGTGGACGTAATTTTAGTTGATGCCTGCTTCATCATCCAGCTCTTTTTATTGAACTTTGAAAAAAGTACTGATGATTACATTTTGAGATCAGAATGGTTGAGGAAAGCTGTAGAGCACGAACTGATACTGTTCGAAAACCAGCTTCCTTATTCTCTTCTTGAAGAACTGTATAAGTTTGCCAAGCCTGCAGCCTCTCCCAGCTTGCATCCCGTCAAAGAGTCACAAGAACAAAAAGTGGAAGGAAATGAATCCAGCAGGGACAACCAGCAGTACAGCTCCTGCTCGACAAGTCCCCGTGAGCATACTATTTCTATAGATCAGAGTGGCAAACAAGACGAACCTGAACCTACATTTCTTAAGCTTACATGTGAGTTCTTTGAAGATTATAGTCAGGGAAATTCCCCCCGGAATGGAGTAAAACCGAAACATTTCACTGATTTGGTTAGACATTTTCTGTGTCCAGAAGAAATGAAATTTAAAGAGAAGGATGCCCCTGTAAAAAGTAAATACGACGTAAGAAAGCTGACGGCAGCAGGGGTGAAGTTCAGGCCCCTTGATGAAGGTACTGTACAGTACGTCATAAAAAGAGACAGTGATGAGGCCCACAAATGTAAGTTCAACTTGCCATGTTTTAGAAATATGAAGCTGAAGCTTACACAGTTTTGCGTTAAGTATGATACAGAATGTGTCATTCGAAATGTCATGGCTTTGGAGCAGATTTTGTACCCGCGCGAGCCTTATATTTGCAGTTACTTTTTGCTGATGGATCAACTTGTCGATACCGTGGAAGATGTGGATTTGCTGGTTGAGGAACAAATTATCGTTAACTTGCTAGGCAGCAACAAAGCAGTTATGAAGCTGGTTAATTCACTCTGTGAGCAGATTAAGGAGGATAAATCCTGCTATTCTGATCTCTGTGTAGAGCTAAATAAGCACTACGAGATCAGTAAAGTGAACCGAAGTGTGGCAATCCTCAAACGAGTTTACTTCAAGGATCTTTGGACAAGCAGTTCAACTGTACTTGGAGTCGTTGTCCTGCTTTTCTCAGTCGTTGGAACAATTAAGTCTCTAATGTCGTAAGATTTAAGCTTGTTCGATTCGTAATCTTAATAAATAGACAGCATATTAATATCAGTCATTACTTCAAGTGATGAACCGGACAATAAGTTGGTTAGTGTTATATCTTCAACATTAAATTTGAGTTACTAATTAGTTCCGTTATTGTTGTTAATAGAATAGAAGGCTGCAGATCAGCTCTTGTTCATTATTTGTAATAAAAATATTTTCCATTGAGAATTAAATAAAGACAGAGTTACGCTCTTGTTTTTAATGCACTAAGAATTGAAGTGTTGGCTGGTCTTTACAGCAAATAGATGTTAAGAATGCGCTTTTTTTTCTTTTCTTTAACATGGAAATGAAAAGATATACGTTGTGCAGCCTCGACGCTCAGTCGATTCCAATGGACCTTGTGCACAACGATGGAGGGCATTAAGTTGGCAAGGTGACATAGCCTAAGATTTTTTCTTATTCTTGAGCAGACAATCCAAGAAAATATCAAATTTGAGGAAGGGATGCTTCAGTTGTGCCCCTTAGTTGGTCCTATGAGTACTACTTCAATAAGCACAACCCCACACAAATTGGACCCATTTTCTGGTAAATACCCTCAAGCCAAAAACAGAAGGAAATAAAAACACTTGGCACCACTAGAACTACAAATTTTCGCAAATTAGACTACTTTTGCAGAAATGACTTTAGTTTCTATGCTCTTTCTTCTTCTTTTCCCCTTGTGTTTTGCGAGAAGGTACAACAGAGGATCTATTGTTTTGCATGAATTTTTGTACCTATAGTTCAAAAACAAATTGCGTTACCTAGTAGCTCACCCTTTTTTAATCGACAGGAGATCGGATATATAAACTTAGAACCACTTTTAACACTAATAAGAAAATTACAAAACTAAGAGCTAGTTGATGCAAACTCACCTTATTAAATACTCTTGATTTTTTCTAATGGCAACAGGATAGGAGTACATTAAAAGATAAAGACGGAAATATATGAAGGCTTTGGTATAACGTCAAGTTCCAAGGCATTAACCAGGAGCTTAAAAGAAAACTCAGTAAAAACAAAAGTATACATGTTGAATAAGACAAAGATGATGGAAGCCACAAGTTGCTTACATGGTCATTGCACTGGGTCTAGAAGGGATGACCTAAGCATAAATGTTATGTCCAACTACGATTACATTGCAGACATGTGGAGGTTTTTCTTTTTCTTTTTCTTTTTGCCCAACAAAATTGTCAATATGAAACCAAAGCGAGGATGACCCTCGGTTGTGAGGATGACCTTCGGTAGTAAAAGGGTTCCTTGGTTGTTAGGATGATCTATTTGGTGTTTGAAAATAATCCAATGTGGGAATTTAAGGCCTTATATGGCCTGTGCGTTTTCCATTATATGGCCTATTTGGTGTTTTATATATATATATATATATATATGTTTGAAGCCATCTTAAGGTTGATACTTAGGCCTTTCATGTCGCCTTTCAAGTGGCCTTTCAAAAATTTATTTCAGTTGGAACGAACATTGAGTTCCATTGGCATCCACCATGGTGGGATTTAAGAAAAATGAGCTTGGATTGAGTGATTAAGGTGGTCAGATCTATGATTCACTCATCTATAGCCGATATCTGAAAAGATACTATCAAACGGCTTGGTGCGTAAGTGATCTATCAATTTTTAAACTAAAAGCACAAAGAATTTCAATTCATGTAAATTCCATCAAACATAGTGAGTATTCATGGTGGGTTTCTGTCGTGGAAGTTGAAAAACATGAGGTTAGTTGGGTTATTGGTGACTTATGAAGACCATTGATTGTAGGCATAAAGGCTTTATGGCCTTGTCGTTATTTTAGGACCACTAAATGGCCTACCATTTGATTGTAGGCCTTTATTATAATTAGCAAATCTATCTTAATATATTTATATTATATTGTATGTCTTTATGATATTAACATGTTATGATATAAAGAAGTGACCTAGACCTCTGGGCGTGCAGCACGTGGGAGCAAAAGGTCAAGCGTTTACATTGACATACTTAGTATGTGAATTATTGTTAAGAATTTGTGGCCTCACACACCTTGCTTCTCAAGTCTCCTTCCAAGTGGTGAAATTTAAAGATGAAAAGAATCGTAGCCAGGATTTATTGTATCCCAAGTCAAGAGGGGCGGAGCCACACTGGGACCAGTGTGGTCCCAGGCCCCCACTCAAGTTTGTTTATATTTTAAAAGTAATATACTGTTATGCATTTGTATATGTATATTATTTCAAATACTTTATGTTTTGATATGTACCCACATGTATTGTGGCGGACTTATTAAGGCACAAGGAGGTAGTTCAAATTGCGCCCTTACTCAACTAGTGGTGATGCACTCCAGGTGTACAAATTACCTTATTTCCATTTTCAACATTTAAGTAAATATCTTTGTCCTTTGACTTTAATTTATTTTTATATTACTCCATTTACTTAAGTTTACAATGTAAATAAGGAAGTACCCCCTATTTGAATTCAAATAAAAATACTAGAAAATCAAATTCTCACCAAGTCAAAATATGAAAAATCGGTTTTAGTGTAAAATACGATTTAGGCTAAAAATGATGGCTCATTAAGTCAATATATACTTCATACTAAAATCCCATAAAATTAAGTTTTCTTATTTCATGTGTAAGGAATAAAAGCCGCCAAAAATTATCTTGAGAAAATGATTATTCCGAAAAACCATTTTTCATACTTAGTCAATATTTTTTCATGTATGATATGAATGCATAAAGGGGCCTAAGGTTGTTTTTAATTTAGGAAATTTTGATTTTTTTTTCCTTTCTATTGGATTTAATGGGGAAAAAGCTTTAAAGATATTTGCTAAATCACTACTCTTTGTTTATCTCTTGCAATTTTTCTTGCTTAGAATGTATTTGTCTATCCCTTTGTCGAGAACAATTATGATTGCAACCAATAAGCAATATAATTTTTGACATATGTGATATAAATACACTATTTTTGTATGTATTATGAGTTCAAATTTTTGATTCTTTATATTTTGTAAGAGGCCCCCACACAGATGAAATCCTGGCCCTAAACCCTAAACCCTAAACTTTCACAATCCTAATTCCATTTTATTAACCAACCATATGGGTTGGTGGTGGTTGGGAAGTTCTCAATAAATGTTGGAAGAATTCTCAAGGAAGAGTTAGTTCTAGCCATTTAATGTCAAACCCATCAACTGAAGAAAGTTCTATAAATAGGTCGTCATAAGAAGAAAAGAGTACATCCGACTCAACAAATAAAACCTATTCTTTTTATCCTACACCTTTCAATTCCTAGTCTAAGATTTTATCTTCCAAGCACTTTAGATTATCCAAGTTCTTCATTTTCCTACTGTAAGCTTATTTCTTGCAATTTAATTTAAGTTTTCTTTAAATTCAAGTCTTTATCATTTTAATCTATTTTATCGTATTTACATTTCTGTCATTTTGTTTCTTGCATTTACATTCATTGCACTTATCACCAAAATCTTAAAAATAGTCATACAATGCTCAATGGGTCACGAGAAAGTGAAAGAACTTAGGAGCTGTTTGTTACATAGGCTTGGCTTGGCCTGGCTTTGACTAAATTAGTACCATGTTTGTTTCATCTAATCCTAGCCTTAGATGGGCTTGTTAATACCGGGCCCACCAAAAACACATCCTTAGGAGGGGATTACTAAACCCATGTGGAAAGGGAGGATTAACAATTCTCAAGCTCACCAATATATAAGATGCATATATTATATTGTAATAATAATAACATATATATTATTATATACCCATATTTATATTATATTATATTATATTATACTTACATACACATATACTATAATGTTCATATATATACACATATATGAACATATATATATATATAATATAAGTATATATGTATATAGGGATCCCTCAAATAAAGGCACCCTACATATATATATTCCTAGTCTAAGCATACACCAAACTCATGATAAGTGTTATTCAATTTAGACCAAGCCAAGTCAAGACAATACAGTTCCTAAGCATAGTCCATGCCAAGACAGTTATGTGTAACAAACGAGCCCCTAGGTCATTGAACAATAATATGCTTTCCATTTAGCTCTAATTAGCTTGATATATAGTATTTCAATTTCGGAAGTCCGTGTTAAAGTAATATTTTTATTGTATATTTCATTTTCTCACTCTTGTTTTCTTCTTCTTTTTTCAATTTGAAAACAAATATTCATCACAAAGGTAAAGTTGAGATAGATATGGATTTTGCATCATTATTATTCGTGTCAAGATAAAATCAAGATATTAGATAAGAGATTCGACCAAGAAAAAATTCAAGATATTAATTTTGGTCTTATTTAAATCTTGAATTTCTAACAATGGCCAGAAAAAGATAGAAAGCAAGGGACAAAAAGACGATGGTTGACGAGAATGCGGACAACAGTGGACAAGAGTCCACCTTAATGTATCATTATCTCAGCGACAGGTATGACTTTCATTTCACCATATGCTGTTTTTCCATGTGCATCATATATATGTGTGTCTAGTAGGATACTTATCATTCTCTAGAAGCTTACCCGGTACAATATGGTGTCATAATCCGAATAATCAATTTTTAAGTTCCTCCGTGATTCCAAAAATTTGTCAAGTTTAAAAATTACGTACTCTTTGTTTGAATGGAGGAAAATAACTCGTGAAAATAAACTCAAACAAAACACATGATTGAATAATTGTGATTGATCTATCTATTTTTTAGGTCTTCATTCATAATCATTCTTACAAAAATTAGACAAATCGGAAACCGTTTCGATATCCAATTGTGTCATACAAAATCAATGAACACGGTGCTTTAAGAAAGTACTAAAATTTCAATAACTCAATTGAATGGTCAAATGATATCGAATTCAAGTGATTTTTTATAGAGATGATCTTTGAATGAGTATCTACAAAATAGACGGTTTGGATTAGTGAAATACAATATCTAATTAGGTAACGTGAATTACACCATAAAATCAGGGATCACGGGATCCTTGAATTATGGCTCACACCAACAAATAACTCAAGAAGTGAAGAGGAGGAATTGATATTTCTCCATCTCTATCTCTCTCTAAATTAGCCAAACTAAACAAGTTAATCAAACCCATTAAAAAAAACCGTCAGGAAAAGAACAAAGACTAGGGAGGATGGTGGAGTGCTAACCCACAATTACAAAAATTAGGAATTCCGGCGAGGATGGGTGAGTCAAATTAAAACTTTCATACCCAATCATAAATGGTTATTTCGAAGAGAGATTTATAGTTTTTTATTATTATTATTATTAAATAACTTGCGGGTCCAACTACTTGCTATATCATTAATTAACATATTTTTTTAGAGTGTACGAAAGTGGACGACAAAAATTTGTGTAATAAAGTTTGAAAGTCGGTGAACTTTAGAGTAATAAAGTGAAATACAAGTACTCGAACGATTTTGAGATAATCCAATAAAGCACTTACTAATACTATGATTTAAGTTGGATGACAGTTCAATAGTTAATAGGATATGTCATCCACTTATATGTTCTAAACTTTTTCTCTTATAATAATCCGGCACAATCTTTTCAGCAGGGCAGCTTCTGGAAGGACTGCAAGCCAAGAATATTGCTCGACGCTAAGGTACACAAGAATATAAATTTGATGAAATTACAAATTATGACCATATCAAACATTCTTCATGCCTGCTGCTGCATATAGTATAAGCATAATGATTTTGGCACTCCAACTTCTCAAACTTTTCTACCGTAACACGAGGAGTGCGTGAGGTTATTTGAGGGTGTGATTTTGGAGTGCCAAAGCATCGCTCTAATACAACTATGAATAAGAAACAAAATAGAAAAATGATAACCATTTAAAAAGTTTACTATCAGAGTTGAAAATGCTAATTCTGTAGTCATTCTGGAAACCGGAAGAGTCCATAGGATAGGAGCTATCAGTCCAATCCGGCATACCAAACGGGGCCTAAATGTTGTACTCATAGGATAAGAGTCCTTTCATACTGATTGTAGTTCCATTTTCAGAAGGACGAAGAGTACGTCACAAATCACTGAGAAAACAGAGAATGGAGAAGAATGCCAGGCACAAGTCTTGGACACGCCAGACAAGTGGTGTATCTATAAGGTTCCCAGCAAACTCCGCAAAGTAAATGAAGCAGCATACACTCCTCAATTACTATCAATAGGCCCTTTCCACCATGGCAAACCAGAACTGAACAGCATGGAGATCCATAAAAGGATATATTATAAGAAGTTTCTTGAACGTTGTAAGAAGATTGAGGATGAACGTTGTAAGAAGAGTGAGGATAAATTAAAGAAATTTAGTGAGGATGAATTAAAGAAATTTATCGACGCTAAAAAAAAAGAAGTTCTTAGTTGTTACGCAGGGACCATTAAGCTTTCCATAATCTCTGCAGACATAATTGCGGTTGATGCCTGCTTCATCATCGAGCTCCTTTTAAGGAACTACGAAACAAAAAATCATGAAAATGATTACATATTGAGTTCACCATGGCTGAGGAAAGCTGTAGAGCAGGACTTGATACTGATTGAAAATCAGCTTCCTTATTTTCTTCTTCAAGAACTATATCAGAAATTTGCTGTGCCTTGCTGCTGCCGGATTCCTTCCAATGATCATTCCATACAGATTGACAAAGCCACACCTGCTGATCATGAACCTACCCTGCTTAAGCTTAGCTTTGAGTTCTTCAAAGATTATAATGAGGGGAAGTTGGAAGCCGTCGAGAATGGAGTGCCTCAACTGCAACATTTCACCGATTTGGTTAGGCATTTTCTATGTCCTAAGCCTAACAAAAAAAAGGAATTGCGTTGTAAACATGGTGTCAAAAATATATATGCTGCACAGAAGCTGAGGGCATCAGGGGTGAAGTTTACGCCACTTAAAGAGGGACCCTTGATCATAGAGACAGATGAGACAGATAAGGCCATAGAGACAGATAAGCCTGAGGACACTAAATATAAGCTCACCTTAGCATGTTTTAGTAATCTGGACTTGAAGCTTACGCCATTTAAGTTCAAGGATGAGACAGAATGGGTTGTTCGGAACATCATGGCCTTGGAGCAGTTTTTGTATCCAACCATCCTTATATCTGCAATTACTTTTTGCTTATGGATCAGCTGGTGGACACTGTGGATGATGTGGATTTGCTGGTTGAGAACGAAGTTATTACTAACATGCTAGGCAGCAACAAAGCAGTGGCGAAGCTGGTTAATAAACTTTGCCAGCAGATCAACGACGATAAATTCTGCTATTCTGATATCGGTCGACAGCTTAAAGAACACTATGAAAATACTTGGAACCGTTATGTGGCAACCCTGAAACGAGTTTACTTCAAGGATCTCTGGACGAGCAGTTCAACTGTACTTGGAGTTTTCGTCCTGCTTTTCTCAGTCAGTGGAACCATTAAGTATCTCATGTCGTAAGCTTTAAGCTCGTTCAACTCGTGATTCTTAATAGACAGAATGTTAATTTCAGTCATTACTTCAAGTGATGAACTGAACAAATAAATTAGCCAGTGTTATAGATTTAATATAAGTTTGAGTTACTAATTAGTTCTGTTATGTTGTTAAAGACTGCAGAGCATTTCTTGTGAATTGATTGTAATGAACATAATTTCCATTTAGAATTAAATAAAGAAAGAGTTATGCTCTTGTTTTCATTGCACTCAGAGTTGAAGACATGGATCTTGAATCTTCGGCTTCAAAGCCCCATGCGCTGCTATCTTTGTCTGGTCTTTACAGCATATGGATGTTAAGAATGTAATTGCAGATGAAAGCCTTGTGTGGATACAAAAACAAAACTGTATAAGCTTCAAGTCCATGTTTTTAAAACATGTTAAGTTGAACTAATAATTACTATAATTACAGACCTGATCATCCCTTTTTATCACAAAGGTTACATCTTCAATTGGCCTAAACTTCACCCCTGCTGCCTTGAGCTTTTTCCGGGTGATATATTTTTTTTGAGGGCCACTAATACCATTTGCTTTGCTTCAATCTTTGTGCCTTGGATTGTATATAGTTCAAAATAAATTTCGTTCAAATAGCAGCTTACCCTTTTTTCAATCAACAAGAGATTGGATATACTTGGGAACTCTTTCAACGTTAAAAAGAAAACTGCCATGAAAGTTGATCTAACTCGACCTCTTATAAAATACTCTTGCTTTTTTCTAATGGTGAACCAATACGAGTTCATTAAATATGGAAATATATGAAGGCTTTGGTACAATTTCAAGCTTCAATCAAGGCAATAACCAGCCAGGAAGGTGGATTTACAATCCACCCAGGAGCTTACAATATTTTTACCATTTCAAGATGCTACATCATGAGCAACTTTATTATGCCTATGAGCAATTTCATTAAAGATGCTCTTTTTTCATACACTATGAATTCCAACTGGGCATCGATACGCAGACCACTGCAGATGTCTGAGAAAGTTACAATGGACTCGACCTCAATCTTCAGCCAGCCCTCTCCAAACTGTCACAGCCTCTGGCAATGAAATTTATATGCAGTATTGCACGCAGCCTGACAATAGTAAAGCTCAAATATCATCTCCACACACACACACCTGATCGCTGTTGCCTCTCGCTCACACCATGCAGCATTGCATGTTAACATCAGCAATCCTCGAACTCAGGCAGCTCCAGCTCAACTCACTCAGCAGAAACCCCTTGAACTGGATTCTAAATGTTATACTGCCTTATAGCGTCTTTACCATGCATACAAACAACTCTTCAGTAACAGTAAGACTACCGTTAACAGACTTATTAAAATAAAATAAATACTAAAAAGAGAAAGAAAGACTACCGTTCAACAGTACCTTACTTCATATCTTCCATAATCGCCAGATCAAACACCAGCTCAAAATAATTACACACTTTCCCGCTTAAGTGACATATTTCTATCTATACAATCCATGACATTGGATGTCAACAGGAACAAACACAAATCCTTAAAATATGGAAATGTGAATATTAAAATTTCAAACGGCTTTGCAAACTTGTGGTATACACATTAAAATGTAATGAATAATACTACTCTTACCATATTTATATACCACATCTTTATACCATCTTATGTGGCAGCTGAAGTGGACAGCCACATCAATTAAAATTATATAATATTTGCTTTTCTTTTATGATTTATTCCAGTAGAGTAATGCTACGTTTACCACATTTTTATCCTACATTTCTATGTCATGTGATGTGGCATGTTCATATCATATGTCACATCAATTAAATCAATGAAGTGTATTTTAATAAAGAAAGTTTAATTGAATTTTTTTAAAGTATTAATAAATCATAAAAGAAAAGAAAATGTTAAGTAATTTTAATTGATATGTGGTTGTCCACCTCATCTACCACATAAGGTGGTATGGGAATGTGATGCACAAATGTGGTAAGAGTAGCATTATTCATTCCAGTATTAATTTTTCTAGTTGCCTTAATTAAAATATACTTCATTGATTTAATTGATATGACATATTATATGGATATGTCACATCATGTAGTATAGAAATATGGATAAATATATGGTTAGTGCATTACACAAATGTAATTAAGTGAAAGTTACCGTCATAAAGGCTTTGTGGCCTTGTCGTTTTTTTAGGGCAACTAAGGTAGCGTTTGGTAGTGCTTAAATTTTAAAAAAAGCTGCTTTAAAAAAAAAATTGCAAAACTATGGTGTTTGGTAAAAATCGAGATTCAGCTTTTTTTTAAAATTGCGGTCAATGACTGCTGTTTTTCCAAAGCAGGCATAACCCAGCTTTTAAAAGCTGCTTTAAAAAAATGGGCTTGTCCAATATAGACCCCTACATTTTCTATTTCCTAGACATATACCCATCACTCTATAAATCTTTGGGTAAAACCAATTTCAAATTTAAATGACCAGTAGGATATAAGAGGTCGTAGTATTTCTATGTTTTTACATCGTTGCCACTAAACTTCATATTTTATTTATAATTTTATTTCAAGCATTTCATTAACTGCCATAATTGTAATTAATATACTCCCTATTAATAGCATATCAATCACCCCATTTCTTTTAGTTGTCATTCCCTCTCACATCTCGCCCACTAAAATTGCAAACAAAACAAAAAATCTGTAAATTACATATCCAATAATGTACATATGAAAAATATAATATAAATATATACATATAAAATATATTTATATAAAAAAAAAAAAAAAAAAAAAAAAAAAAAACAGTCAGTACTTTGTAATTGCATATATTTTTCATAATTAAAAATAGGTACACAATAATTTATATTAATATAGGTACATTATTTACCCACATGTAAATTATTTTACAATATACCTGTAAATGTGTATAGGTACATTATTTGGAGAGGAAAAATAGGTACGTTATTTGGAGAGAGAAAATAGGTTCATTTAAAAAAATTGCTTTTAATAAAACAAATAATAAGTACTTTATTCAGAGAAAAAAAGGCTGTATTATTTATAGAAAAAAATAGGTACATTAATTAGATAAATAATAGGTACTTTATTCGTAGTAGGTATATTATTCAAATGGTAGGTACATTGGATGACATATAATACCTAAATCCTAATTGTAAGTACATTAAAATTAATGTAGGTATATTGGATGTCATATAATGTAGGTATATTGGAATAGATAATTATGTACACTTTTCATACTAGGTAAATTATATTTTTCATAAAACAAACAAGTAATAGGTACATTATTTTTTCAACATAATCAGTATGTACAGTTTTATTCATAAACAATTATAAAGTGGATTATTAGTCATGTATAATTCATAAAAAGAAAATAACATAAACATTTTATTAAACAAACCGATTACCCAAATTTGAATTTATTGTTAAATTTTTTTAAAAATGTTTCAAAATTAATTCTTACATCCATTACAACCATTTGGAGATCTTTCCAAATTCAACATCTGTCATTATATACAATCCAATTAAAAACTATTTCCATATTGATTCCTACATTAATATACAAAATGCAATAATGGCTTAGTTGGGGGTATTTTTGGAATATGAAAAGTACAATAAATCAGATTTTATGCTTAATTAGGTAACTTGCTGAGTTAGATCCTAGTCATGGGTTTTTACTTATACAAATGGGTATTATTTATAGGAACAAAAAGTGAAGGGTTTTAGGTACGGCAAATTGAATTTGAAGGGTGTAAGCCAAATTTACTAAAAAAATTTAACCAGTGGTTTTGATAATATTTTACTTTCCCATAATGCCCTCACTTATTTTTCAAATAGACAATCCTTGTCCCTTCAATACAAATCCAGCGGCAAACTCCTCTTCTCCCATTAACGCACCCAAGCTCCAACCACAACCACAACCTCCGACCATGGGCTGTAGACGAAGACGATGACAGACAAGTACTGATGGACTACGACTACAATACAAGTCATGAGCCATAGCGAAGCCAGGCCAGATAGGCTTTTTTATGTATAGAGAACAATCCTAACCCAAAGCTTGGAAAACTTTTAATAATCCCAACGGGAGATTGCTCGACCATACCATTAGGGGGTGAAAACGCCGCAGGCACGGCCTGCGCCGGGGGAGCATAGCATAGGGAGGAAAGGGAGCCGGGGACCAGGGACCCGGGGGGAGTTTAGGAGAGATGGGGAGACCCAGCAGATGCCGATCGGGGTGGGGATAAGCTCTGTGGACGATGATGACGACTGTGCAAGGAGGACGACTTCTCTGGGTAAAGGGAGAAAAATAGAACAAGGAGAAGGAGTAGATGAGAAAAATTTTGAAAAAAAAAAGTGCAGAGAGAAACGAGAAGAGAAGCAAGTGACAGGGGAAAGGAGAAGAAGAAGGTGAAAAAGGAGCAGCAAAAAGAGATGCAGATCCTAAATGTTGTACATTTGTTAATAAAACATACTTACGACTTGGGCTAATAGAACATTTGTCACAGCTAAATGTTGTTCTAGTGCTGCCACTGAAATTAGGATCAACGTTGTCAATTCCTTTCATACTAATTGTAATTCCACTCTCTGAAGGACAAAGCACTACAAAAAAAATGTCTTTTCACTACTACAAAAAGTGACAAAGACGACCAGAAAAAAATGACGGTCTAAGTGAAAACCGTCGTTGTTTTTTAAAAGACGACGGTTCTATAAAACCGCCGTGTAATAACACCTTAGACACCTAAAAAATGGAGATTCAAATGGTTGTTCATAAACAACAACGTACCTAATTAAAAAACCGACATCTATTTGAAACAAGATTTCCGCAGTGTAAAATCAAAGCAAATAAAGAACGGCAGAAGTTATGAATCGACCGACGTAGAAAGTAAAGACGACGATTTCAAAAAAAGCCGCCGTTTTATGCAGAAAATAACACGACCAAGTTTTCGTATAAGGCGCCATATAATTACAAATAAATCCACGGCGGTAAAATACAAAATATCGCCGTATTAAATTAATGTACAACGACGGAAAATAAAAATATATCGACGTCTTTCTCGTATAGTTCTACGACGGTATCTTTAAATCTCACCACGTTTGTTTTTCATTTAACGACGTATTATAAATTTAGCGTCGTATTTATTCCTTTATATGTCATACCTTATATTTAAACCGTCGTCTTAATACGAATTTTTTTATCAATTTATTTCTTTGATTTTGTTATCATACGTCATACTATATGTAAAGATGACGCTTTTTATAATAAAAAAAACGTCGTCTATTATATGTAAAGATGACGATTTTTATAAAAACCGTCGTCTATTATGTGTAAAGATGATGATTTTATAAAACCGTCATCTATTATATGTAAAGACGACGATTTTTATTAAAAATCGTCGTCTATTATATGTAAATATGACGATTTTTATAAAAACCGTCGTCTATTATGTGTAAAGATGACGATTTTTTTAAAAACCGTCGTCTATTATATGTAAAGATGACGATTTTATAAAACCGTCGTCTATTATATGTAAAGATGACGCTTTTTATAAAAACTGAAAAAACCGTCGTCTATTATATGTAAAGATGACGCTTTTTATAAAAACCGTAAAAACCGTCGTCTATTATATGTAAAGATGACGTTTTTTTATAAAAACTGTCGTCTATTATATGTAAAGATTACGATTTTTTTAAAAAAAAGTGTCGTCTATTATATATAAAGATGACGCTTTTTATAAAAAATGGTCGTCTATTATATGTAAAGATGATGGTTTGTTATAATAACCATTAAATCATGATTTTTCATTTATAACCGTCGAAATTTTTTGTCCCGTTACTTTATCTCTAAATGTTTATTTTTTTCGATTTGTGGTGTAGATGATCTCGAAGTATAAACAAACAAGTTTGACGGTTGGATCGTTGAAACTAGTTTCTTAGAATGTGTATGCCATCAAAACAATATATTCACTAACAATTAAGAGTTTATTTATACTTTCATTAAATAGACATAAGATTTTGTGGTATCCACTAGTGTAAATATTTTAAATTGAAGATCAAATTCAGTCATTGTATTCATATAGGGTCAAGGAGTGTAGCGGTAAAAAATCATCAAAATCGGAGTTAAAATAACCGTTAAATCATGATTTTTCATTTATAACCGTCGAAATTTTTTGTCCGTTACTTGATCTCTGAATGTTTATTTTTCCGATTTTTGGCGATGATCTCGAAGTATAAACAAACAGTTTGACGGTTGGATCATTGAAACTAGTTTCTTAGAATGCGTATGCCATCAAAACAATAATTCACTAACAATTAAGAGTTTATTTATACTTTCGTTAAATATAACATAAGATTTTGTGGTATCCACTAGTGTAAATATTTTAAATTGAAGATCAAATTCAATCATTGTATTCATATAGGGTCAAGGAGTGTAGCGGTAAAAAATCATCAAAATCGGAGTTAAAATAACCGTTAAATCATGATTTTTCATTTATAACCGTCGAAATTTTTGTCCGTTACTTGATCTCTGAATGTTTATTTTTTTCCGATTTTTGGCGTATATGATCTCGAAGTATAAACAAACACGTTTGACGGTTGGATCATTGAAACTAGTTTCTTAGAATGCGTATGCCATCAAAACAATATATTCACTAACAATTAAGAGTTTATTTATACTTTCGTTAAATATGACATAAGATTTTGTGGTATCCACTAGTGTAAATATTTTAAATTGAAGATCAAATTCAATCATTGTATTCATATTGGGTCAAGGAGTGTAGCGGTAAAAAATCATCAAAATCGGAGTTAAAATAACCGTTAAATCATGATTTTTCATTTATAACCGTCGAAATTTTTTGTCCCGTTACTTGATCTTGAATGTTTATTTTTTTCGATTTTTGGTGTAGATGATCTCGAAGTATAAACAAACAAGTTTGACGTAGTTTCTAAAATGCGTCATAAACAACAAAATATTCACTACCATTAAGATTTATTTATACTTTCGTTAAATATAACATAAGATTTTGTGGTATCCACTAGTGTAAATATTTTAAATTGAAGATCAAATTCAGTCATTGTATTCATATAGGGTCAAGGAGTGTAGCGGAAAAAAACGTCTATTGTATGTAAAGATGACGCTTTTTATAAAAACGTCGTCTATTGTACGTAAATGACGCTTTTATAAAAAAACCGTCGTCTATTGTATGTAAAGATGACGCTTTTTATAAAAACCGTCGTCTATTATATGTAAAGATGACGCTTTTTATAAAAAAAAACCGTCGTTATTATATGTAAAGATGACAAATTTTTTTTAAAAAAAGCGTCGTCTTTTAAAACACGCTAAAAAATGGCCGCTTAAGTGAATTCGCGCTCGATAAATTTTCAAATTTTCACCCGTCTTTGAAAATCTATCTCTCATTAACAAGCGTCGTCTTTTAAAACACGCTAAAAAAAGTCTACTTAAGTGAATTCGCGCTTGTCAAATTTTCAGATTTTCCCCCGTCTCTGAAAACCTTATCTCTCCCTCCTTGAAACCCTCATGCACTCTCTAAAACACCCTCATGAAACTCTCTACAAAATCATCAAAAGATCGATATCAATGAAGGAGTTGAGAGATTGAGGTCTTAGCAAATCCATAAGATGTAGAGGGATGTTCTGTATTTGAGAATCAAAGCTGGTTGAAAGGTTTGATTTGAAAGTCACCTAATCTCTAATACCCTTCTATATCTTGCTAGTGAATTCTGGATTAGTCTCTTTGCGTTTTTGGTATGTTCTTTGTATCCCTAATTTCAGATTTTGTCTCTCTGATTTGTCTGATTTGTTTACATATTTTTTTTATTTCTGGTTTCTTTTTAGATTTTCTGATTTGGTTATCAGGAGATGAGGAGGAAGCTTGCAGATTTATAACTTTTCTTTTGCAGGTTTTCTATGTGAGTCGTATGTTTTTTTGTTGTTGAAAATTTGCAGGTTCTCGATGGTCTTTTTTATGCTCATTTTACAAGTTTTCTATGGAAATATGGACCAATGGTAAAATTATCTTCCACCTAATTTTTTATGTTTATAATCTTAGCTTCTTTTTTTTTCTCTCTTTGTCATTTTGATTTATTTACAGGGATGATGGAGGAGACTTCAGTTGTGCATCATTTGTATGTTTGGATGAGGAATGCTTGGATGGTTGGGAATTTTTTGGGGGGAAATTAAAAAAAAAAAAAAAAAAAAAAAAAAAAAAAAAAAAAAAAAAAAAAAAAAAAAAAAAAAAAAAAAAAAAAAAAAAAAAAAAAAAAAAAAAAAAAAAAAAAAAAAAAAAAAAAAAAAAAAAAAAAAAAAAAAAAAAAAAAAAAAAAAAAAAAAAAAAAAAAAAAAAAAAAAAAAAAAAAAAAAAAAAAAAAAAAAAAAAAAAAAAAAAAAAAAAAAAAAAAAAAAAAAAAAAAAAAAAAAAAAAAAAAAAAAAAAAAAAAAAAAAAAAAAAAAAAAAAAAAAAAAAAAAAAAAAAAAAAAAAAAAAAAAAAAAAAAAAAAAAAAAAAAAAAAAAAAAAAAAAAAAAAAAAAAAAAAAAAAATTATGAGAAAATGCACGCATGCCCCAATGATTGCATCTTGTATAGGAAGGAGTATGAGGATTCAACTAATTGTCCTACTTGTGGTATCTCAAGGTGGAAGGAAGGCAAAGATTCAATCTTGAAAGAGGGTGTGCCAGCGAAGGTGGTGTGGTATTTTCCTCCAATTCCAAGGTTTAAAAGGATGTTTCGATCACATGAGACAGCTAAGAGTTTGACTTGGCATGCTGCTAGAAAATCAATTGACGGTCAGATGTCTCATCCGCGGATTCCCCGTCTTGGAAACTTCTTGATGATAAATGGCCCGAGTTTGGTAATGAGCCGAGAAACTTGAGATTGGCTCTTTCATCTGATGGATTCAATCCCCACAGTTCTCTAAGTAGCAGATATAGTTGCTGGCCAGTTATCTTAGTTACATATAATCTCCCTCCATGGCTGTGCATGAAACGAAAGTTCATGATGTTGACCTTATTGATTTCCGGTCCTAAACAACCCGGAAATGATATAGACGTCTACTTGGAGCCTTTGATTGATGATTTAAAATCTTTGTGGGATGGGATTAGAGGAGTGTATGATGCACATAATGGAGAATACTTTACACTCAGAGCTGCATTAATGTGGACAATTAATGATTTCCCCGCCTATGGAAACTTATCTGGTTGTGTTGTTAAAGGATATAAAGCTTGTCCAATATGCGGCGATGATACACCTAGTCACAGGTTGAAAAATGGCCACAAAATTTGTTACATTGGGCATAGAAAATGGTTACCAATCAATCATCCATATAGGAGGCAACGTGCAGCTTTTAATGGGAAACCTGAATATGGCACGCCTCCCGAGCCATTAACCGGAGAAGAAGTGCTGCATATGGTTGAAGATGGTGACAGAGTTTGTTGGAAGAAGAAATCAATATTCTTTGATCTCGAGTATTGGAAATACCTTCCTGTGAGGCATGTCCTAGATGTTATGCACATTGAGAAGAATGTTTGCGATAGTATCATTGGTACATTGCTGGAGATCCCTGGAAAAAATAAAGATGGGATTGCTGCTCGATTAGATTTATTGAACATGGGGGTCAAAACTGATTTGCAACCCGAGTATGGAGAAAGACGTACTCGTTTGCCTCCCGGGCCTTGGAATTTGCAAGAGCAGAGAAGAGAGAGGTTGCAATCTTTCAGGGTATGAAGGACCTGAAGGTTATCTTCAATATATAAAAAAATCGTGTAGATTTACAAGATTCAAGGACTTCTTGGCCTTAAATCACATGATGTCAACCTTAATGCAACAATTCTTGTGGCCAATTGTTCTGTTTTGGAGAAGCCTGCAAGGTATGCAATACTCGTTTGTGCTTCTTCTTCAATGCTATATGTGCAAAGACTGTTGATGTTTCCAAGCTAGATAAGTTGGAAGAAGATGTAGTAGTTACTTTGTGTTTGCTTGAGAAGTACTTTCCCCCTTCATTCTTTGATATCATGGTTCATCTAGTAGTACATCTTGTCAGAGAAGTTCGTCTATGTGGGCCAGTATATTTTAGATGGATGTATCCGTTTGAAAGATATATGAAAGTGCTAAAGGGGTATGTTCAGAATCGTACTCGTCCCGAAGGTTGCATTGCTGAGCGGTATATAGCTGAAGAAGCTGTAGAGTTTTGTACCGAGCATTTATCTGATGTTAGTACAGTTGGAGTGCCTTCAAGCCAAAAGATGGGAGTTTCAAAGCCATTATCAGGTTGCACAGTGAGCGTAGTTGATCGGGACCTGTTGAACCAAGCACATCTATATGTCTTGGAGAATACGGAGGAAGTCCTACCTTATATCGAGTACGTATGAGTTTTATTCTTTAAGTTTCCATTTTAAATTATTTCTTATGTTTATCTTATATGTTTGGGACCGTAATGCTTGAATTTTTCGTGTCATGTAGGCAACATATGATCCACATCAAGACCGCTTATCCAAAATTTAGAAAGAGAACAAAGTGGCTGCAGGATAAGCACAATAGCACTTTCATTCAATGGCTACGCTTCAAGGTATATGTTATTGAATAACATATTGGACTTTTAATTTTCTTCTTTCTATGTTAGATTGAATTAAGTTATGATTAATTTGCAGGTTCAAAGTGAACTTAATGAGGAAGACAATCATGGCGTATCAGAAAATTTAAGGTGGCTAGCAGCTGGTCCAAACATGGCAGTGCCATTATATAGGAGCTATCTTATTAAAGGTATTAAATTCAACATCAAGGCACAAGATGATGTGCGGACAACTCAAAATAGTGGAGTTTATTTACTTGCACATACCATGCAAGTTGCTAGTGCCAAGGATAAAAACCCAATTCTCTCAAATATGGGTTTCTATGGTGTCATTCAAGAAATTTGGGACCTTGACTACCAAAAGTTTACAATCCCAGTCTTTAGGTGTGATTGGATAGATAGTACTTCTGGTCTTGTAGTGGACGAACTTGGATTTACCCTTGTAGATTTGAGTAAAATTGGACATAGGAATGACCAATTTGTTTTGGCTTCTCAAGTCAAACAAGTATTTTTTGTTGACGACCCGATGCATCGTGGTTGGTCGGTAGTGTTATCAATGCCTAATAGAGAATATAATGATGTTATTGGTGATGATGTCTTAGGTGATGTGAGAATTGAGTGTGAGCCATTTACTAGAGGGATGCCAAATGTTGACACATTTGATGAAGTGGTGGGTGAGTTAGGGAGTCAAAATATTCGAGATGGGTGTGAAGATATATGGATTGAATGATGCTTTATGTAATTGGCAGTGTATGACATTAATTTTGTAATATATTGTAATGTGATTTCTTCACTTTCATTATACAGGTTTTGGCCACAAAACAATCAGTACAAAAATTACTGGTTCCAGATTACAAACACGACGGTCTTGATAAAAATGTGAAAAACAAACGTCTGTTCTAATAAAAAACGACGTTTTGGAGCATTCAACGACCGCAATATATTTACCGACGTCTTAAAGCAACGTAACAATGAAGAACCACGACGCTATTGTGAAACAGTTATTCAGGATATCACGTCGGAGAAGCATAAAGAACCGCCATGTAATTCAAATAACACGACTCCAATCCCATAATACCGACGTCTAAAAGACGAGATATCTAACCTGAACGTTACAAAAGACGACGTCGTCTTAACTTTACCACGTCGCATGTTCTTTCATAAACGAAGTGGAAAAGGATGAATTCACGACGGTATTTGAATCCATTGGTAAATTTGTCGACGTTAAGATATATTTGGACGTCGTTCCTTTACAAAAACAACGTTATATGAATGTATCCACGTCTCTTTTCTTATGATAATGTCGTTAAAATTTCTTTACACGGCAAATTTCGGATTAACAACGCCGTCTAATAGGAATTAGACGACGGTAATTTTGTTAATGATGACGTATAAATTATGAAACACGGCTGTCTTTTGCATGATAACGACGTTGTATATTGACGACAACGTCGTCTTTATAAATTAATGTGTCGTAAGTAATGACCCCAACATATTTTCCACGTCGTTTATTTTAAGATCGTGTCGTTAAAACTATTTTACACGGCGGTGGACTGAGAAACGTTGCCGTCTCAGATCCATTAGACGACGATTATATTTTAAGAGATGACGTATAAATTCTGTAATACGGCTCTCATTTATTTGGAACCGACGTTGTTTATTAGTACAACGTCGTCATTTAAATACATGCGTCGTAAGTAATGACCCTAACATCTATTTCCACGTCATCATTAATAGAAAAATCGAAGTGGAAAATTCATTTCACGACGGTTGTTGAAAATGTACTGACGTAGTAGGAGTCAATAACGTCGTCGATTATGTATTTAAAGACGTCATATTTTTATTTGTCGTGAAAGGTATATTTAACGGCGGTGAGTTTTAGTTCTCGTCGTTGTATGTATATCTTGCGGCCATGTTCTGTTAATATATGTCATATGTTTCCTTTTTAACGACGTTTTTTGTTAGAATTGGTCGTCTATTCTCATCCTCGACTGTTTTTTTATCTCTTTTTCCATTACAAAGACGTCGGTTATTATTTGTTAATGACGTTGTTTGTTTTAACAACGACGGTGATTTAGCGTCGTGGTTTTGACACCCAAATAGATGTCGGTCGATTTCACGACGGTTTGAAAACCGAATACACGACGGTGAATTCCCGTCGTCTTTTTCCTTTTTGGTAGTAGTGTTAGTTGGTCCTATTGAGTACTACTTCAATAAGCACAACCCCACACAAATTGGACCCATTTTCTTGGTAAATACCCTCAAGCCAAAAACAGAAGGAAATAAAAACACTTGGCACCACTAGAACTACAAATTTTCGCAAATTAGACTACTTTTGCAGAATGACTTTAGTTTTCTATGCTCTTTCTTCTTCTTTTCCCCTTGTGTTTTGGGAGAAGGTACAACAGAGGATCTATTTGTTTTGCATGAATTTTTGTACCTATAGTTCAAAAACAAATTGCGTTACCTAGTAGCTCACCCTTTTTTAATCGACAGGAGATCGGATATATAAACTTAGAACCACTTTTAACACTAATAAGAAAATTACAAAACTAAGAGCTAGTTGATGCAACTCACCTTATTAAATACTCTTGATTTTTTCTAATGGCAACAGGATAGGAGTACATTAAAAGATAAAGACGGAAATATATGAAGGCTTTGGTATAACGTCAAGTTCCAAGGCATTAACCAGGAGCTTAAAAGAATACTCAGTAAAAACTAAAGTATACATGTTGGCTAAGACAAAGATGATGGAAGCCACAAGTTGCTTACATGGTCATGCACTGGGTCTAGAAGGGATGACCTAAGCATAAATGTTATGTCCAACTACGATTACATTGCACACATGTGGAGGTTTTTCTTTTTCTTTTTCTTTTTGCCCAACAAAATTGTCAATATGAAACCAAAGCGAGGATGACCCTCGGTCTGTTGTAGAAAGGTTCCTCGGTTGTGAGGATGACCTTCGGTAGTAAAAGGGTTCCTTGGTTGTTAGGATGATCCGTGGCTTTGAAAATAATCCAATGTGGGAATTTAAGGCCTTATATGGCCTGTGCGTTTTCCATTAAATGGCCTATTTGGTGTTTTAAATATATATATGTTTGAAGCCATCTTAAGGTTGATACTTAGGCCTTTCATGTCGCCTATCAAGTGGCCTTTCAAAAATTTATTTCAGTTGGAACATTGAGTTCCATTGGCATCCATCATGGTGGGATTTAAGAAAATGAGCTTGGATTGAGTGATTAAGGTGGTCAGATCTATGGACCACTAAAGAAGAGACCTAGACCTCTGGGCGTGCAGCACGTGGGAGCAAAAGGTCAAGCGTTTACATTGACATACTTAGTATGTGAATTATTGTTAAGAATTTGTGGCCTCACACACCTTGCCTCTCAAGTCTCCTTCCAAGTGGTGAAATTTAAAGATGAAAAGAATCGTAGCCAGGATTTATTGTATCCCAAGTCAAGAGAAGAGTTCACAATCCTAATTAACCAACCATTTGGGTTGGTGGTGGTTGGGAAGTTCTCGATAAATGTTGGAAGAATTTTCAAGGAAGATTTAGTTCTAGCCATTAATGTCAAACCCATCAACTGAAGAAAGTTCTATAAATAGGTCGTCATAAGAAGAAAAGAGTACATCCGACTCAACAAATAAAACCTATTCTTTTTATCCTACACCTTTCAATTCCTAGTCTAAGATTTTATCTTCCAAGCACTTTAGATTATCCAAGTTCTTCATTTTCCTACTGTAAGCTTATTTCTTGCAATTTAATTTAAGTTTTCTTTAAATTCAAGTTTAATTCAAGTCTTTATCGTTTTAATCTATTTTATCGTATTTACATTTCTGTCATTTCGTTTCTTGCATTTACATTCATTGCACTTATCACCAAAATCTTAAAAATAGTCATACAATGCTCAATCATCCTTGGTCACGAGAAAGTGAAAGAACCTAGGGGCTGTTTGTTACTTGGTTTGGCCTGGCTTGGACTAAATTTAGTACCATATTTGTTTCATCTAATCCTAGTCTTAGATGGACTTGTTAATACCATGCCCACCAAAAACACCTCCTTAGGAGGGGACTACTAAACCCATATGGAAAGGGAGGATTAACTATTCTCATGCTCACCAATGTATAAGATGCATATATTATATTGTAATAATAATAACATATATATATATTATATACCCATATTTATATATTATATTATACTTACATACACATATACTATAATGTTCATATATACACATATATGAACATATATATAATATAAGTATATATGTATATAGGGATCCCTCAAATAAAGGTGCCCTTTAGGCACCCTACATATATATATTTTTGGAAAAAAATATATATATATATTCCTAGTCCAAGCATACACCAAACTCAGGATAAGTGTTATCCAATTTAGACCAAGCCAAGTCAAGACAGTACAGTTCCTAAGTATAATCCATGCCAAGACAGTTATGTGTAACAAACGAGCCCCTAGGTCATTGAACAATAATATGCTTTCCATTTAGCTCTAATTAGCTCGATATGTAGTATTTCAATTTCGGAAGTCCGTGTTAAAGTAATATTTTTATTGTATATTTCATTTTCTCACTCTTGTTTTCTTCTTTAGTGATATACCCATTCTTAGCACTAATATTATAGATAAACCCTCTATCATTGAATTTCTATAAACAAACCCAAAAAAAAACCCCAAAAATGATAGCTGGCCTTATTGAATTTAATATTGATTATTAAATTACTTTAATGCATATTGAGTGTTTTGGGTATTTTTATGAGATTTTGGGGTTGGGCTTGTTTTAAGAAATTTATGGTAGTTTTGTAATTTATAAGAAGTTAAAGCCTCTTTGTTATGTTGTAAATGAGTTTTGGGTGTGTTTATAAAGTTCATTTCATATGGGGTATTTTTATAATTGGGCACCCATATTTGGTATATTAGTGAATCTCCCTAATATATATGTGTGTCTAGTAGGATACTTATCATTCTCTAGAAGCTTACCCGGTACAATATGGTGTCATAATCCGAATAATCAATTTTTAAGTTCCTCCGTGATTCCAAAAATTTGTCAAGTTTAAAAATTACTTACTCTTTGTTTGAATGGAGGAAAATAACTCATGAAAATAAACTCAAACAAAACACATGATTGAATAATTGTGATTGATCTATCTATTTTTTAGGTCTTCATTTATAATCATCCTTACAAAAAATTAGACAAATCAGAAACCGTTTCGATATCCAATTGTGTCATACAAAATCAATGAACACCGTGCTTCAAGAAAGTAATAAAATTTCAATAACTCAATTGAATGGTCAAATGATATCGGATTCAAGTGATTTTTTGTAGAGATGATCTTTGAATGAGTATCTACAAAATAGACGGTTTGGATTAGTGAAATACAATATCTAATTAGGTAACGTGAATTACACCAAAAATCAGGATCACGGGATCCTTGAATTATGGCTCACGCCAACAAATAACTCAAGAAGCGAAGAGGAGGAATTGATATTTCTCCATCTCTATCTCTCTCTAAATTAGCCAAACTAAACAAGTTAATCAAACCCGTTAAAAAAAACCGTCAGGAAAAAGAACAAAGACTAGGGAGGATGGTGGAGTGCTAACCCACAATTACAAAAATTAGGAATTCCGGCGAGGATGGGTGAGTCAAATTAAAACTTTCATACCCAATCATAAATGGTTATTTCGAAGAGAGATTTATAGTTTTATTATT